TTTAGGGTTTCTGGGTTTAGGTTGATGGTATAAATCTTGCATTACCCATAATAAGGAATATACCATAATTCCCATAGTTCAGGGTCCTTAAGGTAATGCAGGGTTTATATCATCAACCGTAGGGCTCACTAGGGTTCAGGGTTTAGGATACAGACTATCTACCACCTCCGCCGCGACGCGGCTACAAGGTTTCTTAGGCATTTTGTAACTTCAAATTTCGGTCTTTGTATCGACAGAAGCATGATACTGTGAACTGTGCGTCAGGAGCCCTTGATGGACTCTGGTCTCGACTCTTTGGCCGCCGTGGAATTCCGAAATCGCCTGTCCAACGAACTCCAGGGCATCAAATTGCCCAACACCTTGATCTTCGACTACCCGACGGTCGCCGCGATCAGCAACTACGCCGTGGCACAGCTGGGCCCTGCAACATCCGCGCTGGGCCCAGTCTCCGGCGGATCGTTTGTGGCCTCTGGTGCCTTTGCCTCAGTGATGGGCTTGGCTGCCAGTTTGCCCGGCCGCCGCGACGATGGCTTCTGGGAGGACCTGCATGTGTTGCTGCACTGTTCTCTGCATGCTGTCGGAAATCCAACTCCTTTGCGTTCAGTTTCCCTGTGCTGCAATGTGTGTAGCTGCCCTCGCGGTTTGAGGACTTGGTGGAGAAGAAGGACTCCGTCATTGAGATTCCCTTCACACGCTGGGATCTCGACGTCTACTACAGCCCGGATCCGGATGCACCCGGCAAAACGTACGCAAAGCACGGCGGCTTCATCGAGGGTGCTCCAACTGCTTTGGTAGCAGCGGTGTGCAAAGGATGTCATGTGCGTAAACTGAAATTTGCAGGCTGCAGACGTATAAGTCATACTGTAGAGGCTTTAATCATTACCAATACTATTTTGGGGGCTCCTTATTATGGCTATAGCTACAGTTATAGTATAAGTTATGAGTTATAAGTTTTAAGTTATAAGCTATAAGTTATAGTATAATGGGCCCCCTCTATTAAGTGTTTTCTGTGTTGAGACGGAGAATATCGGAGCCAATTAGGGGAAGACTGGACCGAGGCGCCGAGCTCTTCGACCCCTCCTGCTTCGGCCTCTCCGCTGCGGAGGCTGCGACCATCGATCCTTGGCGTTCTTCTGGTTGGCTTTTTGGACTTTTTGGGTTTAGGGTTTAGGGTATATGAACTGTTGGCTTTTAGGACTTTAACTTTTTGGGTTTCTATATATTGAACTATAATGAGTTTCTATATTGAACTATAATAAAGCCAAGGATCCTCAGCAGCGGTTGCTGCTTGAGGCGGCACACACGGCCTTCCTGGCCTCCGGCAAAGAGCGGGAGCAGCTGATGGGCTCGGACGTGGGTGTCTTCGTTGGGCAGTGCCAGTATGACCGGGGGCTCAAAGAATGCGACTGCAAGTTGTAATCATGTCTTCAGTAAGTACTCGTATGCTACAAAAGGGATACTGCATCAGCCCAGTTTGCCTGGTGAGCTGGAGAGATGAAACCATGGGTGTGCAGGACTGGTTCGTGATGGTGTCGGTGGGCGACAAGTTCAATCCATACACCGGAACCGGAATTTCAGCTTCCATCAGTGCGAACCGAACCTCGCTCGCCGGCCGCATTCAGAATTGGGTGCGTCGGGGTATATGTGTATTTAATTGTATATATATATATATGTATATATATATATATATATATATATATATATACATAGGTATATGTGTATATGGTCACGCATGTAGGCATACACTTGTGCAAGTCCGAGCATGTATGCAGGAGCTGTAGCTATGTGTACGAGGATTTTTAAAGGTATAGCTTGGGGTAAAGGTGCACGTTGATCGAATCTACGCGTATGTATGTCGGCATGCAGCAACATCTATGCCTGACTATTCTGTGTGTAGCATTCATTCTTTCGTTCGTTCGTTCATGCATTCGTGCAGGCAGGTGTTCACTTGGTCCTGTGTAATTACGTGGCAGGGCAGCTGGCTGGACATAGCATCATGTACATCCTTGCTGCCCAGGTACATCTTCGGAGTGAAGGGCCCAAGCTTGACATGTGACACGGCCTGCTCTTCCTCCCTGGTGGCTGCCGATGCGGCATCTTGGAAGCAGACCAGAGCAAGCACAGCACCATCGGCACCAACACCAGGTAACAGTGGTACGAACACGAGCGGTCCGAATCATGCTGAATCCTTCTGAATGCTCGTACCTGCTTTGTACTCGAGGCGCTGTCTTCCCTTCGCAGGGGAACAGCAGAAGGCGCCCTGGCTGCCGGAACCAACCTGATTCTCGGTACTGGCCCTTACATCAGCTTCAGCAAGGCCGGGGTAGTTTACGGGTATGAATGGTATGAATGGCGTTCAAGCGGAGGATGTTGAAGGCAAATGAGGGAGCAAGGAACCGATAGGAACCATCTCTAGACGCTCAAGCCGTCAGGCCAAGATGCTTTCCGAGGATGGCCGTTGCTTCACCTTCGACGCCTCGGCAAATGGCTACGCACGTGGAGAGGGTGTGGGAGCAGCGTTCCTTGCTGTCCTGGCGGATGGGGACGGAGATGTGTCCGCCCGAGCCCTGCTCCGGGGAACGGCTGCAAATCAGGATGGACGCTCGGCGTCCCTCACAGCCCCCAACGGTCCATCACAGCAGGCAGTGATCCGGCGTGCACTCTCGGAAGCTGCGGCCAGCGTGGGCGAGGTGGCTTTGATTGAGTGCCATGGCACCGGCACTGCTCTCGGGGATCCCATCGAAGTGGACGCTCTCAAGACGGTGCTTGGTGAGGCTTCCTCTGTGGCTTTGGGAGCAGCGAAGACCAACATTGCGTGCCTGACCTGAAGAACAAACAGTACCTGAAGGTTTGTTCTGACTTCTAGCGGCTAACACGACTATGTACACTTGCTGCTCTTGCCACCAGTTGTTGAGCCCACTTTGAGCTTAAACTCAGCCTTCGCATTCCCACTGCAAGGCACTTGGAGGGTTCAGCAGGCATTGCTGGCTTCCTCAAGAGCATCCACATGCTGGAGAAGAAGCAGGTTCCTGCTAACTTGCACTTCCAGAGCTTGAACGCGCACATCGACTTGGAAGACTTCCAGGCTCATCGGCCCGAAACCATGAGTCGCAGCTTTTCTGACAGTTCCCGAACTCCGAGGCTGTCATTCCCGTGGAGCTGCACGAGCTTCCTTCTGGCAACGTGGTTTCAGGCCCTGCCCGGCTGCCGAGCAGATGTAAGGACTTGTTCTGATGACAGATGTACCAGGGGTCTGAGACGCCTTCTGTCAGCTTTTTGCGATTGACGTGCAAGCTTTCAAGTTTGCCATTGCCAGGCCTCTCCTCCTTCGGATTCGGTGGAACGAATGCGCACCTGACCTTCGGCAGCTCTTCGGGGCGAGAAAGCCAGCGCATGACCATCTCAGAACCGGCAGCGATCGAGGGAGCCATCACTTTCAGGCCCGGATGCTGCATGCTGCAAGTGTGTCTAGAGCTGCTGCTGCTGCTGCTGCTGCTGCATAGAACAAACCCTGAACTCGTGCAGATGGGAGTTCGATGCATGGCATTGCAGGCACGCTTCTTTCCCTTGGCGCGAGACGGCCTACCGGTGTCTGCGGCGGAAGATCACGGAAGGCCGGGATGTGCACTACGAGTGCACCATCAAGGCGGAGCCTGGGCAGCAGTGCCAGCAGTGCTCAGGGATATTCTGGGCCTATTTGGGGTGTAGGGTTACTCTGAGACTTCCTCTGAGGGGCGGGTCCTTCGTCAGAGGATTTAAAATCTAAACCTTAAGCCTGGACCCGAAACAAACCCAAATCCCAAGGACATCTTCAAAGTCTGTGCCGAGCACGTGGCCTTCAACGAGATTGTGGTGCCAGGCACACATGGCATACAGCTCACCTCCTCTTGACTGGAGGTTTCCTGAACTAGGAGGGTTTAAGATTTAGGGGTTCTGGGGGGTCCGGTCAGCACGGATCATACCGGTACCAGCTAGGATCTTCCTGAATCATCTTTTCTGGGATCCCTTTTCCTCGAAGCCTCCAATTCCGCATGTGTCGAGGTGTGGTCTACGTCGAACATGCAATGGAGGCCCACCACGGCGCATCTAGCGTATAATGATATGATGTCACATGCTATAATATCTCACGACAGGTTTTAACACATTGTACATCTGTCTTCCAGAATGTTTTAGAATATTCTGCAATATGCTAGACTATGTCATCGTACAAAACAGATGTACCATCACGTGGCTATGACATACTATCATAGATGCACAAATTGCCAGCCAGCCGTTTCCTTGAAACGAAAGAGTAAAGGCCGCCCGCAGCTGAGCAAGTACGGGAATTCCTACACATGTGTGTAGATGTTGGTACATGTGCAGATGTAAGCGAATGTAGTGCAATGGAATGAAACGGAAAGGAGACAGACAGCGACGGACAGAGACAGACAGCGACAGGCAGACAGACACAGACGTAGACAGAGAGACAGCAAGATGGACAGACGGACACAGATGGACAGACGGACAGATGGAGGGATGGACGGATGGATAGCCAGCTGGGTACCTAGCGAGCTAGCAGCCAGCTAGGTAGAGAGATAGAGATAGAGAGAGAGAGAGAGAGAGAGAGAGAGAGAGGGAGGGAGATTTCTAGTGTTCAGGCCTTTCGGGGCGTTTTACCAGTGCCGAGCCGAACCTCATCTTTTGCCAGTGTCACGCAGACCAAGAGACCGGTGCGCATGCGGGTTCGTGGAGGGGTTGCACCCTTCTTTAACCGAATGCAAGCAAGAGAGAGAGGGAGAGGGAGAGGGAGTTTGCCTACTTCGGGGAAACCAACCACCATTCTCACTCCCCTTCCATGCCCCATAGCAATGGGGGGCCCATGCAGCCGGGGGGTTAACTCGCCCCTTATGCCCAGAGGAAGAAGAAGAGATAGATAGGTAGATAGATCGATGGATAGGTTGCTAGATGGATAGATGGATAGCTGGATAGCTGTAGATAAACATATTGACAGCCAGATAGAGAGAGAGAGAGAGAGAGAGAGAGAGAGAGAGATGCATCTGTAGACACACAGACACAGTTTCATTCGCAGATATAGGTATATAGACGCATATTATATAGGTTCGCAGATACACAGATACATATCTATACATAGATATATGGGTATCTAGATATCTAGGTATTTTGTAGATTTGTAGATATATAGATGTACAGATCTGTGGATACTGTTGAATGGCACCGGTGGGGCAGAATCCATGGTGGCAGGCAGTCAAAACCATTGTCGGCAAGGAAGGCTATCTGAAAGATCTCGTCACCGCCTCAGTCGCGTGACTCTCTTGACCCTAAACCCCAAATCCTAAACCGCCACGACCTCAGCTTCCGAGGGCGGGTGGTGAAATGGAAACGGAAGGTCAACATTTTAAAGGGTTTAGGGCCTCACAGGGTTCAGGGCTTAGGGTTGACTCTGCAGTGTAAGTGTAATCAGAGTGAATGGCCATTACCGCAGTAATGATGGTGGCAGCTTGTGTAGGAAAGCCTCAGGCTATGACGTGGCCACTTGTCGTTCCAAAGAATGCCGATGAGCCCACGGCCACCACGGTCTTCCTTCGCTTTTGCCAGCACCCTGTCAGCAAGCATTCGCATGGCACATCTCTCAAGGGAGGGGTTCTCACAGCTTTATCAAGTTTTGTAGTAGGCAGCTTCCACGACGTCGGTTGCGTGTTGCGTCATTTGAGTGGCTTGGACCAGTCTTGCTTGTACCACGTCCGTCCAAGGATGGGTGACAAGTTCGAGATGCGCAGCTCGCGTGGGGACAGCACCGAGATGATCACGCACTGTGAAGGACGTATTGGCCGGGGTCTGGCAGAGCCAGCCACCATCAATCTGGAGGAGCGTCTGTGGAGGTTTGTGATCTTCTTCCTCATTACGGCGATGTTGCTCTTTACAATATAGGGACTCAGAGGCAATGGCATGTGCAAGAATCATAGAGATAATGCTCCGCAGTCTGCTTGAGCAACAAGAAGGGTAAAATGATGTCGCATTACCAGGCATGTGAATATTGTCGTCTGGAGTATCAACACGATCAGAAACTATCAAGATCGAGCAGCACAAGACTGGCACTGGGAGGTGGCGAGAGAACCAAGGCTTCGGATGATGATGAGGAGGATGATTCTGATGATACAGGCACTACTTAGAGGAATGCCTACAGCAACAGCTATCGTTGTAAGTAACAGGAAGAGCATCATAGACTCCAGTACAGGCTCAAAAGCTATGCCGTCGTGGCACATGCAGCAGCAGAATTAGTCGTCGTCCTCGCCGTCGCCGTCGTTGTCGTTGTCGTGTTGTGCCAGTGGCAGTGGCATTGGCAGTGGCGTCAGCGGTGAAAGTGGGTTTGGCAGCAGCAGCAGCAGCAGCAGCAGTGGAGGTTGCAGAAGTAGTGGAGTGGTCGAGGTATAAGAAATAAACATGTAGCAGTATAGCCTCGTCAGTTTTGACTCGCTTCCACAGGAGCTTCGACAGATGTGCACGGAAGAGGTTGATCCCAAGGAGCATCGCTTTGTCGTGGTCGCAGAAATCTTCTGGCTTCGGTCAACCTCAAAGCCTTGCTCCTTCGATTCATGCAGGACGTTTATGCGGCCATTCACAAGGGTGGGCTCTGGCTTGGACCGCGCTTCCAGGCCGGGTGTTTCACCTGCACTTTCAACATTATCAGTCGTGGCAGGCATTTGTGTGGGAGTAGCATTCCCGGCAATGGTGGTGGTGGTAGAAACCCTAAACCCTAAACCCTAAACCCTAAACCCTGAACGCAACGAAGCGTTTCGGCGGCCGGAGGTGTGCAAGCAGATGCAACGGATGCGTACGGGTCCTTCAGGGGAAGGCCGACGTCGAGCTGCCATTTTGTCAGATGTCTTTCTTATTTGGGCGGTTGTCAAAATTATGGTCCCTTTTTGTTTTTGGGTCCTTAGTATAATACGGCACCCATTATTTAGGGTGTCCAAAAACGGACCTTAATTTTGAGTATCCCTTTCGAAGAGACCCGCAGACGGATTCCTTCAAGGTCCAGGGCAGTCGTGTCATGTCAATCACTGACCGAGCACCTGCAGGAAAAGCATTCTATGCTGCCCGTTACTGGTGTCAGGACAGGTATCATGTTTTTGTTGTCGGCGTCTTTCTTGCATGAGATCTTGTGGTATACATACGTGAGGGGAGCCGGCCATAAGGCAATACGACCCAATCTGATTAGAAACTTCTTCGCTCGTACATGTAGCTAACCTCCTGGCCCTACCTAAACCCCCTAAACCTTAAACTTGGATCTAGGTGGTGACAAGCATGTCTTGTGTCGGCTGGAGCACTCCCCGGAGCCGGGAGCCAAGTGCCCACGTGCGTATCCATGTAGCCGGAAGCGAGTGTACGTGGATTTGTAGATGGGTATTTTTATATATCTGCGTACATATGCATGCGCATGCGTGCACGCGCATGCGCATGCGCATGCGCATGGGTGCGATGTATCGACACATACATACACATGTACAAACACATGGTCATATGAGTACGCAAGCATGGGCGGAAGCTCAAAGCAACGCTTGATATGGTATGAAATCAGGTCGCAGCCCAACCAGGGCTTTTTCATGCATCCGGCTACCCTGGATGGCTGCAACCTCAGCAGAACAGTCGAGAGTGCCCACCAGTATCTGGGCAATTTCTGAAGGTACAATCCATGTGCTTGGAGCCACCATGGTTGGCTGGGATGCCCCTCTGAAGATCTTCTCCGGCATGGGTCGAGTGCAGGCTGCGACGGTATCGGGCTTGTTGACACGAAAGATGCGCAGAAACTGACAACTGTCGGAGCTCCAGGCGCACGTCCACCGGAACTTTTCGAGAGATGAGTGCCGAAGCTGCGTTGATTTCTGCACTTCAGCCTGGGGGTGGGGGAGGGTTCGTCCTGCGCTGTCCTCGATTCAGGCAATACTTCGTGCATCTGGACTTGAAGACGTTTTCCGAGCAGGAACAGGCGCATCCAGCCCTGCTTCACGCGCCGAAGACATCCTATTTTAAATCAGGCGGTGCTGCCGAAATCGGCAGGCTTGCTGAGTCTATTCATCTGTCCAGGTCTTCGACTCTACGGTCGCCACAAGCGACGGCGAAGTGCTCTTCAAGGGCACCGACGTCGCCTTCCGCAAGGCACCCTCTTTCCAGGAAGCCCTAAAGACCAAAGACCCGTGAACACTGAGAAGAGCCGGAGAGTGATCGGGGACTCGATCTTCAGCGTGATGCTTCCAGGTCACGCCAGAACAGATCAAGAAAGCCATGGAAAGCCAGATGGCAGAGGATGACCAGAAAATCTATGAGGCCCTCCAGCTTCCATCACGAGATTTCTCGAGGCAATCTCTGCAGCTCAGCAGCCTTTCCTGCTTTAGGTGCAGTGGTCGGAGTTGAAGCCGTCGAAGTCGCAAGAGGAGGACTCTAGCTAGACTCGGTGCCACATACCCTAAACACCGAACACCCCAAGTGAAACTGGCGGACGGAAAAGGGGTTTCAAAAAATAGAACCCCTAGAATACCCCACACCCTGATCTCTGCAGCTTTTAATGTAAACCCTGAAGCTCAGCCACAGACCCTGGTTATGGGGCCAGTATACATACTCTAATTACTATATACGATAGTATACGATAATATACTACAATATACTATAATGTACTACAAAGAATTATATTATACTGTCATACACTACAGTATATACTATAATGTACTATATATAGTATATACTATATTCTACTATAGTATATACTTAATCCCATCGGAGGAGGAGGAGGAGGAGAGTGAGGGTCGATGCCTCGTCCTGGCAGCGGAGGACTCCAAGGACCGCGAGTCTGTTCCGGGAAGGTCCAGATGGGTGGTTGTCAAGATTATGACCCCTTTTTGGGTTCCCTAAATATTAGGGTTTAGGGTTCAGGGTTTAGGGTTTAGGGTGTACCCTAAATATTAGGCGCCGTAGTGTAATGAGGACCCAACAAGGGACCCTAATTTTGGCAACCACCCAGATGTTCTCTCTAGGCATTTCTGTTCTGTGTCTGTGGGGGTGGACGGATGGGCGGGTGTGTATGTATGCATGCATGGATGCATGGATGGATGGATGGATGGATGGATGGATGGACGGATGCATGCATGGATTGGATGGATTGGATTGGATTGGATGGATGGTCGGATGAACGGTTGGATGGATGGAGGGATGGAAGAAGGGAAGGATGCAAGGATGGATGGTGTGTAGGTATGTCTGTATGCATGTATGGATGTATGATTGTATGGATGTATGGATGTATGGACGTACGTATGTATGTCTGTATGCATCTAGCCACGCATGACCTTTGTCCGAGTTAGATTTTGCAAGATAGTGAGACAGCTAGCTGGCTAGCCGGCTCGTCAGCTAGCTAGACAGCTGGACGTTAGATAGGTAGATCGATAGATCGAACATGCATTGATACATACCTGCAGATGTATGACTGAACATTTGTACTTATGCTTGTTCTCACATACTTGTCTCTATCCTCCCAGCACATATCTCAAATGCAACATCGATGAAAGAGGAAGTGTAACCTTCAGCCCTGAACCCCGAAGCCCGACACCCCGCACCGTCCGATATGAGGAGGGCGAAGTCCTCTCGCAGCTACCAGGGGCGGAGCTTTCCGGCATCTCTGACGAGGCTTTGGAGGCGCTCGAAGAAGGTGGGAGCTGTTTATGCCTGAAAGGGATACTGCATGTAGACTTCGACGGCTGGATGCTCCTGAGAAGCGCCAGGTGGTCTGGCTGGCCTGACGAGAATCATCAGCGCCATCGGCCTCTCAAGTGAAGATGCTGCGAGCGGCTTGGATCATGCTCTCCGCCTCATGAAGGTGCGCCGCTACGCTTTCTGCCTAAGTCGGCGTCCGTCCGCGCGCATTGAGAGTCTGCCGACTTTCGCGTGGCCAGGCCTTGGTCAAACTGCCGCCGGGCTCCGACGCACCCGAGCTGTGGCCTCTTGGCCTCTCTTTCCGCTGCTTGCTGCGTGCCTGCTGCCACTAGAGGACGCCCTCGTGTTGTCTGGGATCTCTTTCGGCCGTCTTAGGTTCCTGACCCGTCGAGCGATTGCCGTGCAGCGCAGCGACATCGATGATGTGCCGTTCCACGCGGGCATCTGGGGCTTAGCCCGTGCTCTGCGCGCAGAGCGCCCGGACCTGAAGGTGGTTTGCTTGGACGTCGCAGACCTGGATCGGCTTTTCCAGGCTCGGAGGTTTAGAAGTTAAGCGCCCCTCAAAGAGTGAACACAAAGCTTCCCAATTACAGAAAAAACTGTTTTGGGGGTTCCTGAAAAAGGTTCTAGTATACTATAACATATTTAGTATACGAATTATAGTATGTTCTAGTACATTACAATTGTACCGTAGTATCATGGGCCCCAAACCCAATTCTTTCCTGCGAGGGCCGAAAATCCTTCGAAAGGAACCCTTTGATATATATATATATATATATATATATATATATATATATATACCCTAAACCCTCAACCCTAAACCCCCAACCCTAAACCCTAAACCCTACACCCTCAACCCTTAACCAGGGCGTGAGTGCCGGTCTCGTGGCTTCGCGGAGCGGTGCCGAGCCGGAGATCGCAGTGCGCGGAGGCGCCGGGGAGGCTCTGCAGCTTCTGGGCCCGGGGCTCAGCCTCTTTTCTGGCTTGAAATCCTCTGGTATACTGTAGTATATTAGAGTATACTACACTTAAAGTATATTATAGTCTGTTATGGTAGATTATCGTTATAGTATACTGTAGTATCATGGCCCCCAAGACCTTATTCTAATCTTATCAAGGCCCCTTACATTCCGGGTAGCATGGCGATCCTTCAGCTCAGCCGCCTCCGCCTGGGATCAAACTGGGCCGAGGACCCCGGCTGGTTGATTCCAGCATCCCAGAGCCAGAGGCCCTGGCCTTCGATACCGACAGCTGCCCTGGGCTCAGTCCGCGATTTTTGGCGTGTCGCGTCTCGAAGTTGCGCAAGAGGGAGCATGCGGATTCCTCCATGGGGCTTCCGTTTCACTCTTGTGTTGGGTCTTTCAGGTCACCTCTTCAGTGGCGGCACCGGCGGTCTGGGTCTTCTCTTTGCAGGGTGGCTGGCGGAACAGGGTGTGAAGCACCTGGCGCTCATGTCAAGGTCTGGACGGATCCAAGACGAGTCTTTGCAGAAGCTCTTGGACAAAGCCTCCAAGTCCTCGAATGTGCAGATCTTCAAAGGAGACATCGGTAGTGAAGCAGACGTGGGAGAAGTTCTTGGGCAAGCGAACAAGACCCTGGCAACAGTGAGGGGCATTTGGCATGCTGCTGGGGTTTTGGATGATCATCTGATGGCCGACTTGACGATGGAGCACTTCGAGAAAGTGCTGCTCCCCAAGATTACAGGCACCCTGAACCTGCACAACTCTTCCGCGAGGAAAGGCTTGGAGTCAAAGTTGCAGCAGTTTGTCCTTTTCTCCTCCGTTGCGGCCATGATCGGTACCGCCGGACAGGGCAACTACTGCGCTGCTAACGCGTTCCTTTGCCTTGTGTAGCTTACTGGTTTGGGGGGAATTCGGAAGATAGCAATCCTTGGAGAATTAGTCCCCGTCGTGTTCATAGGAATCTTACAGACTCCGGTTACCATCCTTCCCACTTAGCATCAGCAAGGTTCATGGACTCGTTTGCCAGCTATCGTCTCGCGCGCAATCTCCCGGCTGTATCTGTGCAGTGGGGCCCATGGGCAGAGATCGGCATGGCCGCTCGCGTGGCTTGGTCAAAGAACTTCCGGATCCGAAGACTCGGGGGAGGTGTTTGGGGTGAGTAGACTTGAGTGCTGTGACAACGCCCCGCCCGGCTACAACTTCTCAGCACATGCCCATCATCCATTTGTCGACGTCTTTTCTGTGCGTTTGTGTGTGTAAATAAATAGAAAGAATATAAAGAATAAAGAGTATATGTCTACGTATACTCTACATCTATTATATACATACAGATAGATAGCACCTAGATCAAAGCTCGAGCTTCCCCGTCCCAGGCTGGTACTTCGGAAAGTGTCGTGCTTCGTATCGGTCTGGCCGACGGCCTGAAAGCCATGGAGACGATTCTGGGGGCACAGCTTGGCGGCCACCTGAGTGGTGCGGCGGCTGTGGCTGGAGTGGCCCGCATCAAGTGGCGCTCCTTCCTCTCGCAGCTTCCCGAGGTCCCATCCTTCCTGGAAAACTTCCAGCAGTATGCGCCCAAGGATGCCAAGAAGGGCGGCAGCCTCGTGGCTAAGGGTGCAGCGCCCTCCAAGGACCTGGTGAGAGCAGGCATTGAGAATGTGCTCAAGGAGGTCTTGGGAGACGACAGCCTTGATGATTTCAGTGCCCCATTGATGGACATGGGCTTGGACTCACTTGCAGCCGTGGAATTCCGCAACCGTGTCCAGGCCTCCTTCGAAGGTGTGCGGCTGAGCTCCACAGTGATGTTTGACTATCCCACCGTTGCAGATCTCACAGATTTCATCTTGTCCCAGTTTGCCCCGGAAGAGGATGCTGCCGCCGGTGGTCTTGGAGACGTTGGTGGTGCTCTCCGGGAGCCTTTGTCCATGATTGGCCTCGCAGGCCGATATCCTGGCATGTCGGCTCACAACGATGTCTCCGAGTTCTGGGCGTCTCTTTGCAGCGGCCGAGATCCCATCTCGCAGATTCCCATCGAGCGGTTCGATGTCGATGAGTTGTATGAGGAGGACCGGTCTGCGCCGGGGCGCGTGTACGTCCGTGAGGGTGGGTTCATCCCAGGCATCGAGGAGTTCGACGCGGCATTCTTCGGAATTGCAGAGCCTGAGGCTAGATCGATGGATACTCACCAGCGCCTGCAGACAGAGACCGCCTACGAAAGCTTCTACAATGCCGGCTTTACGAAGGAGACCCTCTCAAACGTGGAGTGTGGTGTTTTCATGGGTTGCTGCACCCTCACCGGCATCACAGTGGAGTATGAAGACATCGGGCCATTCACTAACATTGGCTCTGGACTCTCTGGCATGTCTGGTCGAATTTCGCATGCACTCGGCCTTCGGGGCCCTTGCTTCACCATCGACACCGCCTGCTCAAGTACCTTGGTGGCCATGGACTGTGCGGTGCAAGCCTCGCGACTAGGCCGCCAGGAGCTGGCCTGTGTGGCAGGGACGAACCTGCAGCTGCGCACAGACATGTGGGTCGGCTTCTGCAAGATGACGGGCCTGGCTGGTGACGGACGCTGCAAGACCTTCGATTCCTCTGCAGATGGCTTTGGCCGTTCAGAGGGCTCGGGCTCCGTGATTCTGCGTTTGGCCTCTGCCGCGCAAGCCAAGGGTGAGTCGGCCTTGGCCCTGACGAAGGGCAGCTGCGTGAACCAGGACGGGCGCAGCGCCACCATCACAGCCCCCAGCGGCCCGGCCCAGCAGCGGGCCTTGAGCAACTCGCTCCGGGACTCGGAGCTCAAGGCCTTGGAGGTTTCGCTCGTCGAATGCCATGGAACCGGAACTGCGCTCGGAGATCCCATTGAGGTAGGAGCGCAGGAGAAGATCTATGGCAAGGATCGTGCAGATCAGGACCAGCTGATTCTCGCGGCTGTGAAGTCGGTTATTGCTCACTTAGAGGGAGCAGCCGGTGTGGCAGGCCTCACCAAGCTGGTGAAGATGATGGAGCACAAGCAGGTGCCGCCAAACCTGCACCTGAAGAAGTTGAATCCAAACATCGACCTTTCCAACTTTGCCTGCACCATCCCCGACTGCGTCATTGACTGGAATCCCCCTGCGGGTGCCGTTCGTGTGGCCGGCGTCAGCTCCTTCGGCTTCTCGGGCACCAACTCGCACGTCAATCTGCAGGAGGCACCCCAGGCGCGGACCTTGTAGGTTGCGGGGGGGAGAGGCTCGAAGCTGCAGAGCTGCCGGTTGAGAGAGCTAAGTGCTTCAGAACGTCTGTTAGGGAGAACGTGGGAAGACGATAGAGGTCCATCTTTGAAGCTTTTGAGTCCAAGTCAGGCTGAGCTCGATGCTGTGCTGCAAGCCGCCGCCGAGAGGTCCCCACTGGTCTGGTCTCGGAGCGACTTGTCTTACAAGGATTGGGCCAAGCAGCTTTGGTCCACCATTGCGTGGCAGCCGCTGCCGGCCAGCCAAGCTACCGTGGATTCCGCCGAAGACTGGCTGGTGCTGGGCGGAGGCGATCTGGTGTCGACAGCCGCGAAGGCGGCCCTGCCCAAGGCCACGCAGGTGGACATGAGGCGACTCGCAAGCAGCAAAGACATCGAGAAGCTGCTCTCTGAAAGGACCTGGCAGGTGCTCATCTTTGCAGAGCCCTTGGTTGCAGAAGACCCAAAGCTGGACGGCCCGACCTTGGCAGCTCTGCTGCGCTTGGTGCAGGCTCTTTCCCAAGAGAAGCGCTCCCTGAAGCTGGTGCTCATGTCTCTCGGTGCACAGTCGGCCTCCTCCGGAGCCTCCGGAATCGGTCGTGGCTTGCTGGGTGCTTCGTGTTGGGGCTTCATGCGCTCCGTTCGTCTGGAAGTTCCCAGCCTGCAGCTGCGGACCGTGGACTTCGCCACGGATGCAGATCTCTCCGACTTGTTGCCGAAGGAGCTGGCAGCTGCCGGAGACTGGCCATCGGATGAGGAGAAAGCCGCCGAAAGTGCGGAGATCGCCTACATCCAAGGCGAGCGATGCACTCCAAGGCTCAAGCTAACACCCGTTACACCCGGCACGCATAAGTTGGAGGCAAATGGGAGCCACATGATCAGCGGCGGTTTCGGTGGCCTTGGCCTCTCAATCGCACAGGAGCTCGTTGACATGGGAGCTCAAAGCCTGATTCTGGTGTCCCGCAGCGGACGAGTCTCCGACGATGAGAAGTTGCAGCAGATGTTCAAAGAGCTCCAGGCATCTCCTGCGACGGTCCACACGTGGTCCTGCGACGTCGCCGATGCAGGCAAGACGCGTGAGATGCTGAAGAAGACCAAGTCCATGGAGGCTCCTTTGCAAAGTGTGGTGCACGCCGCCGGCATCATCGACTTCTGTGAGCTCGGTAATCTGACTACAGAGGGTATGGATGCGGTCTTCAAGCCAAAGGTCCTGGGGGCCTGGAACCTACACAGCGAGATCAACTCGGGAGAAGTGGACCTGGCAGCCTTCGTGCTGTTCTCCTCCGTCTCCTCCTTGGTGGGACTGTGCGAAGCTTAGCCACCGGGTGCTGTTTCGGGGAGGGTTCGCGAGTCCATGAGAGTTGAAATGCCGGATCGCATCAGGTCCTCCGGCATCACCTACTCGACGTCCAATGCCTATCTCGACGGTCTCAGCTTGTGGCGCCGCGCGGCCGGCTTGGCAGCGACCAGCTTGCAGCTTCTTGGCGCTGCTAGACCCATGCTCCGAGGGTAAAAGGAGGGACCCTTAATAAGGACCCCCAGGTATATACCCTTAATATAGCTATATTATTTATATATACCCATATAGCCCATTACAGGGTAGGGGTCCCCGTTAAGGGTCCCTCCTTTTCCCCTTTGACATCTCAGGGGCCTTTGGGGCCTGGCCATGCCGGACTGTGCTGAAATCTGAGGTGGGGTCCAGTCGCCGATGTCGGCATGGCGGCCAAGGGCGAAGCCCATGGTGCATCCGAGCCTTGGCATGCAGATGAAAGCTTTAGGAAAGCTCGTCTGCAGCCGATGTCCCAAGCCTGTGCTACCTGCTCTCCGAGGACTCGGCACTAAAGCTGATCTCCCCCAAGCATGTCCGCAATGCATTCCACCGCGTGCTCGCGAAGCCTCGCCTGGCACTGCCGCCTGCGCTGCTCTTTGCAAGTCGCTTTGCGTGCACTTGGCCTTAGCACTGCATCTGCTGTCGCAAGGCCCTCTTGCCCTCGAAGCACGCCCCGAGGTGCCACGAAACGGTCTGCAGCATCGAACCCTCAGCTCTAAACCTCAGGAGCTCGAAACCCTGGAGCCTTCCAGCCACGAGCTCTTAGGGATCGAAGAATCACGGGACTCAGCACAGCAGGCTCTACACTATAGCTTAGTGTAAGTTAAACGATACAAGTAGATGTATAGACTATATATAGTAGATATGGGAATTTCCAAAAATAGGGGACCCTAATATTCTACCCCAAATAGTAGGATCCTTATTATAAGGACCCCAAAAGAAGGCACCCCTAATGCTCGGAAACTCCCATATGTTTAACCCCATCCTCAACTTAGTTTGTAATAAACCCTAAACCCTAAACCCTAAACCCTGATCCTTCAAGCGCTCAACCCGAAAGCCCTTAGCCCTCAATCCCTAGTGACAACCTACATAGGACGTCCAATGCTGCGTGCGATGATGATGATGATGATGATGGTTCTAACTAATATTATCGTTTTCGAAGTACTACTACTTATAATTCGTTCCATTTTGATCGTATTCTTTCATGACCACGATTCTGCTTATTATCAGTATAAGTATTGGTACTAGTATTCGCATTAATTTTTGTATTCAGTATGATCGCATTATTGTTCTGCGACTCAGTTGTGCTGAATTTTCTTCATAAGCTGAGCTCAGGAGCCGATTGGTCGCGCTTCATGCAGCAGGTCGGCACCATCGTGCCGGTCTTGGCCGACTCCAAGGTGGGTTTAGGGTTAGGGCTATAAGGGTTTTAGTGATTAAGGTTTAGGGTTTAGGGTTAGGGCTATAAGGATTTTAGTGATTAGGGTTTAGGGTTTAGGGTTAGGGCTATAAGGGTTTTAGTGGTTAGGGTTTAGGGTTTAGGGTTTGGGCTATAAGGGTTTTAGTGATTAGGGTTTAGGGTTTAGGGTTAGGGCTATAAGGGTTTTAGTGATTAAGGTTTAGGGTTTAGGGTTAGGGCTATAAGGGTTTTAGTGATTAGGGTTTAGGGTTTAGGGTTAGGGCTATAAAGGTTTTAGTGATTAGGGTTTAGGGTTTAGGGTCAGGGCTATAAGGGTTTTAGTGATTAGGGTTTAGGGTTTAGGGTTAGGGCTATACGGGTTTTAGTGATTAAGGTTTAGGGTTTAGGGTTAGGGCTATAGGGGTTTTAGTGATTAGGGTTTAGGGTTTAGGGTTAGGGCTATAAGGGTTTTAGTGATTAGGGTTTAGGGTCTAGGGTTAGGGCTATAAGGGTTTTAGTGATTAGGGTTTAGGGTTTAGGGTTAGGGCTATAAGGGTTTTAGTGATTAGGGTTTAGGGTGTAGGGTTAGGGCTATAAGGGTTTTAGTGATTAGGGTTTAAGGGCTATAAGGTCAGGGCTATAAGAGCTTTAGTGATTAGGGTTTAGGGTTTAGGGTTAGGTCTATAAGGGTTTTAGTGATTAGGGTTTAGGGTTTAGGGTTAGGGCTATGAGGGTTTTAGTGATTAGGGTTTAGGGTTTAGGGTTAGGGCTATAAGGGTTTTAGTGATTAGGGTTTAGGGTTTAGGGTTAGGGCTATAAGGGTTTTAGTGATTAGGGTTTAGGGTTTAGGGTTAAGGCTATAAGGGTTTTAGTGATTAGGGTTTAGGGTTTAGGGTTAGGGCTATAAGGGTTTTAGTGATTAGGGTTTAGGGTTTAGGGTTAGGGCTATAAGGGTTTTAGTGATTGGGGTTTAGGGTTTGGGGTTAGGGCTATAAGGGTTTTAGTGATTAGGGTTTAAGGGCTATAAGGTTTTTAGGGTGTAGGGTTTAGGGTTTAGGGTTAGGGCTATAAGGATTTTTGGGTGTAGGGTTTAGGGTTTAGGTTTAGGGTGCTTTTGGGTTAGTGTTTAGGGTGAGTTAAGGGCTTCAGGGCTTTAGGGGCTTCTGGGTTAGGGTGCTTTTGGGTTACGGGTTAGGGCAAAGGGCTTCGGGGCTTTTGGGTTAGGGTTTTAGGGGTGCTGTGGGGTTCAGGGTCTCCAGGTTTACAGGCTCAAAGTGTCGGGTGCAGGGTTAGAAGTTTAGAGTGTGCCATCAGACTGGCAGTTTGGGGTACGGTAGGGTTTAGGGTTTAGGGTTTAGGGTTGGGGTGCATCAAACATGACTAAGAATGGATGCTCAGGAGGATACGATCTCCAACTACTCAGACCCCGTGGTAATGTAGGAGCCTGATGAAGAAATCCTGGGTCCATTTTTAAGGGTTCCTTATAATATGAATCCTAATATATTGGGGGTTTATAGGGCCAGGGTTTCTTAACTATTTAAATCAGGTTCCTACATTAGCCTACGTCAGGCCAGCAGCTCCGTCGCTGCTCCCAGCGCCCTCCTGTCGGCCCTTGAGGGCTTGTCCCCGGAGGCAGTGCAGAGCCTCTTGGCCCCGAGAGGCTTCAGCGGAGTAGGGGGCGTAGGGGGTTGAGGACCACCCGAAGTTATGGAAGCCGAAACGGTAAATCGCAGAAGTGTATATACATTGCACTAAGATAGGATTTAAGACTTGGGAGTTTCAGGGTTAAGGTGGTGTATTGTCTCGAGCAAGCGGACAGGGTCGCATTGCTACCCGAACAACGGAGAATCGGCAACAGTTTCTGCCCATCAAAAGCTGTGCATCGGAAACCAGCGTTCTGCGGAAACTGCGCATCGGAAAAACGACGCACATCGGAAACTGCGCAATGGAACCGACACTGCGAATCGGAAACGGCGGAGGGGAAGCCTATGATGACGTCTATTCTACCGGTGCTTCCAGAATTAACAGCATCCATGCCCGAACGATGATAACAATGCCGCCCGTGCATCGACTTCCGGGAGCATCCGTGCCCAATAGCGTCCCCCGAGCCACCACGCCCAGCAAAGGTAAGCTGACGGCGACAGTCTTGGACGTGGCCCAGGGTGTGTTGGGAGAGACCTTGGAGGAAGATGCCCCACTCATGGAGGCGGGCTTGGACTCGCTCTCCGCTGTGGACTTCCGAAACCAGGCTCGGCCATTCATAAACAAGCTTGGACAAGAATGGTGACGGTATTCTCAGATGCGATGGTGATGACTGATGATGATGATTCAGTGATGCTGGTGAGGGTTCAGTGATGATGGTGATGTTGTTGATGATGGCGGTGGTGGTGACCATGATGATCACAGTGACGGCATGGTGATGCCCAGGAGGAGAAGGTGCAGAAGGAACAGGAGGAGAAAACTAACTACCCAGAGAACCCAATACCCCTTAATTAAGGAATATACCGTAAATCCTACAACTAGGGCCTCTATAATTTAAGGTATATTCCTTAGCTGAGGGGTATTGGGTTCTCTGGGTAGGCCATCACAGCACCTGCACCCTGCCAGGTAGCAAAGCAGTTGCCAGGACTGAAGCTGCCAAACACGTCCCCTGGCTTGTTTGGGATGGGAGTTCGTGCGACGGGGTACTTGCACACCAGACATGCCATAAAGGCATAAATCGGTAGAAAGGAATAAAGGAAAGAAGGAATAAAGGCATAAAGATATAAAGGTATAAAGGTATGAAGGCATAAATCAGTACAAAGCTACAAAGGTAGCTGAAGCCCAAGTTTAGGAGATGATGCCCACAAGCCTTGTGTTCAAGCTTTGGCCAAGCACATGTCAAGCCAGGCTGATGTTCGACTATCCCAGCCCGGGTGCCATTGCAAAATACGCTGCGGCTCAGCTGGCACCATCCGCTGCACCAGCACTGCCCGTCATCCGTGCACCGGTGGCAGACGAGAGGGGGCCACTCGCAGCGTTGTCTACTGCATGCCACTTCCCTGCTGATGGGGATGATTCCCAGACTTTCTGGGCAGCCTTGGTGAGTAAAACGGACGGCGTCACCGAGATCCCCTACGATCGATGGGACGTAGACGAGTATTATGATGCTGCTCCTGGCACCGTTGGACGAATGTATGTTCGCCATGCTGCATTCGTGAAGAATGCTGAATGCTTTGATGCCGCGCTGTTCAGCATCTCCGGCGCAGAGGCCGGCATTTTTCGTCACGTGCTGTCTGAACAATGTCCTTCGTTTGTACATGCACAAGCTTCATTGACCAAGATGGCACAGGGCTGCCGAAAGTTAGCGAACCTGTTGCAGCATGCAGCATACTCTTTTGCCTGCTGTCGAAGGCTGCGAGCATGGACCCCCAGCAGCGACTCCTTCTGGAGATCGTTCAGGAAGGATTCCACGCCGCCAAGTCGCTGCTGAGCATCGGAGGCGCAACGTCACCGCTCAGCACCAAGGACACCTGGTAGTTCCAGCTGCAGCATTTTGCAGTTCTTGTTCTTCGGCGCTTACAAAACATGCAAGCCTTACCATCCTTCTCCAAAGATGCCTTGGGTGCTTTTGGTGCTCCCAACTCAGAAGCGAGATTGAATTGTCGGGTTGGGGAAGAGCAGAGCCAGTCACATGCAATGTGCTTATGCTCACAAGTGCTCGTGCTGCGGTTCCTTGATCACAAGCCTCTTGCTGTGACACTGCCGAAGGACATCGGAAGTTTCGTCGGTGAGTGCAACAACGCCTCGTGGTTGCCATTTCGGGAGCATGTAGAGACGTAGTGTTTCGGGTTGAATTTTTGACTCTGGGCCTAGGACTGGGGCCACTTCAAGAATCTCGAGACGGAGAAGATGAACCCTTTCAGTGGCACGGGTGGTTCCATGTCCATCTCCTCCAATCGCCTTGCATACGTCTTCGGCTTCAAAGGCCCGAGTGTCACCTCAGATACGGCTTGCTCCTCATCGCTGATCGCGCTGGACATTGCGGCTGCGAACATCGGGCGAAGTCGTTGCATGGCGGCGGTGTCAGCCGGTGTGAACATGAACCTGCTGCCCGGGCCATTCGTGGCATGCTGTCAGGCACGTATGCTTTCAGAAGGCGGCCGATGCAAGACCTTTGATGCCTCCGCAGATGGCTATTCTCGGGGCGAGGGTGCGGGAACTGTCCTGGTGCGGCGCCTGTCGGATCTCGGAGACATGAGCGTAGCGGCCGTGAGTGGCACGGCAGCGAACCAGGATGGCAGGAGCTCCTCCCTGACGGCTCCCAACGGCCCTGCACCTCACCTTTGGTTAGTAGGGAATGGAAGAATGGTAGTAATAGTGGTTATAATTGTACCCCATTCCTCCATTCCCGACTAACCAGAGCTAAGGCACAGCAAGATGTGATTCAGACTGCTTGGGCAGAGGCGGGCCTTGCACCAAGTGCCGCGGATTTCATTGAGACGCACGGCACCGGCACCGGCTTGGGTGATCCCATTGAAGTCGGATCTCTCTGCAACACGATGGGCCAGAACCGCAGCACTGCTCCTTGACTGAGGGAGGGGATGCCTTGCAAGGATGGCTGTCAAGACTCCTGAGCACCCGAGGCTCTGCAGGTGGGAGCCGTGAAGACGAATGCCCGGCACTCAGAGAAGCAATGAGCAGATGTGCAGAGACCGCAGAGATGCTAAATGCTGCCGGCTAAAAGTGACACGAGGACAACTTCAATCAAGCCCAAACCAGAGACTAATATTAATACTAATACTAATATTAATACTAATGCCAATACTTATAGTTACTGTGCTACCAAGCACGGAACTCCAAGGTCAGCCATCTGGAGGGTGCTGCAGGTATCGCCGGTCTCCTGAAGGCTTTGTCGGCCATGGTCCACAGCCAGGTGCCCCCAAACCTTCACTTGGCCAGCCTCAACCCCCACATGGACATCGAAGATGTGAAGTTCAGCTTCCCTACGGAAGCCGTGGTGGAGCTCTCCCGCGAGACGCTTCGCACCTTCGGGCTCTCTTCCTTCGGATTCGGCGCCACGGCCACAAAATCTCAGCAAGCCGTGTCTGATTTCTGGGGAAGACTCCACTTCTTTTCCTTGGCTTCACGGACCCGCGCCCTAAACCCTAAATCCCTTCTTGGAGGTACATGGGTAGTGTTAAGTGGAGTTAGAAGTAGGGTTACTATAATTATAACCCTTATTATGGGGACTTACAACCCTACTTATAGCTACCCATGAACCTCCAAGTCCGTCAGCGAGATGCGACTTGAGACTCTCAGGTGGCACGAACACGCACGTCACGGGCCTCGCCCCGGCCGGAGAGAAGCAGCAGGAACCTGCAGAGGACTGCTGGCTTCAGAAGGGTGTAGGGTTCAGGGTTTAGGGTTTTGGGTTTAAGGTTGAGGGTTTAGGGTTTGGGGTTCAGGCTTTAGGGGGTGTCTCTTAGATCCTGCCAGGAGAAGATCGTCTTCAACCGCCAGCGGTTTGGTTGGTCTCAGACGAAGCACCCCTTGTCAGTGGCACCGCGCAAAGGCGCTCCCAAAGGGGGGGGGCTGGTTCAAGAACAAGAGTTTCTTCTGAGGTGCACAGGGACGCATGGAAGGAGTTGCCGTGATGTGGAAGAACTGCTTTTGCATCGTATTACAGTTAGTCGCAGTTGTTTAGAAAGCATTTCTGTTTACCTTCCTCATCTGCACTCGCCTCGTGGAGAGTTGAGGGTACCATCAATTTGCTGTTTGGGGTTTAGGGGTTTAGGGTTTTAGGGAACCCTCAAGACTAAAGTCTCTTCTCTCTTCTTCCGTGAGGTGGCGAGCCGGGACTTCAAGTCTTCTCCGCCCCGATCAAGGGCAAGGCAAGGCGGTCACAGGAGCTTAGAGTCGGCCTTTAGAGCGAGCTTTTTGGGCTTTGGGGCTCTGGGACGCTGGCCTGAGGGTTTAGGGTTGGGGTTCTTGTGGGTTTTTAGGGTTTCAGGGTTCGCTGTCTGGCTGGGGCTTGGCGTTTGTGGTGTTTCCTGCCCTGGGAGGTTCTCGAACTCCTGTCGCACCACATCATCTATGGCGAGATCGTGGTTCCAGGACCGCCCAGGGATCCTGAGAACAACTACACTTAAAGGATCATGGGACTTAGTAAGTAAGGTTATAAGTACCTTAATTGGGGTTATAAGTAGATATAAGTATAGTTACCCTAATTATAACCTTAGTTACTAAGTCCCATGATCCTTCAAGCAGCCTTCTTGCGTCAGTCCGAACTGACCATGTCTTCGCTGGCAGGTGCAACGTATATCGAGATGGTGATCGCAACTTCGGCTTTCCGCCTCGGCATGGAGGGCAGGCGCTTCGCGTTAGAGAACATCGGCTTCCAAAACCCCTTGGTGCTTCGGCCATCCAACGATGACAAGGCCGGGACGCGGTAGTCACACCGTCCCTGCAAGTTGATGGGCATCCCTGGCGGCAGGTAAATCCAGAACTGAACCCCGGTGTGGATCTCTACTTGCAGATCCAGGAGCATGCGCAAAGCTCTCCTTCTTCTTCCTTTTCGCATATTCGCATCTGGATGACATGCACTCATCGTCTCTATCTGCTTGCTTGACCATGTTTGTGAATCCCCTAAACGTGGACTTTCTTCATCATTGTTAGAAAAGTGCAGACCTACCGCCACCACAGATGCTGTGAGTCGGTCCCTCGAATCAGCTTGAGACAGAAGCCCTTGCCGTAATCTTGCCAAGCTTGTTTCATGGGAGTACGGGGTTTCAGGTTTTGGAACCAGAGGGAGGACACAAGAGATTCGAGCTTGGAGGTAACATGCGAGAGCGAGCGAGCGAGAGAGAGCGAGAGAGAGAGAGAGAGAGATAAGAGAGAGAGAGAGAGAGAGAGAGAGAGAGAGAGAGAGAGAGAGAGAGAGAGAGAGAGAGAGAGAGAGGGGGACGGGAAGAGAGAGAGCGAGACAGAGTGCATAAGGGATGGTTTAGGATTGAGGGTTTGCGAACTCATATTCGATCCGAAACGCGGCAGGAGAATACGGGCCGTTGGTCCATGAGCAGTGTGGAGTCCGGTTCGTCCGACGTCATCAACACACATGCGGAGGGCTCATTGAGCTTTCTGGGACCAAAGGCCGGGCGGGACAGAAGTTCCTTGGAGGTTCATGGGTAGTTACAAGTGGGTTTATAAGTAGGTTAACCAAAGTTATAATGCTATAAGCCCTATTTGGGGACTTGTAGCACTACTTATAACTTACTAACTAACCATGAACCTCCAAGTATCCTCCATTCTGAAGATGCAGCCTGTCCTGATGATGTTGACTACGATGACCATCGAGCAGTACTGCTGTTATTCTTCTAAGTCTTTCTCTTGTGACGGCAAGTGGCTGTGTTCAAGCTACTTTGCTTGCGAGAAAGCCAGAGCATACCAAAGGTGCGATCCATGCGACTGAAACCCAAACGACAAACCCTAATTCTCAAACCCCGAAGCCCTCAGCCCACCCAAACCATAAGCCCAAATTCTCAAACCCTCAGCCCTAAACCCGAAACCTTAAACCCTAAACCCCTCAGCCCACACAGGGCTCCTCCAGTGCTGCCGAGCTTCGGCACCTACCGCTCGAAGAGATCCGCTCGCGCTGTCCGGAGGAGGTTGAAGACTCCCGGATGTATGCGCCTCCCGTGGATTTTGATGTAAGAACAACAAAAAAGAGGGAGAACAACGAGAGCAACAGGGGTCATAGAACAAAAGGAATAGTAAGAGCAATCATAGCTATAAATCTTATTAAAACAAGAAGACTAATCATATCAGGTATGCACACATACTCTCTAGGCTCTCTCTAGGCTCTCTCTCTCTCTCTCTCTCTCTCTCTCTCTCTCTCTCTCTCTCTCTCTCTCTCTCTCAATATATATATATATATATATATATACATATGTATACCTTAGATATAGACACACGCACACACACACACACACACACATATGCCTGCATGCATGCATGCAGACATATCTATATCTATAGCTACATCCTTCTATGTGTTTGTGTTTATGTGTGGGTATGTACTTGTGTAAATGTATATGTAGATTACGTACATGTACATGTGCATGTGTATGTGATTTTGGTGTTCTATGTTTATGTATATGTAAGTCTGCACACATATCATATATATATATATGTTTATATACATATGTATGTAGGTAGGAAGGTATGTAGGTATGCATACATGCGGATGAATGGTGAGTGTTAAGGTTGATTCGGAGTAGCTGTGAAGTTTGCGCACCCAACGATATTCCAATACCGGCCTTCCAGAAGCCTGCTAGAACTGGCCAACTTGCGTTATCAAAGTTGGTCCTCTCCTTAGACCCCCAACCACCCCCTAAAATACCCTAAAAATATAAACTACTAAGGACCATAAGGGCTCCACTAAAGGGCCATTGGGGGGTCCTGGTCACTCAGCCGAGGTGCCCTTTGCGAACATCGGTTTGCCTTTGCAGCCGCGCTTCCGAACAGTCCGCAGCATCAAGCGCTCCCAGGACGCCCAAGTCGATGATATCGGGGCCCTTAAAGCTATTTTGGGGGGTTCCTTTTTATAGTTATAGTATAACGGGCCCCACAATTATGCTTGTAGTCGTCGCGTTTTTGACCATCAATAGTGTCCCCATCTTCAGCTCATCTGCTGCTGCTCCTCCTCCGCCTCCTCCTCAGTATCAGACATGACCCTCCATCACCCCTCGTCGTCACGAAGCCTTGACTCATGTCCCTTTGTACCGCTGATGTCAACGTACAGGACGAAATCATCGCCTGGGTGGCCGCGCAAGAGGATGGCACCAATGCCGGCTTCATCTTTGGCACCTTGGACAGTTCCAGACTATCATAGGAGGCCGAAAGGGGTTTGGGTTTAGTAGGGATTAGGGTTCCCATAATAGGGTTCATATTAAGGAATCCCTACCCCAAGAATCTGAACCCCCCCTTTTGGCCTCCCATCAGACTAGTCGGTGAAGACTCCGTGAGAGTTTTCTCCATGACTGTGGCATTCCTTCCCAAGGTCCCGCCGTCATCGACGGTAGCTTCCAGGTCCGATGCCCAAAGCGGTGATTCCCTCCATTGAGCCTGTTGCCTGTTTCGTTTCTGTGCCGAGGCAAGCTGCGCTTTCCAAAATCTGGAGGCCGACTGCAGTACTTGGGGAGGAAGTCGAGAGGGTTTCAACCGCGGCTCGGGATGAGCGCAGGAGTGACCTACTATCTTAAAACTCCAAATCCCTAGAAAACCTTCAAACCTTCCCAACATAGAACAAGCAGCCCTGAGCCCTAAACCCTAAACCGCTGAAAAAAAAGCCTGCTTCGTCCATCCCGGAACTCCACGAGACTTCGGAAGCCCTAAACCCTAAACCCCCAAACCCTAAACCCCTGAACCCTAAACCCTAAACAATGAACCCTAAACCCCTAAACCCCCAAGCCCTAAACCCCTAAACCCTAAACCCCCAAACCCCTAAACCCTAAAACCCCTAAACCCTAAACCCCCAAAAGGCGCTGCCCAGCCTCCGAATTCCGCTGTCCATCGACCGCGTGCAACTTCTGGGCCAGGGCTTCTCCCCCAAGGCCCGGCCTGGAACATTCCCTTTCTTTGGGACCGGAGCTTGAGGGTTTAGGGGTTTGGGGGTTTGGGGGTTTTGGGGGTTTGGGGGTTTGGGGGTTTATGGGTTTAGGGGCTTAGGGTTCAGGGTTCAGGGTTTGGGGGTTTGGGGGTTTAGGGGTTTAGGGGTTCAGGGGTTCAGGGGTTTGGGGGTTTGGGGGTTTATGGGTTTAGGGGTTTAGGGCTCAGGGTTCAGGGTTTGGGTGTTTAGGGGTTTAGGGGTTTAGGGTTTGGGGGGTTTAAGGACGGGGTCAAAGCGATGCCGTGTTGCGGCCTTGGTACCGCCCAGCGACCGAGAAGATGGAGCTGTTCTGTCCTGCTCACCAAGTCACTAAGTCCTCGGCCTTTTGGGGGAATACTAGGTGCTACCAGTAGGGCCCAGGGCTCTTATGAGACTTCTATCAGAGTGTGCGTGCTGTCGACGTTGCGCCCATCAAACGAACATGAGAAGTAAGGTTTGGGGTTTTGGAGTTTGGAGATTTTTGGGGTTTAGTGTTTTAGGATTCTAGGGTTTAGGGTATCAGGAGATGTAACATAGATCACAGGGGCTTAGATTGCATCAAGTATGTAGGTTGTGTCTCCAGGTTTGGGTGCACCACACTCTGCTGGACAACAGCGAAAAGCAGATGGTGGCTGGCTCAGCATAACGCAGACATGCAATGTTACTCGCAGCATGAGCACAGTGTGGCCATGTTGCCATGTCTGAAGCAGTGACAGCGGGGGAAGTCGGAACGTAGTTCTCCCTCCCTCGTTCTCCCGACATGGCCATCGAATGTACCATTGACATGCAGTTGAACTCTCAAGTTGTTGTGTCACTTCTCGATGCTTCCTCAGGAGACCAATGTGCAACTGGCGCGAGACGACCTGACGGTGATCCTAACGATGGATACCGGGCGCGTACATGTTGTGATGATGTTTACAGGGCTTTGGCGTTTGGTCTGAGCATCATCACTGTTATCATGCTCACCATCATCATCATCATCAAATCATGTCAGTAAGCGACCTCGTAGGATCCTCGCCCTCATGGGCTCGTAAGACTCGCTAGGGTCCTCCTTTCGGCGCGGTCTCCTTGTCGCAAAGTTTGATTCACTGACGTCCCGAGCTGCGCAGTCCTGCACATGGCCAGAATCGCATGCCTCAGACTTGCTAGGAAATAAGACTCTTCTGTGGGTGCTTGCAGTCACAGCCCTACTCATTCAAGTTGTCCCAGGATCGTATGCGGCTCCGAGAAGTGCGACCGGAGCACATCGCACCCCGCTTCCCGAAGGGACGTTGTCATTTCGCGTGGCGGGCTGTGTCATGGGATAGTCAGTGTCGTGAATTGGCGTAAGGCAAAGATGCTGGCTGCTTCCGCCGGTGATGCCGATGAGGACCTATCACGGTTTAGGGTTTAGGGTTTAGGGTTTAGGGTTTAGGGTGTCTCCATCCTCGTTACATCGAAGAAGTGTCATTGTACATCCTGAACTCCGGGCCCCAGACCCCATAAACTATAAACCCTAAAGTCTCAAGCCTAAACCCTAAATCCCAAAGTCTCCCTTTAAAGGAACCCTATTCTAATCATTGAAGTATGATTTAGGGCCCTAAACCCTAAAGTTCCCTAAAGTTTCGACCTTGAAATCGAGTTTGCCAGGACCTGCTTGAAGTCGAGTGGGCTCCTCTCGAGGGGAAGTTGGGGAAAGCGGAAGACAAGGCCTGATTCGCAGGATCTTTAGGGCTTAGGGGTTTAGGGTTGAGGGTTTAGGGTTCAGGGTTTAGGGTTCAGGGTTTAGGGTTGAGGGTCTAGGGTTTAGGGTTTGGGGTTCAGGGTTCAGGGTTTAGGGTTGAGGGTTAAGGTTTAGAGTTTAGGGGTTTAGGGGGGGGGGTTAGGGTTTGGGTTTAGGTTTAGGGAACATTCAATTGTGAACAGCGACAGTGCGACTGCTGATAGCAGTAGTGCTCATGATCGTGGCCGTCATCATGATCCGACGAATGATCACAAGGTGGCTTCATATGTAGAAGTTTTGGCCAACCTGTTTCCGGCACATATACCTGTACATACATATGCATATTACATATATATATATATATATATATATATATATATCTGTTTATATCGCTGTTTGCATACATATTCCGGTGTATATATATATATATACATATATATATATATATATATGTATTGGTGTGTGTGTGTGCGCGCATAAGTTTGTCCTCCTGCGCTGCGCTGTGACCGTGCGGTTTCCTCTGCAGGCCCACTTGGCACGGCCCCTCTTCGTGGGAGCAAGCGCCGAGCTTGAGCCGGTTCTGGCGAGGGAGTTCGCACAAGCAAGCTTCGCGCGTGGTGACAAGGCCTCCTCGGGAAGAGGGGTTCACCACAGGGAGCCTTGGGGGGGTAAGGGGGGGTAAGGGGGAGGGGGGGTAGGGGACTATACTTCCGTGAATAGGCCTTATTAGGTCCTAATTACGGGCATTAAGGCCCCCTCCCCCCTCAGGGTCCCTATGAGCTTAGGAGACTATATTTGGATTGCTGTAAGGGTGATTACAAGGGTTGGTACCAGTGCAAGTAGTAATCAGGGCTGAGGGTTGAGCTTCAGGAGTTTGGGGAGTGTGATGAAGGTTTAGGGCTTTGGGTTGGGAGCTAGGCTTCGGGATGATAGAGTCTGGATTCTGGAGTCGAGGGTGCAGGATGCAGCATAAACGACAGAAGCAAAGCGATAAAGGCCTAGCGAGGCAGAAAGTAAATCAGTAGCTGACAATGACGAACGAAAGCACTCAGCCGCTGGCTGCCCGGGAAATCGTGTCCTATCTTATCGTGTCCCGCACCAGTAGCTTGTTCTGGAACTAAACAGTAGAGAATGGGCAACTGTCAGTAGCGAGCACATGCGGTCCTGGGAAGAGCAGTACGGTTGCAGTGACTTCGCTATGATATCATGCTTACGAGCAGCAGTGAGAATCATGACATTCGTGAACATGGTAGTAGTCCTCGTGTGCACATCATATTTTAGATTCTGCTGCGTCGCCGTGCTCTGACCCGGGCTTTATGAGCTAAGCAGAGCCCTGTTCAGGAATCCTTGGAGCAACAGCTCCAGCAAGGTGGCATCACCGCTGTGGTACATGTGGCCGCGCTGGGAGAAGCCAACGAGATGGATGCCTTGCATTCAGCGCTCGTCTTGGCTCAGATTGCTGCCCAGCGGGTTGCTGCTAAGTCGGGTGTTCCACCCATTTGGTGGGTCACACATGGCACGCAGGAAGGTACGATCCGCAGCTACATGCACTCCGGTCTCTGGGGTCTTGCGCGAACGTTCCGCATGGAGGAACGGGGAGTTGAGCTTCGCTGCCTGGATCTGGATGGATCGCTGGCTACTTGCGACGATCTGGTTTCCGACCTGAAGCACTGGCTGACAGTCTTGAAGGGAAGTGAAGCCGAGACGGAGGTGGTGGTTACCGCCACAAGTGGTGGATCTGCCAGCGTCTCGCGCCTTTCCCGAAGCAAGGCACTGCCCATGAAGGCCACGGAGCTCCTCATGTCCTCGCGCGGGAGCCTCTCCAACCTCAGGCGGGCTTTTCGGGAGCCTCTGCTGTCGGAGATTCTCTGAAGCTCTCCTCTTTCTCGCCTTCTCTTTCCGCAAGATCTTACCTGTGACACTGGCTCACGTTCTGTTGCAGCCGCAGTCATCCCAGAATCCTACACACCTTGGGAGAACCTGAAAGACTCCTAGCTGCACCTGGATGCAGGCCTATCACCCAGGAGTCCCGACGGGCGCCGGAAGCGACAGAAGCGGAGCGGGGTGGGTTCCGGGGGACATGCCTTGTTTGCTCAGCAGTTGAATTCAAATCACAATAAGAAGCTGCGTTCAGGCCAGGTTTCGTGCGACTGTGCTGAACCTTGCCCCTTTGGCCGGATTGCATGAAAGGGGTCATGGTCATCTAACCTCCAACTTACTCATTCGGTGTGCGCTGTGCAAGGTTCAAGTCTCACAAGGTATCAGCACCAATCATTTCGACAATGCTTTGGGTGCTGACATTTTCAGAAGTTCCGACTGCTGCTCGTAGAATACCTTAGCTTATGAAGCGAGCAATTCTTAATAACTAGTGTAGTACCCTGATAGATCTCGTATACTAGCCCTTAAAGCCGCTAAAACCCCAAAACCCTAAACCCAAAACCCCAAATCCTAAACCCTAAACCCTAAACCCGAATAGTAGCCCTTACCCCTGAAAAGGGAACCCCAATAAGAGGCCCCCTTTAGCTCTCTGCAGGAGCTGCGGGTGCGAGCAGTCGGCCTAAACTTCAGAGACGTACTCAACGTGATGGGCAGCTTGGCATAACGGTTTAGGGTTTAGGGCTTTGGCTTCCTGGCTTTCTGGTGATTCTAGTCGGTGCAGCCCGCGTAGTACCTGGGTTTCTACAAGCACGCTATTCTTTTACTCCAAGCCGTCGTGGTTGTAGTAATTGGTAAGAGTCGTCATCATCCTTGTCGTAGTCATAGTCCTACTACTAACTAGTACTACTACCACCAGCAGCACTCCTTTCCACCACTTCTTCCGCCATTGCCAACACAAGCAGTGCTGCAAGTACAACGACGACAGTGGTGGTTTCTCAACTCATCTTCCTGGCTAAGTGAGGCCTGTATCCTGGAGATCCTGGCCCTCCTGGTGCGGACAGTGCAGGTTCAGGCCTCAGCGGCCTCTGCCGACTTACACTGGATAGAGTGAGAGTCAACAACGGTCCAAGCAACAGGTTTGCTGTGTCGGGATACTCCGAGGTACCGTCCTCTCGACCGGCAGCGCCATCTCGCATATTCGCTGCTCGGAAGATTGAAGACCCGACACCTCTCCCACTCCCGAAGCGTCACTTGTGCTTCCACTTTAATGCGCTGATGATGCAATCGTAACATGTTATTGATTGAAAAGCAGTATGTCAATTGCATGCTTAACATGTGTATAGAGCTAAAACCAATGTAGTCTTTCCAGGTCGTGGCGACGATGTCTTCGGCGAGTCACCCGGGTGCTTGAAAGTCTACAACGCCGGCCCCGGTGCGCTTCTGACCCCGAAGCCACCGAGCTGGTCCTTCGAGGAGGCGCCAGAGGGGGACAGTTCAGTAATAAGGTCTAATACAGGGGCCTTATTAACTAGAATAGGGTTTTGGGGCCCTTGATATTATACTTCTAATAAGGAACCCCCCAAGATAGTGTTTGTAATTATACTAAGGCTGCCATAGTATAAGCAGTAAGCTTCACATCCTGTACAGCTACGGCCCTCTGGAGCCTGCCCTAAACCCTAAACCTCTAAATCCTAAACCCTTGAGAGGCCTGCTGCATGCCCGTGATCTTCGTCACGGTGGAAGAGGCCTTGGGCGACTTGGCCCAGCTGAAGCGCGGGGAGCGCGTGCTCATCCACGCGGCGGCTGGCGGCGTCGGCCTCGTGGCGATCCAGTACGCGCAGTTCGTCGGAGCCGAGGCAGCCGGCTTACGGGTTTTGTGGTTCAGGGTTTGGGGTTAATTCGGGGTTTAGGGTTTGCTTTTTTGGGGTTTGGAGGTTTTCAGGGTTGGGGGGTTAGGGTAGGGTTTAGGGTTTTCGGGTTTTAGGGGTTTTAGCGAAATCAAGAAGCGAATGCTTGCAATCTGCTGAGGTGTATGCCACTGCCGGTGCCGACGAGAAGCACCAGTTCCTCCGATCCATGGGGGTGAAGTACATCACGAGCAGCAGGAACGGTGCAAAGTTTGAAGAGGACATGAAAGCCTTCCTGGCGGAAGCCGGCGATGACGGAATTGATGTGGTGCTCAACAGTCTCAGCGCCTCGCCCGAATATCGAGGTAATTCTGAGATGCTTAGACCGTCCACCCTATTCATACAGACTTTCTATGCACTTGACTCATCCACCACGTGCTGCCTTAGGCCACGACGACTACATTCCGAGATCTTTGGCTCTTCTTCGCAAGGGCGGCCGTTTCATGGAGATCGGCAAGCGGGGCATTTGGAGCCACGAGCAGATGTTCGAGGCGCGGCCGGATGTCATGTACGAGAAGATCGCGGCAGACACAATGATGGACAAGGACGGGCACCTGAGTACGAGAGGGTTCTTTCATGCTTCTTTTCTTAGCCTCGATGTAAGAAAAGCTCATGAACCAGGAGCCGTGGCGTTACAACGGTTACATGAAGCGCCTCATCAGTCGCGTGGACGAAGGCCGGTCGCAAAGCTAGAACAGCTCGTTGAATAGAGAGAAAAATCTAAATCCGCTTTGCTTCTCTGGGGCTCAGAGGGATCTCGTGGCAGGGTGCAGAGTCTCTTAGGTTAGATGTAGCTCGTCCCCGTTGTGATGTGGAAGGTGGTTTGAAACCCATCAACATGCACGTCTTTGACGGCATGGAGACGGGAGTCAAGGCAATGCAGTTCCTCCAGCGCGCCCAGAACATCGGAAAAGTGGTGATTAGCCAGCCCAGCACTCTGGCTCTCAAGCCGGAGTCCCACTATGTCCTCAGTGGAGGCATCCTGGCTTATAAACTGTAAATCTTATACTGTATGTTATATACTACATATTGTATAAATGTATATCATAAGTTATACGTTATATATTGTTCTAAAGCTGATTTGATTTTCATACTTGGTCATCGTCGCTTCTACCTCATGAATTGCCTTGAAGTGATGAAACACAGAGTTCTTGGAGTCTCCAGATAGGCTCCCTAAACTCCCTGCCCAGAGAGCCCCATGCCTCTTAATTAAGGAGTATGGCTTAAACCATAATAAGAAGCCCTATATAGTTTAAGCCATATTCCTTAATTAGGGGGTATTGGGCTCTCTGCGTAAACCCGCAAGGAATGGGAGCTCTTGGCATGGTCACGGCACAGCTCCTTGGTCGTAAGGTCTTCGAGTTTAGGGTTTAGGCATGAAGCTAAAGAATATTGTATCCTAAACCCTAAACCCTAAACCCTAACCCAAAACTCTAAAGCCTAAACCCTAAACTCTAGGCCTTAAGCCCTAAACCTAAACCCTAAACCCAAGTAAAGATCATCCCAGGTACCTCCTGGAGGAGGGGGCGAAGTCGATGACTCTGCTTTCCCGCAGTGGCCGCTGCTCGGATTTCTCATTACCATAGGGGCCTAAATAAAATTACAGTAGGGTTCCTTTAAAGGGAGTGTTTAGGGTTTAGGGGGCTGAAATAATGATTAGAATAGGGTTCATTTAAAGAGTTCCTTAGAAGGGGTCTATAAGGGTTACTATAGGGGGCCGAAGTAATTACCAATATCATTTTTGGGGTTCCTTAACATACTTATAGTATAATGAGCCCCAAAACCCTATTCTAAAATGTTGAGGCCTCTATACTATGCAAGGTGTGAAGCCTCTTCCAGACGTCTTTCTGGGGGCCATCATGCTGGCAAATAACAGCAGTAAGACGGAATCAACTTTTAGTGATGTGTGATAGCGATAGTTGCATCCCTACAGCTGTAACATGTGTGATATGGATTGCAATCTGCATCCGGCCGAAGATTTCCGAATTCAGAGCTTTGACCGGTTCTTGACAGTCAGCTGGGCATTCTTGCGAGCTTTTGGGCCAGCGTGCGTGATACCAAGGGCCGTCGGCAGACATTACGGAGCTTTGGAAAGCCCTGCAACTTCGATGGCCAATACTCAATACCCAACCTTTAAACTTTTTGGGTTCTCGTAGTCTAGTAGGAATCGGAAAGCTTAACCTTATATTCCCGTGGCTTCTTGGGGTAGTCAGGCAAGACTCCAGCGTGGAGCTGCAGGCGAGCCCGTGCGACATCGGAGTCTTGGATGCCGTGCAGTCCTTGGCCCAGAAGCTCAGGGAGGAGACTGTCGGGTTTGAGGTTTAGGGTTTAGGGCCTAGGGTTTAAGGTTTAGGGTCTGGGGTTTAGGGTTTAAGGGTTTAGGGTCTGGGGTTTAGGGTTTAAGGGTTTAGGGTCTGGGGTTTAGGGTTTAAGGGTTTAGGGTCTGGGGTTTAGGGTTTTAGGGTTTAGGGTCTGGGGTTTAGGGTTTTAGGGTTTAGGGTTTGGGTTCTTGGGCGACTATAGAGATCCATAAGGGATTCTACACTACACGGACTACAAAAGGGATCCACTCCCCCATTGCGGATTCTATAGGGACACTATAGGGATCCATTCCCCCGTTTCCTACTAAGCACCAGACAGGAGAAAAAGGAAACGGCTGGGCTGATCCACTTGGCGGCTGTCCTGGATGATGCCACGCTTCCCAAGCTGACCCGAGGTCACCTGGAAAGATCCTACGGGGCCAAAGCCTCTTTGTCATAGTTGGGTACCATTTTTTTAATTTTTATGGGTACTTAAACCCAAGAAGGAATAGAATGTGATTCTTATGGTTACTTAAACCCACTACGGAGTAGAATGTGATTCTTATGGTTACTTAAACCCAAGAAAGGAATAGAATGTGATTCTTATGGGTACTTAAACCCAATAAGCAATAGAATGTGACTCTGATGGGTACTTAAACCCAATAAGGAATAGAAGTGCTAATCTTTTCATACTATCCCAACCATGAACTACAGGGAACTCCAGAAAGTTGGAATATGGTTTCATGGTAGGATACCCTATAATTTACCATAGAAGGGTTAGGATAGTCATATTCCAACTTTCTGGCTTTTACCTTAGGTCTGGGGAGCCCGGCATCTCCGGTTTTGCCTTCAGACGAAGAGCTCCTGGGACTTTTCCCTGCTCTTCTCCTCGACCTCCGCCCTGCTGGGCTCGCCAGGCCAGCTTCTTTTTTCTTTTTTTTTGTAATCTTGGGTATGTGAGGGTTTAGCGTTTTCGGGTTTAGGGTTTTAGAGCTTTAGGGTTTAGGGCTTTACGTGTTTTGGGTTTGGGGTTTAGGAGGTTTGGGTTTACGGTTGAGGGTGTGGTACGTAGGAGAACAGTTTCGGTGCGTGGACAATGTACAGACAGTGGGGTTGGCCAAGGTTACTTGTATCCATTAAGGGCTCCACGATACCGCTACAGAATCTTACAAGACTCTTATAGCAACCTCGTATTATCCGTCTCACGACCTTTGAAGTTAATTGTTGAGCCGGTGCAGAGCCCCCGAAGACTAGCAGCTTTACGATCGACATGCAAACCCGATAGCAAAGTTCCAAGCCGGATCTTGGCCAGGTTGAAATGTCTGCAGTCTTGAGTCTGAGTGCCTAAATTTCTGAGTGTTGGTCCTTGCTTGGGCTGAAGAGGTCAGGGCAACTACTCTGCGGCCAACGCAGCATTGGATGGCCATGCGCGCTACTGGAAGAAGTCCTTGCAGGAGCCCGTCGTGTCCGTGCAGTGGGGCCCGTGGAAGGAAGTGGGCATGGCAGCTCAGAAGGGCACGGTTGAACGTCTTCGTGCTTCTGGTGTGGGAAGCCTCACAAACGCCTTTGGCATGGCTGCGCTTGCTGGGTGCATGCAGTCGCTGCCTTCAACAACGATCGTGGCACAACCAATGCGCTGGGCAGTGTATCTCAAGCAGTATCCGAAAGTCCCGCCTTTCTTGTCCCGCTTTGCCAGCGAGGCCGGAACATGGTTGCTTTTGGATGCTTTTGGAAGATGGGTTATGCATGTGTTGATATGTACGCACACATTTTTAAAGTATACGTTCCCCTTGTGTGTGTATATATATATATACATATGCATGCACACACGCATATGTATCTATGATCCCGATGCGGCCCTCCCCGCCCCCGTCCCCCCCCCCTGTTGGTGACCCTTAAAACTCGCTGTTTTTTGGTTACTTTGTGTGGTGTGGTTCTCCCTCGCTCCCCCCTGTGGTGCTGTGGTGTGGTTCTGTGGTCCCCTTGTTGTGTGGTGTGGTTGTGCCCGCGGCCCGGCCCCTACAGCAGCAGCAACATCAGCGGCGTCATCATCATCATCATCTTCATCATCATCCGTCAACAGCTCCTGACGTGCCTTGTGGTGTGGTGTTTCAGGGTTTCGGTCTGCTTGGGGTGCCCCTCCCCCCCCGTGGTGTGCTCCTCTTTCGGTCTGTTTGTGGTGCTGTGGTGTGCTGGCGTAGTCCGCGTATGTATCGTCATCATCATCATCATCATCACTATCACCATCATCATCATCATCATCATCATCACTCCCCGCCCTGTGGCGTGGCGTGGTTCGGGGTTTGGGTCTGCTCGGGGTGCCTGCCCTCCGCCCCTGTGGTGTGGCGTGGTTCGGGTTTGGGTGTGCTTGCGCTGCGGTGTGGTCTAGTTCGGGGCCTCTCAGGAACGCGATCAGCGTGACAGTTGCATTTTGAATACCCTGACATCGGAGTCACGGGTGGAAAGTGTCCGCAGTCACAAGGATGGCGCGGGAGAAGTGTGCACAGTCACGAGGATCCGGGCACCGGGGGGGGGGGGGATACCATGGGGGGGGGGGGGGGGGGGGGAGGCGCACCGAGAACCGAGATCATATATGCTTGTGTATATGGGTACGTATGTATACGTGCAACTATATGAATGTACTACGCATGTATGTGTATTGGTGTGTATGTATAATGTAGACACAGACACATGCATGTGTGTGTATATATGTATATGTACACATATGTATATGTATGGTATGCATATATGTATGAATATTTGTATACACATATATCTATATATACCCATATATATATATATATATATACACACGTGTCTATTTTCTGTTCACTTATTCATTTACTTGTCTATGTTTATCTGTTCTTTTCTTTATCATGTATTATTTTTTATCTGTGCGCACGCTCTCTCTCTCTCTCTCCGGTGCGCGATCTATATGTGTTTAACTTTTTGTACACACAACGTGTGTGTATGTGCGTATGTATGTATGTACGTATTTATGTATGTATGTATGTATGTACGTTCATATTTTACTATGTACACGCTTACTCTCTCTCTCTCTCTCTCGTACACACAGAGCAAGCTCCAACAACAGCTTGCAGGTGAAGACAGCGAAGCCGAAGAAGGCCGCGACCCCTGCCTTTGCTGGGGCTCGGGCTGCCATGCCGGCCGCAGTGCCGCAGGTGGACAAGGCGTGGTGATTGCGAGAGACCTTGCGTACCCAGACCCTCTCTCTACCCGCTTCATGCCGGAACAAACAAGGGCCATAAATCCACATTGAAGGATCAAGGCAGGGTCCTGTCTCAGGTCCATTTCTGTAGCATAGATGCAGCTACTCGTAATGCACTTCCTGGCGCTGCCTCGACTTTGGCCAGGTGTCTCTGAAGCAGATGCTTCAGAGCATTGCTTCGGAAGTGGCCGGTGGCGGAGTGGTGGATCAAGACGCTCCCCTCATGGACTCCGGAAGCTTTTCTGCAACAGCGGGTTCACATCCAAGGCCCAGGTTTCACATCAGGAAGAGTGAAGGAAGGGGTCTAGCCCAGGAATGGACTCCCTCTCAGCTGTGGAGTTCCGGAATCGGTTCACGAGCAAGATGCCAGGAGACTTGGCCTGTCCAGTCCTATGAGTCCTGTGTTGACTTCTGCGCGATCTTTGCAAGACGGCCTTGACAGGAGTGAACCTGCCGAACACGCTGATTTTCGATTACCCCACCATCTCCTCCATTGCCGACTTCACGGCCAGCCAGATGGGACCCGCGCCAGGTCCGGCCCGGAGCCCAGGTTCCCTTCAAAGCGCCCCGGAATGCGCGCACCGCAGTCTGCCGAAGCCAAAGGCGATGGCCAACGGCTTCCCGGAGGCCATGGTTTCCGCTGGCCCGAGCCCGACCGAGGCCACTGAGACGGTGATATGTAGTGATGGTGGCGATGAGGAAAGCAACGGTGATAGCATGTGATAGTTCTTGTTGAACTCCTGCTATGCCGGCTCCGCCTTAAGCCTTACGCACGATGCAAGTAACAGGAGGTTGACGCTTTCAAAAGCTCTCATGGGGTGTTCGTGAAGGCCCGGGGAGGCAAAGCTCGATCTCCGTTCGCAGGTGAAGGAGCTGCTGAAGCGCATTGCTTCCGACACGACCGGTGGCATAGTCGAGGAAGACAAGCCCTTGATGGAGTCTGGCGCCTTTGCAGTGGAAGTCAATATGAGAGTGAAGTTGATATAGGGGTCAGCACAATTGGTGATGTTTTTATGTATCAGTTCCTATATTATCTCAGTATACTACAAAGTTCCTATATCAGCATACTACAAACTTGCAGAGGCATGGATTCGCTCTCCGCCGTAGAGTTCCGCAATCGACTCTCAAGCGAACTTCCTTCCCTGGACTTGCCAAATACGTGGCTTGGACTGCATTTGATCGTTGCAGCCGGCGTTCCCTTCCAAAGCCGGTATCGCAAGACTTATACACCCTATACTAGGAATTACTATTACTATTTTGATTTGGGGAAGTAGCCCAACGTAACGCAAGGCTGATCTTTGACTATCCCACAATCGCCAGCGTCGCTGGCTACGCCACGGAGCAGCTGGGCCCCGGCCCGGGTACCGCTTCGATTGCCATGCCAGGCGACCCTCTGCCTCTGCTTTTGGGGGGGCCCGATGAACACGCCCTGTGATGATACGAAACTTGACAAAGCCAGTGATGATGGCAGTGACGACGACGGTGAAGATGGCGACCATGATGTGATGTTGAAGATACTTCGTTGTCGCCGCCGCCCTCCGTCTCTTTGGCAGGTGCGGCTCCGCGAGGTCCGCCGGGGAGTTTGGATGAGCAGCTCTCCGTTGCAGGAATGGTGCTTTGGACTGCAAGTTGCTTCCGGGGTGTCAGGAACAATTGCGCTGGCTTGGGTGAGGTCCCGCTCACCAGCAGCATCACGGTCAGCTTGAAGTAAGTACGTTTATTCGAAGAAGCACCAGGAAGTCAAATTTGTCAGGCCTTTTAGAGCTATTCCGATTTCGCCCGAGCAGCATCGTCAATTTCATACTATGCGAAATTCTAGCGGCACCTAGGAGAAATTAGCTGCACAGATCCACCAGCAATCGCAATTTGGCACGAGGAGATTCAACTAGGTTGGCCGTCTCGGCAATTCCAACTGAAAACATAACAGACACGGCAACACTTGCAAGCACACCTTGGGCCTTCAAGGAAAACTTAGTTGACAGCACCAAAGGCACCAGAAAGGCACGCAACAAAGACACCCTTTCCCTTACAGCAGGGCTTCAGTTCCTGTGAGCCTCCGAGCAGCAAACTTTCAGAGATGGCCAGTGCTTGGCTGAAGGCTGCATACTTCCCTGGTGCATCATCCACCTGCAAGAGCTTCCACTCTGCTCTGACCAAGGCGGGGGGTGAGAGCTTCGGACTTGAAGCAGGGCTTCAGTGCTTGAAAGTCCCGGGGCTTCGGTGTAAGTTCTTTCCTTCCTTCAGCTTCCCAGACCCAACGCTCGCGCGAAATTCGAATGTTTCACAACTTTCCATACACCCTAAATCCTAAACCCTAAACGTCAGTGATCTGATAGGTGGAAAAAAGGGGTGCTCAACAAAAAAAACGTCAGTGATCAGGGAGTGGATGGCGGCGTGGAAGTGCCGTTCACACGCTGGGAGCTGGAGGAGGTCTGGGACCCGAACCCGGATGCCCAGGGCAAGATGCCCCTGTGCTGCAGAAGAGACGCAGTAGAAGGGCCTTAATGATTAGAATAGGGTTTCGGGGCCCACTCTGTTATAATTACAACAAGGAATCCCCCAAAACAGTATCGGGAAGGCCCTTATTCTACCCCCCCCCCCCCCAACGCTTGAGGGTTACGATTAGGGTGAGGGTAGGGGGGTATATACCTATAGTCTCCATTGTAGTTCCTTTTTGGGGTTACCTTTCAGGATCCTTCATATAATATTGATTAAACCAAAACAAGGAACTACAATGGAGACTATAGGTTGTCTGAGAGCTGCTGGCTGACATGTTCTGATCCTCGCCGTCTCTCCGAGGTATCCACGACACGGCAACTTTGTCGAAGGCGCCACGTCCGCGGTGTTGCCTTGTTTTGGTCATGAAAGGATCCTAGAGCTGTGCAGGTGCGGAGTTCTTCGATGCCAAGTACTTCGGCATTTCACCGCCGGAGGCGTGTGGAGCTTGCTTTCGCGGATCGTTCAGCGTGTGCTCGTTGAATAGAAAGGGGGATGTCTGATTTGGATGCTTTGTCGGGATCTCGAAAAAATTCGGAAGCCAGGTGGGACGAGTCAGCTGCGGATAATTCCACAATAACTCTAACGGGGTCGAAGGCAGCCCTTGGCTTCTGAAGCAACGAGAAGGGTGGCCCCAAGGGCAGCCCTCCGCACTGCTAAAGTGCATTCAGAAGAGTGTCAAAAGGAGGCAGCTTGAGCTAAGATCCTGGTAGCACCAGGAACCCAGAGAGCCCAATACCGCTTAATTAAGGAATATAGCTTAAATCATAATATGAAGCCCTCTATAATTTCAGCCATATTCCTTAATTAAGGGGTATTGGGCTCTCTGGGAAGCGAGCATGAATGAAGCAGTCAATTTCCGCTCCCTCTGCGAGGAACGGACTGAGGGGATCTGGCAAAGGCGAAGTCTTCCTAGACCCTCCATCTACCCTATATTAGACCCTAAATCCCCCCTCTATTAGACCCTAAATGCCCCTTATTTGGGACCATATTCCTCTATTTGAGGGTACAAGGAGGGTCCTGAATGAGTCCTTTTCCCCAGCCCTGGTTGCAGGCACGCGCGATGGACCCTCAGCAGAGACTGCTCCTCGAGACGTCGATGAATGGTCTGCTGGATTCAGGGCTGACGAAGGCAGAGCTCATGGGAAGCGAGGCAGGACCAGAGGGCTTTCTCAGGTTATCACCGTAGGTTATTGGGTTATTGAGCTTGAGAGCTCTTTGCTGTTTGGGATTTCTGTGCGTGTCGTGTAGCTGAGCCAGGAAGTGCCTGCTGATGCGTTTATGTCGGCCCTTGTCAGGTCGCCGTGCACGTGGGCCTTGCGAACAACGACTGGATCCAAATGCAGAGCTGGGACTTCAAGAAGATCAGTCCCTACACGGCCACAGGAATGTCCTTCTCTGTCTCAGCAGGCCGAATCTCTTACGCTTTAGGGCTGAAGGGACCAAGTTACATCGTGGACACGGCATGCTCTTCTGCACTGGTCGCCCTCGATTGCTCTGCCACCGCGCTGAGAAAGGGCCGATGCATGGCAGCCCTGAACACGGCAGCCAACATCATGGCCAGTGCAACGACATACATCAGCTTCAGCAAGCCGCGAATGCTGTCGGCAAAGGGGCGCTGCTTCACCTTCGATGCGTCAGCTGACGGATATGCCCGAGGTGAGGGTGCCGGAGCTGTGGTCCTTCGTCAGCCGGGAGATGCCATCTCTGCCGCAGCGACCGTTCAGACACCCTCTGCCAGCTTGGAGCGCTGTGCGCTTTTGGGTGTGGCTGTGAACCAAGATGGCCGCAGCTCCACGCTGACGGCGCCGAATGGCCCCTCGCAGCACATGGTCATGATGATCGCTCTGGCAGAGGCGCGGCTCGCACCGCAGGAAATCGTCCACATGGAGTGTCATGGCACCGGGACTCCGCTGGGTGACCCCATTGAGATTGGTGGCATCAAGTCTGTAAATGCTTCCCGAAGCGCTGAAACACCAATCGTCCTTGCAGCTGTGAAGTCCAACTGCGGGCACTTGGAAGGCCCTGCCGCCTCCACAGGCCTCATCAAGTCTGTTGTGATGATGGAGCACGCAGCCTCCATGGCTTCGCTGCATCTTCGCCAGCTGAATCCGAGCGTGGCAGCCTTGCACGACCTCCCGGGCATCTTTGTCACCGAATCCGTGTGCATCTCCAAGCTGGCCGGCAAGATGGCGCAAGGCAAGGGCGAAGTTGCGCGCTTGGGAGGAGGCCTCTCGTCCTTCGGCTTCGGTGGAACCAATGCGCACGGGGTCGTGTCTGCTGCCACGGAGGCAGGGGAAGCTTTCCGCATGGAGCTGGCCCGCAAGGAGGCCACGGCACCGCCCAGGCCCTTGCCCGTGGCCTTCGAGCGCCGGAACTTCGCGTGGCGAGAGGTGGGCTACCGCTTCTTGCGAGCCAAGCCCAGCGAAGGCATCTTTGAAGTGGCAATGCGCATGGACGTCTACGAGGCCCTTTCTTCTCCTGCGTTCTTATGTAATGCTTGTTTCGATAAACAGCTGCTTTCGGGTCGCTTCGGCAAGGGGTTCTCTGACCCTTCTAGAAACTCCGGCGTTTGTCGCAGATGGGCTAGCGACCCTTCTTGCCAGCCGGCTCTTAGGCCTCTAACTACCGCTTGCGTCCCTGAGGTGGTGAAGCACCATGTCGTCTTCGGCTCTATCGTGGTGCCGGGCGTCGTCTTCGTGGAGATGGCCCTGGAGGCCACGAGGGAGCTCTTTGGCCCCGGAGTGCGAATTACGGATGTGAACATGATGTTCCCCTTCGTCATCCCGCTTCGAACCACTGGCGCCGAGCCTGCGGCGATCATGCGCTTCGTCCTCAAGTCCGACACCCGCTTCCAGATCGAAAGCACCTCGGCAACAGGGACCGTCACGGTTCACGCCGAGGGCGGCATCAACCGCGCGCCACTCCGGGGCGAAGAAGCGGAGGTGGACAACGCGGCCAAGGCCACTCCTGTCGACCTCGAGTCTTTGAAGGCTCGTGTGGTTGAGGTCGTTCCCACGAAAGATGTCTATGCTGCCATTGACGGCGTGGGCTTGTATTTGGGTCCAATGTTCCAAACAGCCAAGCAGCTCTGGCGCAAAGAGCCGGATGAGGACAGTGAGAGCAAGGTCATTGAGGTCTTGGGACGGCTGAAGCTGGATGATGGCGTTCCGAACGTTGGCTATGTCCTGCATCCGGCAGTCTTCGATGGTACGATTCACAGCTTAGGAACGGCGTCTGTTGGCAAGAACGTGAATGACCTGAAGATCTTCGGTGGTGTGGGCCGCGTCTCCATCATCCAAAGTGAGAACTTCTCCCAACAGGACGAGTACTGGATCTGGCTGAGCATCAAGGAGAAGCTCGAGGCTTCAGAGACCTTTGACCTAAAGGCTGGAGTTGGGATTCTCTCTGAGAATCTGAGCAATTAGGACGGAAGCCTCAGATCCTCTTCCGTCTTCTCTGTTTTCTTCAGAACCTCTCTGCTGTCTGTTGCTGGTACTGTTCGTTGTTCTCTCTTGCATGTTACCTGTCATGCTTCCGGCTGGCATGACAGGTCATGTCCAGCAATGGCACCGTGCTGATGCTCATGGACAATGTGGTCTTCCGCAAGGTGCTACCCGAGCAGATTCAGATGGCGATCGCTGCACAGTCAACTCCGGAAGATGCCTCTCGTCCTCAGGGCTCTTAGAACCTAGAAGGTGGAGCACGCAAGGAACGCCACCTCCCATCTCTCCTTTGCTCTCCTTCACTCCTTCCTCTCTTCCTTTCTCCTCTCTTCGAAGCCCAAGGACCAGAAGATCTACGAGATCGAATGGCAGGCAGCGACCGAAGTGGAGGAGAGTGCGGACGCACCTGAAGAGCGCTGGCTTGTCCTTTACCATAAAGCATCGCAGGGCTGCCTGACATGAATACCTGGAAGAACACACTTCATAGAGGAGTGTAGGAGGTTTTTTTGCTGCTTCCTTAATCCGTACTTTTGTTGCACGCAAGGCTTCTTGGATGAGCTGAAGTCTCTTCTCGGCAGCAATCACTGCTTCGCGAGCCTTGACACTTCCGCAGAGTGGGGCAAAATGCACGACTACTCCAGGCTCTGACCCTGTTTACAGAAGCAAGGATAGTTACAGTTGCCAGCATCGGCAGTGTTTGGAGTGTGTTCTGATCTGCACAGGGTGATCAACATCGCGGGCATCGCGGCCTTGCCGAACAACGCAACCGCAGCCGCTGCCGAAGTCTTGGATGTGCTCGATCGCACGTTGCGACTGATGCAAGCCATGGCCCAGGCTGCCAAGGAGGACCTAGCTTTTCATGAAGCCCTTGAGCCGATTGAGCCTTGATGGAAAATATCGAGTCGAGCTTCCTCTGAGTCTCTTTTTTGCCAGGACGGTGCCGATGGCATGCCGGAGCTCTGGCTTCCGATTTGCCTGGGCAATGCCGTTGTTGATGGCGATCTGGCTTCGGCATCTGCCAGGCTTCCGGCAAGCCATGCAGGAATCTGGGGTCTTGCAAAGGCCTGGAGCTTTACACATACTGTCACATACTCCCTGGCCCAACTCTTGAGTCACATGCTTTGTGTCTGTTGCATTCGTGGCATCACTTCATAACCCCCAGGCCTTCCGCAACGAGCACCCAGAGCTTGCCAGCACGGTGACCTTGGACTTGGAGGAGGCGGATTGCTCCGCATCGGGTCTGGCCGCGCAGTTGCAATCCCTTTCAAAGCAGCGGGCTGCTGGTATGGCAGAGCCGGAGCTCGCGGCGCGGACCGGCGCAAAGCTCATGCTGCCGCGGCTCGTGGACTCCACCCAGAGGCTGCAGAACGACGTTGGAAATCCCAGCTTCGGGCCCGATGGAATGTACATGGTGACCGGTGGAACCGGAGCCCTTGGCCTGCTCTTTGTCGACTGGATGGTCCGCTGCGGTGCACGGCACTTCGCTTTGCTGTCCCGAAGCGGGCAACCGCCAGCGGACTCCAAAGCCGCCTTCCGAAAGCTCGAGAAGCAGATGGCCAAGATGAAGGACGTGACCTTCTCCGCGCGCAAATGCGACATCGGCTCCGGTGCGGATGTCTTGCGTGTTACCACGCAAGTGCTGGACGAGAAGCATGTTGTCAAGGGCATTGTGCACGCTGCCGGCACCCTGGCAGATGGCCTCATCAAAGATGGCCAGGACCGCACGACCCTGAAGACGGTGTGCTCGGCCAAGGCGCCTTGTGTCTTTGAGAGCTTTCAGTACTGGACAATACTCGTCGAGTCTAGTTGTCGTACCGAAAAAGAGTGTGTGAGGGTGGGGGCATCTCTGGAAAGGTGGATGGTTCCCTCCAGCTTCACAATGCCGCAGACCAGCTGGATCTACCACTGGAGGCCGGGAGTTTCTTCCGATGATTCTTGCATGCTGCACTCCAGTAGAGCACTGTCCGGGCCTCGCAGTTCATGTGGCTCTTCTCCTCGGTGGCCGCCATGATCGGGTCTGTTGCACAGGGCCTCTTGGCAAAATCTGATGATAATGGGATCATGTAGCAATGAAACTTGGCTGCCATGCGACAGCTGTCCCGAGGCAACTACTGTGCTGCCAACGCTTTCATGGATTCCATGGGTGCACGGCGGCGTGCACGCAACTTGCCGGCCATCTCCTTGCAGTGGGGCCCCTGGGCAGACGTGGGCATGGCGGCAAGGGCCGGAACATCCGAAGGCCCCGCAAACCATGTTTGTGCATTCGTCGTCCTCGTGGGCGGTCGTCGTGATCGCCAATGCTTTGGTTGTAGCTCCTTCGACTGTCAGTCGCTCTTGTTCGCGTTCCTCTGATTCAGAGCTGCCGGATGTCTGAGCTTGGCTAATGAAATCCTAAAACCCTAAACCCAAAACCTTAAACCCCAAACCCAAAACCCTAAACCCTGGGATCCGCAGGCAGCATCGCTCGCCTGGATCCCGAACGGGGCCTCGAAGCGATGTCTTTGGTCCTCGGAGCGGCGAGCCTCCTCAAACCCGCAGGCGCGGGCTTAGTTACTTGGAGGGCCGGGGGACTTAGTAAGGGCTCCTTAAAAGGGGATTCTAAGGGTTCCTTTAAAGGGCTCTATAGGGGTACTATAGGGTTTAGGGGTTTAGGGACTTAGTAAGTAGGTAGTAAGTAGACTTATAAGTACCCTAAAAGGAACCCTAATTGGGGTTATGGTACTTATAAGTCCCTAAAATAACCAGTTACTAAGTCCCCCGACCCTCCAAGTAGCTTCTTCCTGAAGGGTCTAAAATAGGGTTTAGGGCTTTAGGGCTTTCGGGCCAAAGGTTTGTTGAGGGTCGGTTTGGGGTGGCGGGCTTGGGGTTCAGTCTTGTCTTTAAGGGTTGAATTTAGGGTTTAGGATTAGGGTGTGTTTGTAGGGTGAGTTTAGGTTGAGTTCCAGGCCAGTTTAGGGTGGAGCAGGGTGTGTGTTGTGGTTTGTTTCGGGTCGAGGGTTTGGGGTCCAGGGTTTAGCGCCTTTCTTGGTAGCTTCAGTCAGCCTTTCGTTTACGGGGTCTCGAAACAGGGAGCCCGGAAAAGAGTCCTGGGGCTGCTTCAGACTTGTAGGCTTGGGCAGGGTTTAGCAGCAGCTTTTTGGCTTTACATCTGGAGTCGATGGGACATTCGGGATACTCGGGGTCAGCGAAGTTTCTCTAGGGTTTGGAGGGTTGGGTTTTTCGACAACTAGCTTCAGCAGCAGCAGCAGCAGCAGCAGCAGCAGCAGCAGCAGCAGCAGCAGCAGCAGCAGCAGCATCATTAGCAGCACCAACACCAACGCAAGCACGACAACACTACTTCTAGTACTGGTACTAGTGGCTAGGGCTAGCGCTTGTGCCAATATCATCTTACTTGAGACTGATGGGCGGTACGAGCACTACGAGCACTAGCCTGGGTTTTTCAGGCAGGGGCAGGTAAACAGGCAAAGGCAGAGATAAAACCATCAGATGCAAGTTTGGCTGAAAGCATAGTTTCTGTAGCCTGGTTCTTCTCTAAGCCAAAGGCCCCAGTAGCAGAGGCCATGCCTCTTGTTCGGTACAACATGGCATAGCTGGACCCGAACCCATCCGTGTTGATTTGACAAACCCAGTTGGGCAGTAGGCGGTGTTTTTCCGTGCCAGACGGAGCTGTTGTGAGCACGGATTGCAGATTTGTTTTTTTCTCTCAGCCAGCTTTTTCTGTCGTGTACCTGTAGGTTCATGGGTAGTTATAAGTGGGGTTATAAGTCCTCTAATAGGGATTCATAAGTACAGTTACCCTACTTGTAACCCTACTTATAACTACCCATGAACCTCCAAGTACGAGTGCAGGGTCGTGAGCAGCTGGAAGGTACACTGGGCATTGCCCGCATCAAGTGGAAGTCGCTCTTGGGGCAGATGCCCAAGGTTCCACCGGTCGGAGCCCTACTGGGTTAGGGGTTTAGTGTAGTAGCCCTGCTGTACTCTTTCCGCTGTTTCGGGTTGAATCTGGTGCTGGCTGGTATTCGTCGGTTGTGAGGTGCTGAGCAAGTTTGGTGGCAGCAGTGGTCCAAAGAAAGCATCGGCTGCTGCGGCTGGCGCAGTCGCACCTCAGCTTCAACAGCACCCGCTCTTCGGGCACTCCCTTGGGGGCGGCTCTCCGGGGAGAGCGATCAAACGAGGTCAGCGCTGATGACATCAAGGGGGTTGTTGTCGGCGTCCTTCAGGACCACCGACCTCTGCCCTGATCCCAAGAGACATGCTTTGTAGAGACAAGCGAGTTGCTGCAGGAGCCGGAAAGTGCAAGTGTTGTCCACATGAGTGTCGTTCGTGTTTGAGCATGTGTATTGCCGATGTGAGCAGGATGTGCTGGAAGGGGAGGGTGACCTGGATCTGTCCACACCTTTGATGGAGATGGGTTCCTTGTCCCAGAATTTGTTCAGCTTGGTTTTCGGTTCTTGCTTGCACCGAACTTCATTTTGAACGTGTCGATCTTGCTAGAGCGAGCGAGGATTCGGGCAAGTTATGTTATGATGCCCTTCTTCTTTCATGAGATGAAGGAACCAGCTTCCTAGGTTTGGACTCCTTGGCTGGCGTCGAGTTCCGCAATCGGCTCCAAGCATCGTTTGAAGGACTACAGTTGCCATTGCCTCAGCTGCAAATGTAGGGTTTAGGGCCTTTCGGGTAGATGTTTCTGCAGTTGTAACAACAAGACACTCGAAGACTATTTGCTGCCTAGCTGTGCTTGCGGAGGTCCTCGACGCTCATGTTCGACTACCCCACCGTGCCAGATCTGGTGGACTACATCTACGGTCAGGCAGCCCGCCTAGTGATAACAGAGATTGCAAAGAGATCCGTTGGCGGCCAAGCTGCTTCATGATGAAACCTGATGAGCAGTAGGGCATGGGCCTACGGGAGCCATCTCCATAAGTACTGGCACCTGAAGCCCGAAATTCCAATCCTCAGCTCCAAACCCCAAGCCCGTATGCTGGCGTGATCAGGTGGGACCTGCCGAAGATGACCTTGCAGCAGGAGGGGGTGCCACGCTGGGTGACATTGGTGCCATGCTCTCCATCGCAGCTCGGAGAATCCGGACTTTTTTTGTTTTTTTGCAATTGAGCACTTTGTGGAGAATTCTAGAGATTCAATTTGCTGCTTCATGCGGTTCCTGGTGGAAGGATGAGTTCAAACCTGAACCTTCTTAACCTCAGACCAAACCCCAAATCCCCAACTCCACCTTAGACCGTCACCCGAAACCCTATAGGCCCTAAACCCTTCCCTTCTGCTTCCAGGCAAGCCATGCTGGACGTTATCCAGGCTGCTTCACGAACAACGTGGCTCAGCAGGGTTAAGGGTTTAGGGTTTAGGCTTCAGGCTTTAGGGTTTAGGGTTCCGGAACCTGCGCCATGAATTCTCTTCGACGGCGGCGACATGCAAGCTATGTCACAGCTACTGCTACTGCTAGCATTACCAGTAGCTACCACAACAACAACACCCGCAGCAACGACAGCAATAACAGCAATCATGACAGTCATGGTACCAATATTATCAACAACAATATAAATGATAACAGTAATAGTGATAGTAATAGTACGACTACTAGTGATGGTGATAGTAATAGGAATAGTACTGATAATACTGAGAGTCATAGTACTAGTGTACCAGCACTAGTACCAGTACAAGTACGACTCTGAAGAATACTGATACCAACAATAGTACCAATAACAACAGCAATGATAACACCACCAATAACAGCATCAATCACGCCAAACAGTAACAATAACAAGAATAGCAATAAAAAAAAACAATAATAAGCATAACAACAGCAACCACCACCACCACCACCACCACCACCACCACCACCACCACCACCACCACCACCACCACCACCACCACCACCACCACCACCACCACCACCACCACCACCACCACCACCACCACCACCACCACCACCACCACCACCACCACACCACCACCACCACCACCACCACCACCACCACCACCACCACCACCACCACCACCACCACCACCACCACCACCACCACCACCACCACCACCACCACCACCACCACCACCACCACCACCACCACCACCACCACCACCACCACCACCACCAGGTAGGGACAGCAGTAGCAACACCTTGTTTTATCGTTCTTACCTCGCCACTGGACCTACTGTGCTGAGGTGGAGGAGTACTGGCACAACATGAGCTTGGGCTTTGCCAGGCACCTAAACATGCGGCAGGAGGTATGTGCGGTGTTGCGCATGAAGCAGGCTTTGCGATGACAGCAGCTGTTGCCATTGGTACTCGTACAAAAAAAGGCGTCTTGTGCCTGTACCAGCCAAACATTAAGGACACTACGACAGAGCTTCCGCCAGAGCGATGGGATATGGATGCCTACTACGACGCCGATGTTGATGCACCAGGCAGAGGGCCTGTCGGTTTATCATGACCAACAATAGTAGTGAGAGCACTCAAGACAACAAACATGTTCGGCAACGACAGCAACCTCCAAGCACTGCAGTATCGACAAAATCAAGCGAAGAATGCGAGTAATCCTGGAATACTCCTGCTGCTGCCCCTGCGACGACGACTACTACTCCGAAGACTGCTATTGATACTGATGCTACTGCTGCTACAACTACTTCTTCTTCTATTGCTAATACTCCTACTCCTGCTCCTGCTACTGCCACTGCCACTGCCACTGTTACTGCTACTGCTACTGCTACGGCTGCTGCTGCTGCTGCTACTGCTGCCGCTACTACTACTACTACTACTACTACGACGACGACGACGACTACTCCTCATGCTTCTACTTCTATTTCTGATACTACGACGACGACTGCTACTACAGTTACTGCGACTAAGACTACGACTACGTCTGCGACTGCGACTACTGCGAAGGCAACAACTACGACTCCTCTCCCCGTTGCAAGTATCAATACCCGAACCACAAGCACGAAAGCTGAAGGAGTAGCAGCTGCAATCACTATAGTCATATGAATTTTGCAGTCTTGGTTTAGGGTTCGTCGCATGAGTCATATACGTCATCACAAGAAGACCGAAGAACGGCTCCAGGCAAGACCTACGTGCGGCTGGGCCACTTCATTCCAGGCAGGGGGGTTCGCAGGATTCGGGTAGACGATTACGGCCTTATGGGGAGGGTATAGTACAGTATAACGTCGAGGATGCAGGTTTTTGTCTGCAGAATTAGGCGCTTTTGCCACGGGAAGCTTCTGAAGGCTGTGGCTGCTTCGGCCAGCTCACTACTCTTTCGCGGTAGCATTCGTTTCACATCACTGTCGTCGTGCTTTTGGGTCGGATTGTGTTGTCTCATATTCTCTGCGCCAGATTGTGACGTCTTCCCTTGGGCTGGGGGTTTGCGTCAAGGCATCGACCAGTTCGACGGGGACTTCTTTGGAGTCTCTGAGGCGGAGCTGCGATCCATGGATCCCCACCAGCGCCTGGGGCAGACAGTGCCGAGCAGAGTATATGCAGTAGTGTAAGACGGGTCGAATCAGGAGAGGGAATTTGAAACCACAGCATCGCCAGAAAAAGCAGCATTTGCGGTTGCAGGCTTGCCGCGGCTCCTGTTCCTTTTTAATCGGTTAGGGTGTAAGAAGATGCTGGGAAGCTTTTGGAAGCCATGCTGCGCTTTAGATTTTCATCACCTTCTTGTTATTGTGTTACGTGCTGAGGTCCGTTCAGACGTACGAAAAACAGAGTGCAGTGAGATGTGTAGTGGCCGTGCCGTACATATGCGCTGGTAATTTCAAGAGCCATAGTATCTGTGACACAAGACGGCAATAGCAGTAATCTTTCATTGCGCAACACAAATAGCACCTAAGTTCAAAGATACCGACAACGATGGCACCAAAAGTCATCATGCCCTTGTTGAGGTGGCTGTCCCTGGAGATCAGCCGCGCGGATGTGATTATCTGTTGATTATTGGTAGTTTCTGAAATTTGGGGTACCTATTCTGGGGTCGACCTATGTTGGAGTCTCCATTTAGCGTCCCTGATTTCCCGAAACTACCGTTCGTACTGCTCAGTCATCCCACGGACGATTTCAGCACGGCATGTCAACATCTCCAACTGTTTCTCTTCAGTAAGTCAGCTTCAGCTGTGGAGCGACAGATAAGGCTACGAAGCCTTCCATGCAGCCGGCTTCAACAAGGACCAACCATTTCGCATCGCATGTGGCAGTTTTGGGAAGGTTTGTTCTTCAAATGCACCCTGCCGTGCCATAGAGTGGAGTCACCCTTTCTTGTGAAGCCATTCCCTCAGAAAATGCCTCGACTTTCATGCAACCAGAGCCCGTCTCTCGATCCTGTGCATGCAGGAGTCGCTGCAGGGCATGGACTGCGGCGTCTTCGTCGGCTGCTGTAACCTGGGAGGAAACGACGTGGACCCGTACGGGTTGCTTGCCTTCCCTTCGGTCTTGAGGGGAGTGCACCATGGTGTAGCTTCGGGAAGCCGAGGTTGGGTCCATTCTCCAACATCGGCTTTGCCTACTCTGGCCTGTCAGGCCGCCGATATTTCTGCAGAGTTGCTGGACCTCACTCACTTTGCAGCGAGTGATCCTGTCCAATCGTCGAGAGGTCGCATCTCGCACGTCCTCTCATTGCGGGGCCCCTGCTTCACCGTGGACACGGCCTGCTCTTCGACGATTGTCGCTCTCGACTCCAGCTGCCAAGCTGTCAGGATGGGAAGGCCCGGACCCGGACCGGACGACGGCACCAACTTTGGCCTCGCCGCGCCGACCGAACGTAGCATAGGATTAGAGTACGGAAGGGTTATGAAGCTGCTGCTGCAGACACTGTCGCAAGGAAGGGTCCACCAGTGTAGGAAGACAGCAAACTTGCATAGTTTTAGTTTGCAGTGTCCACTGCATCATCGCATGCCGTCACGCGCTGTTGCCCATGCCTCAGTGCAGTGGCACGCACGTCGAAGATACCGCAATGGACAAACACATTCAAACAGTGTGATAATATGTAGAAAGATGGCACAGCAAGATAGACAAACGAACCGCAGACTGACAGCAAGTTGGAATTGTGAAGCACATCAGTAGCATCTTGATCCAGCCCAATGAAGCAGCATCTAGCACAAGATAGTCAGGTAGCAGTGTCATGGCCACGAAACCGGCACACCAATAGTGTGCAACAAAGATTACAATCGCAAGACCGTAAGCGAGCATAGCTCATAGTCCGGAAGCACGAGACAACGCAGGAAAAACATAGCATACCAAATATTATCAGACCGCCAGTGTAACAACGAAAAATCACATGAGACGCGACACGACAAAGTTTTTGTGGTCATTAGACTCATGATGCAGCTGCTCTGTGACAAAAGGTAACTTGGCAACAACCACGGGCCACACCAAGAACTGGAGAATCAACCAGGGGAAACTGTATCACAAAAACCACGTGTCGTGAGTTGAATACCGCAACAACCCATGATGTAGTCAGCTGCCAGCATGCTATGTATGTACTTGCACACATGATCACGGTATCGCCATCATTTATAGATAACCACAAGGCGAAAGGCCTACAGCATTACACCTCCGGAGATGGGTAGTGCAACCGCATCATCATCTGCTTGATGAAAGTTAGCATCCTTGGCTCACGTGGTCATGTCACATGCAACCTGTGGACGAGAATGAACATGTCAAAACCGCGTGGTCTGAAAGAAGTCCTTTTGCAGGGTAGCGCGTGTCTGAGGACACAGCGGGGATGTCGTTTTGCGTGTTTTGAATACATGTATGAAGCGAACACAACGATAAACGTACGAATGCAGAAATCGATTGGCAGTCTGCTGTATACTGGCGACATAGCAGCATCGCTGAAAGCTGCTGCGGCAATGCGGTATCAGGAGGAATTACACTAAGCAGACATGTCATATGGGCAAGAGCCTACAAGCAGTAGAGATGTACTGCTTCAAATGTGAGGTCGCAGAACCAATCAAACTCTAAGCCCAGACAGGTAGAACAATAGGTTCACCCTGGCACAAGCAGAGCATCATAGGACAACCGGATCATATTCTCCGACGATAAGCAGACAGTAACCAACAAATGCAGCATCATGCATAAGAGACGGGACCGCGACAGACATGCAAGAATGTCATGATTGGACGCTTTGGGCTGTGCTATGCGGCTCTGCCAGGTGCCAGAGTGCTGTGGCAACCGGCGCCAACGTCCAGCTGTCAGGCTGCATCTGGGTGCCTCGGCGAAAAGCTACTTCTGTCGTCGGGTTTTAAGGTGCAGGCTTGAATTTTGTTTGGCAATGTCGCAGAAGGAAGCAGATCTGTTTGGCTTTCACGAAAGCTCCGAGGTAGGTTTCTCCAAGATGCGTGGTTTGGCCTTCGACGGCCGCTGCAAGACCTTTGACTCGCGGGCAGATGGCTTCGCGCGCGGTGAAGGTCTCGGCTCTGCCTTCATCCGTGGAGGCTCCGATGCGGAGGTGAACAACTTGGTTGGCCTCAGTGGGGTCGCAATCAACCATGACGGGCGTGCGGCGACCATCACCGCGCCCAATGGAACGGCACAGCAGCGTGTGCTGCGGGCGGCGTTGGCAGACCGCGGCACCCAAGGCGAAGATGTAACGTGCATCGAATGCCATGGCACAGGAACGGCACTGGGCGATCCCATTGAGGTGGGAGCACAGAAGGCTGTGTATGGAAAGGGCCGTAGCGAGTCCCAGCCACTGATTCTCGCAGCTACGAAGTCCAACATCGGCCATTTGGAAGGCTGGCAGAGGGATCAAGCACGCCACTATAAGTATGTTTGTATATATATATGTACATATGTATATGTACACACACATACATATATACACACATATACACATGTATACATTTGTGTCATGTGGCGTGAACTCTTCTGGTTCGAGTCAAGTCTGTCTCAGGCTCCGCAGGCGTGGCCGGCATCTCCAAGGTGATCCTGGCCATCACCAAGGCACAGATCACGCCGAACCTTCACTTGGAGAAATTGAATCCAAACATCGACCCTTTGTCATAGTTGGGTAAAATTTTACATTTCTATGGGTACTTACACCCAACAACAAGGAATAGAAATCTAAATTTTTAATCCTATCCGAAGCATGAACTAGGACTTGGGTGGCTTCAACACGCTGATGCCCGATAAGCTCGTGGAGTGGAAGAGCGCCAGCATACGATCCGGTGTGTCATCCTTCGGCTCCTCGGGTAAAAAGAAAAACGGGAGTTTCCGAAAACAGGGGACCCGAATATAGGACCCTAAATTGTAGGATCCTTATTGTAAGGACCCCTAAATACGGTACCGCTAATTCGCAGAAACTCCGAAATCTGTTTCTGCTTTTCATTTTTTTAAGGGTTGGAGCCCGGCGACTCGGTTTAGGGTTTAGGGTTTAGTGGAGGCAAGATGCCTTAAAAGTCAGGAAAGGCATCAACGATAGCTTTGCCATTGATTCTGCTTGCTTGAATTTAGGGGCCCAAACAATTACATTGTTTTTTTGTGGAGGGGGGTTCCTCATTATAGTTATGATATAATGGGCCCCAAAACCCTATTCACATTCTTAAGGCCCCTATAGTAACCTCATCGTGTTGAACTTCAGCTCTTTCACCAACCGCAACTTTTATGGGGTCTTCTCGTCTCAGCCGAGGCTTCTCCGGCACCAATGGCCACGGCCTCATGGAGGCGATCCTCACGCAGCCGTCTGAGCCAAAGGTGGTGAAGCCCATGCACTTTGCCCGCAAGGTGCTGAAGCCCTGGAGGGAGTGGATGCAGAAGGTGGTTTATTTTGAAGAATGGGTGAAGGCCGACTACAGCATGGCTTCCCCCCTTGATGGGAAACTCATGCTTGTCACGGATGGCGGCGCGATGGCGGGTTCTCTGACTTCAGCCATGCCCAGCAAGCCGGTAGCCGTGACGGAGGTGGGGACAGCAGCTGACCTCGGCGACAAGATGAAGAGTGCTGGGACAACCGCAGCTGTCTTTGCACGCTGTTTGGAGGCAGGCAGAGCCGAGCCCCTGCCGGGCTCACACCTTGAGGAATTGGTCGCCTTCTTGCAGGGCGCCATGCTGGCGGAGCTCCCGAAGTTGTTAGTCGTGGTGACACGTGGTGCATACCATGGCAAACGAGAAAACTTCGATGCAGGTGCCTTGATCTGGGGATTGATCCGCTCGGCGAGGATGGAGATGCCTCGTGTTACGATCAAGACCGTGGATGTGGCGGTGGATGCAAGTCCCGCAGATATCGGGAAGGCCATTGCGGCCGAGTTGCAGGGACCAGATGGTGACGTTGAGGTTGCTTACACGGCCGAGGGAAGATGCGTTCCTCGCTTGATGGAAGCGCCTCAAAACGAGGCTGCGGCCATGCAGCGGCAGGATGCTATGAGAGACTCGGACTCGGCTGTAGACGTCAAGAAGGGCGTTCAGATCGTGACGGGCGGCTTGGGAGGACTCGGATCCTCAGCCGCAAACCAGAAGAGAAGCTAGCCAGTCGCTGTCTCAGCTGTTGACTTTAATCTGCCGTCTTCCATCCTAAGGCTTGGTGGCTGCGGAGGAGCTTGCAGCACTTGGAGCACCAGGCCGGATCAACCTACCATTTCTTCCACTTAAGTCTGGAATGTATTGAGTAAGGTGCGACATGTTTGAAACTTCTGGCACGCAGAGCGCAGAATAGATGCTACCGCAACTGGTTGCATGTCGTAGGACGTGATCGCCTTCAATGATATATCATAGGTCATAGGTCACAGTATACTCCTGACGCAGCATCCGACATGATGACGACAACTAAACCCTCGGCTATGCTAGGTAAGGTTTTGTCAGTGAACCCAAACCATAAAACCTATGCCCGTACCCTAAACCCTAGCTACCGGAATGGAGGCCTCCTCCTCACGTCCCGCAGCGGCCGGGTTGCCGAGGGTGCGGAACCCAAAGGGCAAGCTGGTTTAAGGGCTTTTTGGGGTTATAAGGCCAAGTTAAGGCGTTGCGGTTTCAGGTTTTAGGCTTGAGATTTCCCCCAGAGTTTTGCGGGGGGCTTGGGGGCTTCAGGGCTCCGCAGTTGTGGGGCTTTGGGGTTGCAGAGTTTTCGGATTTTGGGGGCTGCAGAGCCGGCCTCTTGCGGTATTAAGGCATCTAGGGGGGTTTTTCGGACTTCAGCGTCGCTCTGGGGACTTTGGATGGGTTATTGGTACCTTGCTGGAAGTTGTGGTCGTCCTGCACCTACGGCCCCGCAACCGGGTTCCCCGATCCTTCGCAGCAGCTGCGGGGTACTGGGCTCCTCTCACCTTTGGTTAGTAGGGAATGGAGGAATGGGGTACAATTATAACTACTATTACTACCATTCTTCCATTCCCTGCTAACCAAAGGTAAGTCCTGAGGTCAGAAGCGTCTGGAAGAGCAGCTTCGACGGCTGCAGGCCTTGCCCGGCCTGAGGCTTGACTCAAGGGGGGGGCCTTTGGATACGAGAAAGCTCGCGATCTCAGCCTGAGCAGGGCCTGAGCATAGTAGTATTTGTAGTAGGTGCATCTTCCATGTGCTGCCCTGCCCAGGAAGGTGCAGCTGAAGATCTGCAATGCCGGCGAAGCAGGAGATGTCGCCAAGCTTGTCAAGGAGGCCAAAGATGCAGGCGAACCCGTGCAAGGCCTGCTTACTCCAGTCGCTATCCCTTGAGTGCTTGCAGGCACTGAACCTGAGAGTGATTCAGGTGTTGTGCATGCCGCCGGCGTCATGGATCGTTGCCCTCTGCCGGACCTTGACACTGCGCATCTCAACAAGGCAAGCCGCGAAAAGAAACTGCTGACCTGGACTAAACGAGTGCCTCGCCCTAAACCGTTTGCAATGGTCGGGTCCACAGGTGCTGGCTCCAAAGGCCAACGGCGCATGGCACTTGCACAGCGAGTGCCCGGACAGTAGCCTCTTCGTTCTCTTCAGCTCGGTCTCCGCCATTGTAGGCCTGTGCCTCTGTGAGTCTGCATGCTTTTGGGATGCGCAGCCCGGTGAAACCCGACTGTGAGCTTTCGTGTGTGGGAGGCCTTGCCGGCTCTGCCTCCTACTCTTCTGCCAATGCGTACTTGGATGCCTTGGCCAGCTGGCGTCGTGGCGCTGGCCGCTCCGGCGTGAGCCTTCAGTGGGGCCCCGTGTCTGAGGTGGGCATCACCGCGGCAGCAGGCAGTGATAACCTGGAGGCCATGGCCCTGAAAACGCTGTCGCCAGCGCAAGTGGGCAGCGCGTTGCGCCTCTGCCTCGCGGCCCCTACGCCTCGTGCCGAAGTCATGTTGGCCAGAGTCGACTGGCCATCCTTCATGCGAGAGATTGGCATGGAGATCCCGCAGCTCATGGATCTGAAGTCCAAGGAGGACTCTGCGGGAGCCGGCAAGACGGTTCAAGGTCGGGGAGCACTCTGAGATTCTCTCAGCTCGCCACTTCAAAAGAAGGTAACCATGCATACTCCTTCCTAAAGCCCCTGTACATTCGAAGCCATCAGGTGCCGGAAGTGCTTTGGCACAGCTACCGCTGGAGGAACGTCGCGGAGAAGTGCTGAAGTCAATCAGGGCTGCGGCTTCGGGCATGGGTTTGGAGACCTGGCAGGACTTGAAAGAGAGAAAGAGAGAGCGAGCGGCCGGGAAATCGCAATTCGCGCATGTGTTTACACAGTTGAGTCGCTGATTGACCTTTGCAGTTGCAGTGTAAAATATCTCTACGTTTCTTTTCCAGTCAGCAGCCTCAACTTTGCGATCACATCTCACAGCCCCTGAAAAACGGTGGCCCCTTGATGGCCGGGGGACCTGACTCGTCCCACATGCCGTGGAGAAGAGGAGCACGGAGAGAGAGAGAGAGAGAGGCCCTCAGCGGGGTTCGCCCCTCAAGCCTGGCGAAAAGAAAGAGAGAGCCAGCCTCCGCGGCGGGCCTGTGCTCTCGGCCCAGCAAAAGGGAAAGATAGAGAGAGAGCAGAAACCAAGGAACTCTGGGCCCGGAATCTTATGCCCTAACAGAGATAGAAGCCAAGGAAATGGATGACAACACGCCTCTCATGGAGGCTCGTTGCCAAAGTGCCAGAAGCTCCTCAACCATAAAGTCGAAACCCTCGAACCCAAAACTCCGCCAAAAGTGCGGGAGAGGCCGGGATCGACTCGCTGTCTGCTGTTGAATTCCGGAACAAGGCTGGATTTGGGTTGGGGCCTTGGGGTTCTAGGGCTTTTGGGTTTTAGGGGTTGAGGGTTTCAGGGTTTGAGGTTGTAGGGTTTAGAGTTTCAGGGTTTAGGGTTCGAGGGTTTAGGGTTGAAGGCATTTGGGTTTTAGGGTTTCAGGGTTAGGGTATACAGTTTGATTGCATAGCCTTTGGAGTTGAGGGCTGTGGGCATTTGGCTGCAACGCAATCGGCAAGACTATTGCTTCATAAACATGTCCTCTACAAGCTTGTACAAGAAATCAGCGCCCCCAATGGCCCTAAACTTTAAACCCTAGACCCTAAATCCTGTTTTACTTAGTTTGGCCTGCCGGTCCTAATTCGTTTTGTGAGGTTCACTGATTGGGGTTGATTGACCTGGGCTTCGGATGTGTCATGGCAGGTTGGTGGGATGCAAGAAGAGTTTCGAACAGCGAAGAAAAATCAGCTTCGTTCACAACAGAGTCCGGTGTATAGTATTTTAGAGATACATTGTGTATAGTATATTAATGATACATTATGGGACCATGCTCACGAATAGCATCGCAGACATATTATCACAGTGCAGCAAAACAGAACACGATGTAGTGTAGTGCTGTAGCAGATCACGTTTTCATATGTGTTTGTTATGCTTCTGCCAGGGTCATACAATACAGGACGCCTCGTTAGTGTAGAGTAAGATACGAATTTATGATCTAGCAGAGTGGAGCGCAACATTACTTATGCCATATGGTAGTGCCACGCAATTTCTGGGCTTGTTTGTCCTGGGCCAGAGTCTCAGCGACTCATGTTGAAACATTGCCATTGCTGTGCAGGTCTCGAACGAGTTCCGCTCGGTCACTTTGCCAAGCACTCTGATGTTCGACTACCCCACCCTCACTGCGCTTGCGGATTACGTTTCCGAGCAGCTGGTGCCGGACACAACGGCCCCAGGGCTGCCGACCCTTGCTATGCCTCCGCCGGGAGCCCCTTCTTCCAACGAGGCTATTGCAGTTCTGGGAGGCGCCTGCCATCTCCCAGGTGACAGTTGGTCTTTGGAAAAGTTTGATTTCATGCTCTCCCAGGGCGTGGACTGCAGCGTGGAAATGCCGCAGAGCAGATGGGATGTGGACGATTACTACGACCCCGATGCAACAACTGGCCTGAAGATGTACGTGAAGCATGCGGCCTTCATCGAAGGCGTTGAGCTCTTCGCGGCCGCTGTCGGGCACTCAGTGCTACACCTATCGATGTAGCTTCTCTCCCTTCTCTCCCCCCATCGCTGACACATTTTCATGAGGCTTTCAACATCAACAAGGCCGAAGCTGAGACCATGGACCCACAGCAACGGCACCTGCTGGAGGCAGCCTTCGAGGCTTTCACAGCGGCCGGCCTCGGCAAGAGCAGCCTCATGGGCAGCTACGGAGGCGTCTTCGTGGGCCAGGACAAGTGCGATTGGAATCGAATGATCACCGGCGACCAAAGCGGTCCCTATGCAGCCACCGGTGGCTCCTCGTCCATCAGTGCGAACCGCATCAGCTATGTGCTGGGACTGAAGGGTCCGAGTGCAACAATGGACACGGCATGTTCGTCGTCCTTGGTTGCAGCGGACACTGCCGCAGTCACTCTTCGACGCAGAAGATCCGAGTTGGCAGTGGTGTGCGGTGTGAACATGACTTTGCTTCCGCAGACTTTCGTTGCCTGCTGTCAGGCCCAAATGCTCTCAAAGAGTGGACGGTGCCGCACCTTTGATGACACTGCCAGTGGATATGCTCGCGGTGAAGGCGTGGGTGCCCAAGCCCTGGAGCGTCTCGGAAGTCAGGTAAGCGCAGGCCCAGATGCAGGGCTGTTGGCAGAGCTGCATGGTTCAGCTCTGAACCAAGACGGACGAAGCTCGAACCTCACCTCGCCCAACGGCCCATCACAGCAGGCAGTGGTGTTGGCTGCACTTGGAGAAGCCCAAGTCCAACCGGCTCAGCATGTCTGTGTGGAGACCCATGGTACAGGCACAGCCCTTGGAGACCCCATCGAAGTCGGAGCTTTGAAGGCGGTTTTGGGAGGCGCCAACCGGCTCCAGACGGTGCAGCTCGGCGCGGCGAAGACCAACGTTGGCCACTTGGAGGGTGGTGCGGGGATGGTCGGACTCACCAAGCTGGCGTCGATCCTCTCCCGCAACTGCTTGCCGGCCAATCTGCACCTCCGCGTCATGAACTCCCATATCTACGATGACATGGAAGACTTCCCTGTGAACTTTGTTTCGGATGCATGTGCCATGACCTGGTTCATATGGGCAGAGAATGTCTATGTAGATGTGCAAGAGATCACAAGAAACGGTTGCAGCTTTGCTAGTTTGTCAGGGGCATTGGTACCCCTTTCAAGCCACCCTAAACCCTAAAATCCATTGCCATGGATTTCGCCGAGGCCCCAGTCAAGCGATAGCAGCTGCCTCCGTGTCCTCCTTCGGTTTCGGCGGCACCAACGGACATGTTCTGCTGGTCCGGCCAGAAACTTCTAAAGCAGGCCGGTGCTGCAGTAGGCCAGGGAGGATGTAAGGCTTCCAATGGGACATTTATTTCAGACATAGTCAAGGGCACCGTGGTTTAGACAACTTTCGGAAAAAAGGCCACCGCCAACCCACGCTCCCTCCCTCCCTCCCTCGCTCCCTCCCTCGCTCGCTCGCTCGCTCGCTCTCTCTCTCTCTCTTCTCTCTCTCTCTCTCTCTCTCTCTCTCTCTCTCTCTCTCTCTCTCTGAAGCACGCTATGGTATGGAAGGATCCAATTTTATGCATGCTTTGGGCTTGGGATCACGAGAACAGGACGGGCAGCTGTGAAGCGCTCGGCGGCCGACTTGGAGCGTCAGGCCAGCAAAACCCACAGAATGGATAGTGCCTATGAGGCTTTCAGGCATCGAATGCGGTAGAATGTTTAGCCGTCGGTCTACAGTAGAAGAACCATCGTGCTGCTTTTAGGTTCCCCTAGACTACATCAGCTTTGCACTGGAAGGCCTACCCCTGGCGGGAAGCCAGCCATCCCCTGCTGAAGCGGCGAACCACGAGAGCAGATGGAGCCACCGTGTTCAGCTGCTCCTTCGGCGGCCATGTTCTCGCTCTCCTCTCCCACCACATCGTGCACGGCGAGGCGTGCTGACGTAGTTGGGCTTGGGTGAAGACCCTGTGATTTGTCACGTTGCACAAACAGCTAACTACAATGCTGGGTCCTAGAAATGCGGTGTATACCCAGAGCTCATTGTATGATTCTAGGACTCTGGGAAGTCCTCAAAGACACTGCAGGTTGTCGTTCCCGGCGCGTGCTATTTGGAGATGATCGTCGCCGGATGTACGACCTTTGTAGGTCGTGGCCTCACTGCCCTCGTTATATTCGCAAAAGCTGCACTACTCACTACAGGAAAGCCCTAATAGCGCCGAATACTGCAAAATGCAGCATCAGTCTCCTGATACCCTGTATCGTTCTCCATGGCTTGAGGCAGTGAAGCTTGGTGTGTGGAGAATCTCGGATTCGCAAAGCCCTTGGTGCTGCGGCCCTTGGTCGGCAAGTAGAGGCTACGCCTAGCTGGCGGAAGGTGGGCGTTGCGAAGGGGAGCGCGAACCCGCTCAGCTCAGGCTCCTGCCAGACGGATCCTTGGAGGAGCCCACAGAGATGCGCTTGGTCCTACGCCCGGATGGACGGCTTGAGGTGGAGAGTGAGATCGGTCCACTCCTCAGACGCTTCTGAAGCCATCGCTTGGAGGTTCATGGGTAGATATCAGTGGGTTACAAGTCCCCTAACAGGGGTTATAATTATATAGTTGCCCTACATATAACCCCACTTACACTGTCACTACCCATGAGCCTCCCAGCAGCCATAATCAAAACATCATGGGTTGTCTGTGGTCTGAGGCAGCGACCCTGAGGACAGCATCGTCTCGGTGCATGTGGAGGCAACACTGGTGATGAAGTCCGGCGGCTGGGTCAAGACGAACCGACCAGAGCAGGACCCCAGGTAGAAGGAATTTCTGCCTGCTACGGGTAGTGTTTTTGGTCCCGGCTGCTACTAACATATAAGCGTTGGCAGTTGGCAGTATGTCTTTAGCTATCAACATCGGCGGATGAACGCTACCAGTATTAGCGGATGCCCTCGTCATGAACACATCACAAAAACGTTCCATGCATGTAAATCGTCGAGTCGATTGCCACCGGGTCGTGTGAGACATACCTTCGTTGGAAACAAGCCGGGCGCATCATCGTCATCATCATCACCATCACCATCACCATCACCGCAGCTGCCACCATCATCACCATCATCACCATCATCATTATCCCAATCATCATCTTCGTACTGATCACCACCACCATCATCATCACCGCCATCATCATCATCATCCTCAATTCACGAGTATCACAGCTTCATACCACCATCTCCACCACCATCGCGGCAAAAACCATGATTATCATCATCGTCATTCGCAGCACCATCATCAGCACCATCATTTCAGAGACGGAGGCAGCACTTCCCTGGCAGCCCCCGACACGTCCAAGTTGCATTCTGCAGGACGGCTTTGACCTGAACCAGCTCCGAACGCAGTGCAGCTGGGCCTGCAAAGCACAATGACGGCTGCAGGGGACGTCCATTTTGGGACCACCCAAGCTTGTCAATGTATATGAGCCCCATCAGGTGTAGCAATCTTGATACATGTTTATTCTCATCGCTATTCTGCATCACATTATTGTCATCATCATCCTTGCCAGTATCAGAATAGTCATTGTCAGTATCACTCTTTCCCTAAACCCTAAGCCCCTAAACCCTAAAGCCACTTTTGGGGTCCAGGCCCAGAGCCCGTGGACATTGACCTCATGTACTCGTTCGGCCGCAAGAGTGGCCTGCCGCTCCAGCCGCGCTTCCGTACCGTGCGACATGTGCAGAAGGGCCGCTCGGCTTAGGGTTTAGGGGTTTAGGGCTTTAGGGGTTTAGGGGTTTAGGGTTTAGGGTTCAGGGGAGTTGATGCTTGCTTTTCTTTCTGCTTTTCTCATAGTTAGCAACAGTACTCTGATCAGTCGCAGTACTACGTTTGGCTGCTCTGACGATCGTCATGTTTGTCATTTCGCGGGGATCAGGAGACAAAGAGTCGTTCGCGCGCCTGGAGATGGAGAAGGATGGAACTCACGTCGGCTTCTGGCTTGGGCCCTCGCTGATTCTTGACCGTTTTTCGGGTTGGCTCTTAGGACTTTACTGTGTTGTGGGGTCCTTTATTAAAGATACCACTATCTAGGTACTATATTAGGGTCGATTTTTGGGCTTCTATATGAACTATACTAAGAAGGTTACAAGTTTAACTTTTAGGAGGGGTTCAGAAGTCAGCCAAGGATTGACGGTTCCTTCCAAGCATCCATGGCACTGGCGGATGCGGCGACGGGAATTGGATCCTCTGCCGGAATCAAGTGGTTCATGCATTTAGTGAGGGTTAGAAACGACGTTCTCATTAGCTACAGCACAACCTGTATCTAGCCCTCTGTACTTCAGCCGCACCATTCGGAAGCTTCCAAATCCAGAAATCTCAGCGTCCGAACCCTTCGCCTAAGCCTTCTCCCAACACACTGAAACCCCAAAACCATGAAACCCTGCAACCCCACAACCCTGAAACCCCAAAACCCTGAAACCCTGAAGCCCCAAAACCCTGAAACCCTGAAACTCCAAAGCCCTGAAACCGCAAACCTTCCACGAGGCACCCTGAAAATTCCGCTCTCTATTCGACGGCTTCAGCCGTGCGGCCGGCCGCCGCTCGGAGCAGAAGGGACGCAGGAAGCCTTGCAGGGTTTAGGGGTTTTAGGATTTTAGGGATGTTTAGGGTTGCGGGTTTCGGGGTTTAGGGGTTTAGGGTTTAGGGGTTTAGATTTAAGGTAATCGGGCTTAGGGTGGGTTCGACGAGCTTTGTTTGTGGTTTTGGAGACATCTTTAGTGCTCAGTACTAGAGTAGTCGGTTGCTGCTGCCCCTGCTGCTAGTTAATGTAGCAACGCTAGTGCTGATTGATAAATCAGTGAAGTGTTGCAGCCAGAGTTGCAAGATCAGCGCCAAATTCATCGCGTTATATGCGGTCTTTGTGGACTCAGGTTTTCTATCGGTGTGTGGTCATATTTCCAGCTCATCGACTTCACTGACAAGTCTACCGTCTTCCGCTCATGGCTCCTGAACGATGCAGGCAGGATGACAGTTGCCAGCCGGCTACTTGTAATGTGGTGTCTGCATTGCTTTTGCAAGTGTTTCTGTCGCCCATTGTGCATGCTGCCGGCAGTGCAAAATTAACCTTGTTTGGTATGTTATCAGCGCACATCTCGAGCGTAGCAGCTCGGTGCAGGTGAGGCATTGCTTTACTTCGACCACGTCCACCTGCAGGAGGTTCGTGGCCTCCTCAGAGTGTCGGGTGTGAGCTGAAGAGTGGTGTGAGTCTGGTCTCCCTCAAACCCTACATCCCAAACCCTACACAGTAAGCCTCGCGTGACATCCCAGGTGATGAGCACATTCAGAAGGTGTTGCAGGCCTCGGGACGCCAAGGCTTGGATCTCGGCTTGCCAATGAAGCTTGAAATGCGGATGCCTGTAAAGATCTCCAAAGTTTAAAGAACACCGTAGCTGGAAGACTTCCGGGCATCACGCAGACGTTTCGCCAGTATCATGCCCGCAGTCAACACATGCTTGCTGGGAGGCATGGAGCAGCAGATGCCGCTTGGCGTGGATTGGGAGCCCTTTTAGATGCCCGCATCCGGCAGCAGACGCTGGTGACGAATCTCAGGCTGTACGATGTCAGCTGGCGATCGACTCCGGTTCAGGCTCTGGCTAAGTGCTCTTGAACCATCCAGAAGTTTAAAGTTCTAAGCCGTGGGATGCCCTTGAGCTGCTGGCAGGACCCTGCCGCGACGTCCGCGTTCCGGTGGCTGCTCCTCGGCAGCTCCTCCAGCCTCCAAAAGCTGAAGGCGGCCGAGGCAGATCCACGGTGCCGATGTGCGGAACTGGACCTGGACGGCGAGGCCCCGGATTTCGGGTTGGGGATCTGAGATATCCCTGCTTTCTCTTCGTACTTCACGGAATTTGATCCGGAGGACCTGCCTGCGCTGCTCACCGAAGAGGCGTGGACCGCCGTGATCCTCGCCGATGGCTTGATGGCCACGGATGCCAGCAACAGCGCTTGGGCTGCGTCTCCTGCAGACTCCGCTGCTCCAGGCTGGAGAAGTCAAACTTTAGGGTTGGGCTCCGCTGTGACTGTGATGGTACTTCAGTCAAGTTCGCTTCAAGCTTCCTTTTGCATATTCGCCTCCCACGGTCCTGAAGGTGGCGAGCACAGCGACGTGAGTGTTCTGGAGCGTGCTATGGTCCTTACCAAGGCATGCAGCTGGGAACAGGGCGCTTTCGTTCATGGTCGCAGCTAGCAGTTTCTGACATCGTTATGAGTTCTGTCCTTCGTGCTAGGGGTATTATCTACATCACGTATGGTGATATTGCAAGGTATGACACCTGTGACGATGAGCATCCATGGCTACTATGACTTTGACATTGCATTAGATATCCACAGGCGAATCAATCCTATTAAGGGTTGTTTGTGGGGCCGTCAGAAACTCTGCCTGCAGGCAGCTGCGAAGTTGGGAAGCAAGGCTCCTTCGCTGATCGTGAAAGGAACCCTACTCCAACCTCGAATGCCAAAATCCCCGAACCCTCAGGCCCTTCACCCTTCAAACCCTAAACCCCCAAACCCCTAAACCCTGAACCCTAAACCCTAAATTTGAACAAACCTAGGCTCCCTTGGTGGTCTTGCCGACCTACGGAGCCCAGCCGCTGGCAGCAGAGCAGAGTGAGAAGCGACGGCGAGGCCAGGAAGCAGAGTTTCCCAAAGATAAGGATCCCTTGTTGTGGGGGTCCTTAGTGCAAGTATCCCGCAATGTAGGGCCGATCTTAGTGTCTGTGAAGGTATCAAGGTTGAGCTGGAAGTCAGGACAAAAGGTCTTTAGTCTTGGGGTTCTGTTTTCGGATTAGGATACACGCTTTGGGGTTCCGGGGTTAGGATTTCTGTGTTCCGGTTGTGTTCTTCGGTATTGGGCGTCCTGGGTTTTGCTTTCAAAGGTTGAAGGCTTGGTTGAAGGGTTTGGGGGGTCATGGCTCGGCGCTGACGGAGCTGAGAGAAGTTGGGGCAGGCTCTGTGATGTGTAGTGTAGAGACTTGCCCTGTTATGGCTCATTGTATGCTTGTGACCGCTTGTGCGATGTTCAGCTCTATGCATAACGTACGGTCTGCTTCCGACTGAACGACTGAACAGACGAACGAAAGAGTGACTGAAGGCAGGCATTGGACCGTGCTGTCCTGTGCTGTATTGTGTCGTTTTGTATTGTATTGCATGATATTGTGTGTATGGTATGGTATTGGATTTCATTGTATTGCATTCCATTGTACTGTGCTGTATTGATATGCTATCTTAAATTACATTGCATTGCATGGCATTGTAGTGTAGTGTAGTGCAGCGCGCATGGTCGTCTGTCTGTCGGTATGTCTGTCTGTCTGTCTGTCTGTATGTATGTATGTATGTATGTATAATGTACCCTAGGATCCTACAGAGATAGACGGGCAGCATGAAGACGTTGTGTATGCACACTCACAATATGTGCTAAGCACACATGCATGTCTTCGCTTCTTGTCATTGCTTCGTGAAGGTGCGCCGGACCACAGTGGCCTGTGGGGCTTCGCGCGTGCTGTGCGAATGGAATATCCAGGCCAAGTTTCGATCCAACATTACGGCAGTGACAAAACGATGAGAAGCTGGATAAGGCTAATTAGGATGCTGTTCATCATGCACAGCACTGACAGAAATAATTGCCGTGGGAACGATAGCATGATGAACGTAAGACTAATGATGATGATCGCGATACTTGCGGTCTTGGATAGCTGCCCAGAGCCGAGCTCACACCTTCAGGAGCACTCCGGATCACATGCGTTGACCTGGACGCAAGCAAAGAATCGGATGCCTGGGCCCAGCTCTCCACGGACATTTTGCCGGCCTTGCCAGCAGAGGAAGAGGAGATCGCGATCCGAGATGGAGAGATGAGTGCCGCAAAGCTGGCGCGATCTGTTGTGAAGTATACCGGAGCAGTGCGACTGAACATGCCTGCTCGTGGATCCCTCACTGGTCTGCGAGTGGTACCTCAAGCCGACACTTCCGTACGAGCGGCAGCAGCACCAGGGATGGCACAGCTGCGCATTCGTGCCGTCGGTCTGAACTTCCGTGATGTCTTGAATGTCATGGGGCTTTACCCCGGCGATCCGGGTCCACCTGGTGCAGACTGCGGTGGCACAGTCATCGGCCTTGGGGACAATGTGCCGCACCTGCGACTGGCAGAGGACATCTTTGGCGAGTCGCCCGGGTGCCTCAGCACATACAACACAAGCTCCGCAGCCTTACTCTCTCCGAAGCCCACTTCCTGGACTTACGAGGAGGCCGGGATCAGGTGCATAAAATCGTAGATGCAGAAAGCCGTCGCCATCTTGAGGGTTTCGGGCCCATGAAACACTACTACAAAAAAAGGAACCCCCAAGATAGTGTAGGAAATTATCAAGGCCGCTAGATTGGGCCTTCCTTTGTGGAGGCCTGCTGCCCTCAACCCTAAAACCCTAAAACCCTGAAACCCTAAACTCCTAAACCCTAAACCCTAAACCCTTGAGAGGCCTGCTGCATGCCTGTGATCTTCGTCACCGTCGAGGAGGCCTTGGGTGACCTTGCGAAGCTGAAGCGCGGCGAGCGAGTCCTCATCCACGCAGCAGCTGGGGGCGTGGGGCTGGTGGCCATCCAGTGCCTTTGCTAAGGTGGAGGCATAGTGATGGCGTGATGATGGTGATGATGACGGACGGTTATGCACAGCCTTCAATCCTCAACAGCAGCAGCAGGAGGACTAGCAGTAGTAGGCGTAGTAGCAGTAGTAGCAATAGTGGTATCAGCCGTGCAGAAGCGCAGTAGCAGGAGCCGGGGAAGGAGGAGGAGCAGGAGGAGCACGGGAAGGAGAAGGAGAGGAGGAGAAGGAGGACAGCAGGAGTAGTCGTAGCGCAGCAGCAGTAGCCGTAGAGGTAGGGATAGGGGTGGCGATAGTCGTAGTCGTCGTCGTAGTAGCAGCAGGAGGAGGAGTAGGAAGTTAATGGGAGGCAACTTTGCATAAGTTTTTCCGATAGAACCATGCTTAACACTAGTTGAGGGTGCCCTTTGATGCGGTGCTTTTTCACAAGCTGTAGTAGGGATCCTGATCTCCAAAAGGTACGCTGCCTTCGTCGGTGCAGAGGTCTATGCCACCGCCGGAGCAGACGAAAAGCACGAATTCTTGAGAGGGCTGGGTGTACCATGACAGCAAGCCAAGACCTCACCTTCGCTGTAGCTTGAACAACTGTGGCAGTTCACGGCTCTTCCTTGCCCTTGAGGTGAAATACATCACCAGCAGCAGAAATGGCCAGAAGTTCGAGGATGACATGAAGCAGCTCCTTAAGGTGCCGCAGTTAGAGCAGTCGAGACATCGGGCTCTTTTTTGAAGGCTGCCACAAGCCCGTGTCTTCTTTGGCGTTGTTCAGGGTGTCCCAGCTGTAGCAGACAGCGTGATGCCAATACTACAGGAGCAGGGAGTGGATGGAATCGACGTCGTGCTCAACAGTCTCAGTGCTTTGCCTGGAGGTATCCATATGTACGTATGTGAAATATGTACACGTATGCTCTTTCGCTATGCTGTCAGTATATGAAGTTACCTATATTCAAACAGAGGTGCATCTGTATCTTAGAATCAAGCTTTTGTCTCGCTGAGGGCTTCTGTGGCACTTGAACCGAGGCCACGATGACTACATTCCGCGATCTTTGGCCTTGCTCCGCAAGGGTGGCCGATTCATGGAGATCGGCAAGCGTGGAATCTGGTCCCACGAGCAGTTTCTCGGATGGTTTTGTAACTGCATCCTACAAGCCCCAAAGCACTGTCTCTTCAGGGTGCAATGTCTTTCATGTCTGCTGAGCTCAGGATGTTCCAAGCCCGTGGCTTTGCTGGACAGTGTCGGGCGGGTAGGAGGGCAGGAATCTGCACAGATATCCACATTGTGTGCCGATGCCTGCTGCAAAATCATGACTTGATCCGCACGCCTATGCCGAGGCCCAGATGTCATGTATGAGAAGATTGCTGCAGACACGATGATGGAAAAGGATTCGTGCAGAACTGTGCTGTGATCGTTGACAGGAATGATTTTAGCATCAAATTCTTGCTTCCTGCAGGAGCCATGGAAGTACAACGCGTACCTGAAGAGGCTCTTAGAGCGCGTGGACGATGGAGGGTTGAGTCCGATCAACATGTCCCTTGCTTGCAGATTTGGTGTCTCTCCGGCTCATGACGGTGGTTGCACTAGTGCTACCAGTAAGAGAGTGCGCCTACTTCGACTACCACTCCTGCTGCTGCAACCAGTGCTATGACGCTAATAAGACTAAAGCAAGGCACATCTTTGATGGCATGGAGAAGGGTGTCGCGGCCTTGCAGTTCCTCCAGAGGGCGAACAATATCGGAAAAGTCGTCATCAGTTCGCCGAGTCGCCTCTTGGCTTGGTTCAGGGTTCAAGATGCAAGAAGGTTTAGGGTTTAGATTTTGGGCCTTGCAGCAGTGTTACTGTTATGTTCCACTGGATGTATTGACGTTTCAGCATGTGCGTGTGACTATTGCAGTCGCTGCACCTCTTCTAGGGATTTGCGTCGTCTTCCGCGATTTCATGTGACATAGGCTATAGGTACTCATGGCGGATTTTCGTCCGGTATTATCATGAACATTCCTGCAGTGTTGTTGATCTTTGCTGTCTCTTGATTCTCAAGGGGCTGAAAAATACTTAAAATTACCTATATCGTTCTGGGGGCTCCTGATTGCAACTATCGTAAATATACCCCAAAACCCTATTCTATTTATTGAGGCCCCTACATTCCTCAGGCTTGCTCTGCACTCCGGAGCAGATGCCAGTCCTGTCTGGCGGCCTTGGTGCGTTGGGAGTGGTCACAGCACAGTTCCTGGTCGAGGAAGGTGCCAAAGCTCTGTGCCTCCTGTCGCGCAACGGCCAGCCAGCCAAGGCGCGGGTTGTCTTTTGGGACCTAACCCCATAATTGTAGTATATATGGACCCTAAACCCCAAAGCCTTATAGAACCCTCAAAGGAAGCCTTAAAGAAGCCCTTAAAGGAACAAGTTTCGAGAATGCAAGTACTAAGGAGGCTCGTGCAGTTTCAACAGCATAACAGAAGTTTGGGGTGGTGGTCGTAGTAGTAGTAGCAGCACTCTGCCCCTGGCCCTGGCCCTGCCCCCACTGCTGCCCCCACCGCCGCTGCCACTGCCACTGCCGCCGCCACTGCCATTGCCGGCGACACGAACAACAACAACTAGAACAACTACAACTACAACAACAACTACTACTACTACCACAGCCACCACCACCACGACGACGACGACTACTACTTCTGCTATACTACTACTACTACTACTACTACTACTACTACTACTACTACTACTACTACTGCTACTACTACTACTACTACTACTACTACTACTACTACCAGTACTACTACTACTACTACTACTACTACTACTACTACTACTACTACTACTACTACTACTACTACTACTACTACTACTACTACTACGACTACTACTACTACTACGACTACTACGACTACTACTACTACTATACACTACTACGACTACTACTACTACTACTACTACTACTACTACCACTACTACTACTACTACTACTACTACTACTACTACTACTACTACTACTACTACTACTACTACTACTACTACTACTACTACTACTACTCTACTATGACGACGACTACTACTACTCCTCCTCCTCCTACTACTACTACTACCACCACTACTACTACTTCTACGACGCCGACGATGACGACGACTACGACTACGACTACGACGACGATTACGACTGCTACGACGACTGAGACGACGACTACACTGCTACGACTACTACTGCGACGACCAATGCTACTACTACTACTACTACTACTACTACTACTACTACTACTACTACTACTACTACTACTACTACTAGTTCTAATAATAGTAAGAATAATAGTACCAATGCTAATACTAATTACTCCTCCTTCGTCGTTTTCGTCCTCCCCCTCGGCCTCGGGCGCGTCCTTGTTGTTCTGGTACTGGTGGTTGGGTTGTGGTACAAGTACACCATGCGGCGCTGCAGTCACGTCTACTGTTCTTGGCAGTAACAACCACAGCCACCCATGCTACGATGACGAGCACTATTGCAGTGCCCGCTATACTCGACCAGAAGAATGCTGCTGCTTACTGGTGCTAACAACATAATGAATGAGAGAAAGGAGACTTGACGACGACCAACACGGTTTCCGAGAAGCCAAGTTTCTGCACAGTGCAGAACTGCAATGAATTCAAACATCTTCTCGCCTACAGGATGTTGGACCACAGTGGTCTTGGCTCCAGAAATCTGCCGTGCAGCTCCGCATCGAGAAATGTGACGCTGGAGACTCTGATGAAGTGTGATGTTGGATGGGAAGTTCCGATCAGTGTCTTCCCATTTGGGAGTTTCTAAAAATGAGGGGACCCTAAAATAAGGTACCCCTATTTTCGGAAACTCCCATTTCACAGACCCTACCCAGTGGGATCCTCGTTGCACAGACCCCGGCCCCAAGCCATAAGCCCCAAGTCCGCGACAAAATGAGCCCAGTGGTACAGGTAACGTGTCCGGTCTAGCCTTCTACCTGCCTCCGCCCGCGGCCATACCCCAGGAAAGAAGGAGTCCGTGACGGCCTTGCGTGATGCCCTGGCAGGAGATCTCGTGCTTCGAGTCTAGCTGCCGCGCTCGTTGTCGTTGTTGCTCTTGCTCTAGTTTCTGTTGCAATGTCATGTGTCATAATAGACCTCCCGTCCGAGATGTGCAAGTCGGGTAGTGTATCTTGGATTGCCTCATGGGTGGTTGTCAAAATTAGGGTCCCTTTTTTGGTACCCTAAATATTAGGTGCCGTATTATATTAGGGACCCAAAAAGCGACCATAATTTTGACAACCACCCTCATGTTGTTGCGTTGGCCCTGCCAGGAAGCACTCTGGGAGGTCTCCTGCACCTTGCTGGGGTGCTGGCTGATGGGGTCCTGCCAAGTCTCAACCGCGAGAGCTTGGATCGATCCTATGGCCCCAAGGTGGGCACGAAACACCTGAACACTAAACCCTGAATCCTGTGGCCCCAAGGTGGGCAAATCATTACGTAAGAACAACAGTTCTGTAGGCAAACTTGGCCGATGATCTCCAGGTGCATGGCCTCTTCAACTTGTGCCGTATCCTGGATTTCCACAAAGCGGCGCCTCACTTGCTCTTCTCCTCCACCTCGGCACTCTTCGGATCGCCAGGTCTGCGTCCTGATGTTTTCGCCCTTCTCTGTGCTGTCAAGCGGCCTACCTACTTAGGGTTTAGGGTTTAGGACTTGATGCTTGTGAGAGCAATGACATGTGCCAGGCCAGGCGAACTATTCGGCCTCCAATTCCGTGCTGGACTCCTTGGCGCCCTTCTGGAGTTCGCAGGACAGCAAGCGCCCATGTCCATGTGAGTCGCAGGAAGCCTATCGATGGCCATCACTATACGTCACTAAGTCGCTAAACCCTATGCCGTTATAGAATCCCTATAGATCCCTATAAAGGGACCCTTAACGGATCTCTTATAACTACCCATGAACCTCCAAGTATGCCATGCCGAAGGCCATCAGAAGCCTATAAGGAGCCCTCAACCCTTTTCAGGAACCCTAAACCCCAAACCCCTTATATAATCCCTCAACCACTAAACCCTATACGTTGTAGAATCCCTATAGATCCCTTTAAAGGGACCCTAAACCCTCAACCCCTAAACCCTAAACCCGTAAACCCTAAACCCCTAAACCCCTAAACGCCTCAACCCTAAACCCTAAACCCAGAACCCCAAGTAAGCCACGTCAGGACCCGGATGGAGGCGACTTCCTCTGGCGAAACGCCCGGTCGGTGCAATGGGGACCCTGGGCCGAGGTGGGGATTTTCCTAAAAAATGGGGATACCTCAGGGTTCCTTTAAAGGGTTACCATAAGGGTATCCATAAAAGGGCTCTATAAGGGTTTAGAGTTTCTGAAAATTAGGGGTGCTTGATTTTGGGGTCCTAGGGTTTTATTAAGGGTTCCTTTAAGGGTTCTTTTGGTACTGTATTGGGATCCTACTATGTAGGGTACTTTTTTAAGGTACTGTATTGGGATCCTACTATTTCGGGTACTGTATTAGGGTCCCCCCCATTTTCGGAAACTCCCAGGTGGGCATGGCGGTGCAGGCAAACACGCTGGGACGTGCCAAGTCCATGGGCACCTTCGCTGCAGAGGGAGCCCCCAAAAGCGGACTGAGCTTCTACTTTTTGGGGGCTTCATAATTAGAATAGGGTTCCTTTTAAAGGGGTCTATCAGAATTATGGGGATTTACCATAGGGAGCTTATAACTAGAATATTGCTCCTTGTAAAGGGGACTATAAGGAGGCCTAGAAGGGTATTATGAGGATTTACTATAGGGGGCTTCATAATGGTTCCTTTTAAAGGGGTCTATAAGGGTTACTATAAGGGCTATAATGAGGATTTTCTATAGGGGGCTTCATAATTAGAATAGGGCTCCTTTTAAAGGGGTTTATAAGGGTTACTATAAGGGGTATTATGAGGATTTACTATAGGGGGCTTCATAAGGGTTCCTTTCAAAGGGGTCTATAAGGATTACTATAAGGGTTTTGCGGGGGTCTAGTATTGGGGGTTGATAATTAGAATAAGGTTTTGGGGCCCACTATAGTATAATTATAGTAAGGAAACCCACTAAAATAGTGCTGGTAATTATTCAGACCCCTATATTACCCCTATATTACCGGTTCATTGTACTCTCACTGTCATAAGGAGCCCCCAAAGTCGTATTGGTACTTATATAAAACACCCCGTTCTACCCTAGAAGTACAGAGACAGAGAGCCTGCGAAGCGAGGTGTCGGTGCTTTGACCAACGCCCAAGGCCTCGCCATCATGAGCAGCCTCTTGGCGCAAGTAAAGTGGGTTGTTGTCAATATTAGGGTCCCTTTTTGGGTCCCTATTATAATGCGGCACAGAGGGACCATAATTTTGACAGCTACCCAAATAGGATCTAAGTAGGATAGGGGCCTTAATAGTTAGAGTAGGGTTTTGGTGGCTCCTGATTATGGTTATGGCATGATATGCCCCCCAAACCCTATTCCAATTATTAAGGCCCCTATATTAGGATCTGTCTGCTCTTCGTCGTCCCCTTCAGGCTCCTGCAGAGCTTGTTCTCTCACGTTGGTTCATTCTGTTCATGGCAGTTTCAATCGCTGTGGCATGAGGTATCCTCAGCAGCTCCAACCTCCTGGTTGGTGCCGTGCCGGTGCGTTGGGGCAAGTATCTGAAGACGCTCGCACGCTTTACGCTTACCTCTGGTTAGTAGGGAATGGAAGAATGGTAGTAATAGTAGTTATAATTGTACCCCATTCCTCCATTCCCTATTGCCCCAGGGTAAGTTTACGAAGACATCTCCTGACTCATCTGCGACTCACCACATATGTCATGTCCTCTGTCCGTTGAGGAGCGCCTACCCGCAAGTGCCCAGCTTCCTCAAGGACTTCGAAGCGGAAGCCAAGAAGGAGGCTCTGAGATTTGTATTAGTGTAATAACTTGGAGGTTCCTGGGTAGTTATAAATGTGGTTATAAGTCCCCTAATACAGGTTATAATTAGAGTTACCTTACTTAAAACCCCACTTCTAACTACCCATGAACCTCCAAGTAGGGCGCAGGAGGCAAAAAGCTGAACCCTACCCCCGAACCCTCGACTCCCTAGACCAGTCAAAAAGAAAGCAAAGGTCTAGGGCCTAAAGGGTTCCTATGTGGATCGTAGTTTCATATACCCCCGAAGCCCTATTCTAATCATGGAACCCCCTACGTAAGTACTCAGACGTTGTAGGGGCCTATCGAGTCGTCGAAAAGGATCTCGTCTACGAATATCTTTAACAGGCTGTAGTGGCCTTGTACAGCCCTTGCAGTGTCCCTGAAAGGAACCCTACTTGGAGGTTCATGGGTAGTTATTAGTGGGGTTATAAGTGGGGGAACTATAGTTATGACTCCGATCAAGGACTTTTCATAATTACTACCCCACCTATAAGTACCCATGAACCTCCAAGTACTCTAATCCTTAAGACCCCTACACGACCGTCCCTCTTTTTGGAGGCTGCCGACCCTAAACCCCTAAACCCCTGACCCCCCAAACCCCTGAACCCTAACCCCTAAACCTTAAACCCCAAAAACCTAAACCCCTAAGCCCCTAAACCCCTAAAGCTCCAAACCCATAAACCCCAAACCCTGAACCCTTGAACCCCTAAGCCTCCCTAAACCCTAACCCCCCAAAATCCATTCTGAAGCCCTCTTTTCCCCTAAGCCCTAAACCGTACACCCCATTAATCCATTTCGAAGCCCTCTTTTCGGAGGCTGCCGACCCTAAACCCCTAAACCCCAAACCCCCAAAACCCCAACCCCTAAATCCCATAAACCCATTTCGAAGCCCTCTTTTCGGAGGCTGCCGAGGCTCGGGCTGCCAAGGGGGCCCCCGGCGACGGGGCTCTCGGAGCGCTCAGCGGTCTCAGCGGGCCGGAGCGCCTGGCGGCCCCTGGGCGGAAGAGGGTTCCCAAAGAAGGGGCTTTAAGGGTTTTAGGGTTTGGGGTTTGGGGATTGAGGGTTCAGGGCTTAGGAGTTTATGGGTTTTAGGGTTTAGGGGTTTAGGGTTTGGGGATTAGGGTTTAGGAGTTTAGGGGTTTAGCTTTTCGGGTTTAGGGCTTAGGGGTTTAGGGTTGAGGGTAGGGATCACCAAGAAGGCGTGGGTGCACAAAGAAGGGGGGCTCCTAAAACGGGATCCCCCAAAAAAAGGGTCTAGGAGAAAGGGTTCCCCCAAAAAGGGTTTAGGGTTTAGGGTTTAGGGTTTAGGGTTTGGTTGATTTGAAAGGGTTCGATACAGGGTCACCACAGGGTTCTACAAGGGTTCCATATGAGTTTCTAGAAGAGTTCTGCAATGCAGAACTCTGCTAGTAATCCATATGGAACCCGAGCCATATAAAGGTCCTATGAGGGTTTCTATGCGCCTCCATGAGGGCTCTGTAAACTGTAAGGGTTCGATCATGGCTTTCATGGCTTGGGGCCCTGGGGTGGAAGGGCCCGAGGGGTCAACGGAGTTTTTTTGGGGTTCTTCGGGGCTTTGGGGGGGGGGGGGGGGGGGGGGGGGGGGGGCTCAAGATTTTTGCGGGCTTCAGGATTTAGGGCTTCAATTTGAATCGGCCCGGGGGCTTTTATGTAGTTATTTTGACGTTGAGGCTTGACTTTGTCAGGATGTTGGGCTTTCAGGTGTTAGGGCTTTGAGGTTTCAAAGGTTCTCGGAGGCTTCAGATGTATGGTTTAGGGCTGAGGGGTTCAGGGCTTGTAGCGTTGGGTTTGCATTATGTCCGGCCTGCTTCTGGATTTCAGGATTTAGGATGGTTTAGGTTTCAGGGCCGTTTTTGGGGGATTCTTGCGTCGGGCTCGTGGTTCCTAAAGGGCTTTACAGGGACGCAGGATTGTGTGTGGTTCTCAGGGTGTTTGAGGTGCAGGGTTTACTTGAGGCTTTGAGGTTACAGGTTTATGGTTTTGGCTTTGGGGTGTCAGGGTCACAGTGTAAGTATCGCGGCCAATGCTGCAAGAGCATGCTAACCGTCGTAGCCAATCAGCTCGTCCGTTGCTGCAGATCTCCTTAACACAGCATCCTCATAGTGCCTTCATGCGAATTAAGTCGTATAGTTGCCCTTGTAGTGACCCTTATATGGCTCCGCTTTAGTAGCCCAAATGGCACCCTTATAGCAACCCGTACAGCGACCTAAACCCTAAACCTTAAAGCCTAAACCCTAAACCTTACACCCTAAACGCTAAACCTTAAACCCTAAACCCGAATCCCTAAACCTTGAACCCTAAACCCTAAACCCTTCACACCGCTGTTGATGTCTGTCCCGAGGCTGTTCTCAGCAGCCTCAGAGATCTTGCTCGTGAGGCGCCTTCTTTAGGGGTCTACGGGTGTAAGGGTTCAGGGTTTGGGGTTGGGGGATTAAGGGTTTAGGGGTCGTGGCTTTCGGGATTGGGGGTTTAGGCTTCAGTTTAGGAAGTTTTGGCGCAAACTGCCTCCGCAGGACAGGAAAGGGCCGCAGGTTGAGAGGTGTCAGGCTGTTGCAGGCAAAGGCCATCTTTGCTCAATGCGCAGACTGAGCCAGGTAGTCGATTCTCCTGACCTGGAAGCCGACAATCCTCTGATGGATGCTGGCATGGATTCTTTGTCAGGCCGGACCGCGCTCCTCAAAGTGGCTGAAGTTGTCATGTTCGACAAACTCATGGTTCGACAAACTCATGAGCACGTGTGCAGGTGTGGAATTCAGAAATCGTTTGCAGACGGAGTTTGACGGTGTCAATCTCCCGAACTCCATGGTTTTTGATTATCCCACTATCACCGCCGCTGGGAATGCCCTTTGCAAACTTGCCGTTCACGAGATTCTCAATTCTGCTTCGACGGCTCGCAGTAGGTTCCGACAGCTCAGGAACTTGCTGGCTTCATCGACGGCCAGCCGGGCTCTTACCCAGAGATGATGCACGATGGTGCACTCGTGGTTGTTTTCGGTTTTGCTGGCATGACAACAACGCTGAGGCTTGGAGATGCACCAGAATCTTCGACGCCAGCCGTATCCACGTCTGCAGCCCCACCGCAAGCGCAAGAGCCTTTCGTGGAACCGCTCAATGCACTGTGCAATGGAGGTGTTCGCCCACGTTTGAAGGGTTTTGGTCCACAGATGTCCGCAGCAAACCTCCTTCGCTGTTTGTGCAGCCAATTGACACTTATATTATAGTACAACTGTGCTTACATCATAGTACAGTATGTTAATTTTGTATAGTATGTTATAGTATATTCTTGTATGGTTCCCCTCTCAACTGGGTGCCAGGCTCTGAGACTGCGGCTAGCAAGCCAGTGTTCCTGGTACCAGGTGCAGGCACAGAGATGCTTCGCAGCGAACTCCACTGTTCAACTCTTTCGAGCATTAGCCCGAAAGCTTCGAATGAGCCGGGTTTAGGGTTTAGGGTTTGGGGGTTTAGGGCGTGGGGTTGGGTTGCTTCTGTCTCCAAAGCCACCCTCTAAAGCCTAAGCCCTGTGGAGGCATGCAAGCGGGAAGCTTTAGAACCCTCGCCGCGCGCCTTGCCTTGGCCAGCTACGGGTTGAGCTGGCCCAAGAGTATCCCCAGAGAAGAGTGGCCAAGCAGTCTCAAGGACGGGATCTCATACAAGGTCTGATATAGGGGCCTAAAGAATTACCAAAACTATTTGGGGGTTCCTTCTTATAACTATAATATAACGGGCCCGCCCCAAAACCCTACTCTAATGATTAAGGCCCCTATACTAAGCACATTGGGGATCAGCACTTTTCCCCAATATGTTTAGTGGATCTCATACAAGGCCTTACAGGGTCTTCTTCTGGCTGTATGAGTTTTATAGGAGTGCCAGTTTCCTTTATGACTTCATGTAAGTGTTTGGGATTTAGGGGTGTGCTAGCTAGGTGTGTAAATGATTATGGTGGCGCAGCGCGTTCTGGGGTTCAGGGCTTACGCCTTTACCGCTGCAGACGTTTGTTCCATGTTCGTCTTTGCCTCATCCTTCCAGTGCATCTAAATGTTCGAATATATACATATACATATATATATATATATGTATATATATATATATATATAAGAAACATACAATTGTATACATACCCCATCTATACATAATACATATATATATATATATATGTATATAAATATACAAATATACACACGCACTGTATAGTCGATCATATATCGCCTAGCAGAACCCCCAAGGCACCACGATCCCCAACCAAGTGGGCTTCGTAATTCAGAGCAAACGAGCGTGGTGCAGAAAGCCTGAAGCGTTTAGGGTTTAAGGGGTTTAGGGTCAAGGGTTTAGGGTTAGGGTTTTAGGGGTTTAGGGGGTTTAGAGGTTTAGGGTTTAGGGTTTAGGAGTTTAGGGGTTTAGGGTTTAGGGGTTTAGGGGTTTAGGGTTTAGGCCTAAACCCCCAAAGCCAGGATCCTAAACTCGAAACTCATCCTTCTGACCTGGCAGGAGGAAACGGGGCTTCGAAGCCACCAGCCTCAAAAGACCCCAACGCCTACAGCCTGCAGCCCTATAAAGGGTTTAGGAGTTTCCCCATAAAGGGCTTAGGAGTTTAGGGTTTAGAAGCCAAAGCCCCGGTGACTTGCAAAGAGGAGCTTGCCGAGCTCTTCTTCGAGGAGATTCAGAAGGTCCAGCCTTCCGGCCCCTACATTTTGGCGGGGCACTCCTTCGGCCCCTTTGCTTGCCTTTGGTTAGTAGGGAATTAAAGGGGCCTTATAAAGGGGTCTATAAGGGTTACTATAAGGGTACTATAATATAGGGGCCTTAATAATCCTATAGCTTACCTTTGGTTAGTAGGGAATGAGGGAACGGGGTACAATTCTAACTACTATTACTACCATTCTTCCATTCCCTACTTACCAAGAGCCAGTTTGGTTGATTCAGAGCAGCTAGAGCAAAGACGGACAAGAGGTGGTTTTCATGAGAGTGGAGATGGTCGTGAGCGGCAGATAGAAGCAGATGAGTAGGAATACCTAGTGCTGCCAGTAGAGTTCGATGATCAGGTATAGGCGAGAGGAGTAATACGAGCAATGAAGGATACTACCCAACGGAAAAGCCAACACCATCAAAACACAGGTAACACGAACGAACGGCAATAATATCAAGCAGCTTCAGGCCAATGAGGATGACCGGTGTTGCAAGCACACCCCGGCGATCCGTCGTGGTGGAACGAACAACAGCAGCCACAATAGGCATCTGACAACGGTAAGCATGTTGGGCGGTTTGTTTTCGTACTGATACGGTGACGGTGGCGGCGGTGGTCATGGTGGTGGTGCTGCTGCTGGTGTCGCTGGTGATGCTGATGGTGATGTTGTTTATGCTAATCATGGGTGTGTTTAAGGTAGTGGTCATGATTTTGATGGTGTTTCGGATGATGCTGATGGGAAGCAGAAGGAGAACATTTTGCGAATGAAGATGATGATGGCTATGATGAGGACGATGATGGTGATGATGATGATGATAGTCATAATGATGATGATGGTGCTGATGATGTTTTCTGCTGATGATGTCGGTGGCGGTGATGGTGATGGTGATGATGATGATGATGATGACGAGGACTCCTCTTGCAGAATACATCGGTCAGAATCTTCTGACATCAGGCTGAGTTTGGGCCTCTAGTTTTGAGCAGCTACTCTGTAGTTCATGTTTCTCAGGATCCGGTTTCACGGTTGCTTCTTGCCCAACGGTTGACACCGCCGAGGCGCCAACGTCTGCTTGGAGATCGCAGCCGTCGCTTCCTCGAAGGGGCAGCAAGCGGCCCGTCAGCTCTCTGAGAGGGAACTGGGACTTTCCGAAAAAAGGGGGCCCTTCTTTTGGGATCCTTGTAATAGGGATCCTGCCATTTAGGGTGCTATATTCGGGTCCCCTATTTTCGGAAAGTCCCAACTCATCATAGGGGCCCTTGGGGAGGTCGGGAGAGCGGGGTAGGGGAGTATACTTCCTTGAATAGGCCTTAGCAAGTCCGTATTATGGGTATTAAGGCCCCCTACCCCTCCCCCTACCCTTCCAGGGGTCCTTATGAACTCAAGTTCAACACCTCACCCTGATATGATTCAGATGTCCACTTGCCTCATGTTCGCGCTAGTTGTGAGTACCGAGTTTGCTCAGTCTTGCGAGTGCATTGCGTCAATGAAGCTGCAGGTATCTATGGTAATTCTGCTGGATCCTCGAAGCTTGCTACCACTGCAAGTGGACGTGCAAGCAGCTTTTGCCAAGTCAGGCGTGCTGCCCCAACAGAGAGACCGATACTGGCATGCTGTGAACGTAATGTGCGAATTCGAACTGCAGAGTGTCTGCTCGTTCGGAGGCCTTGTCGAAAGCCTGGCGCTGCTGGCGCAGACTCTTCCGGGTGTAGAAGGACTGTCTGGTTCCTAGTAGGAAATGAGGGAATGGATCTCTGTAGTAGTCCCTGTATAATCCCCAATAATAGTCCCAATAACCCATTCCCCTACTAAGAACCAGACAGGAGCGCGCTATGCAGAGCTCGTGGAAGCCCACGCCGGGGACGGAGACGAGGCCGATCGCTGCAAGCATCGACGACTGACTGGAAGACCTGGCAAACGGGAGATCTAAAGTAATATACGGGCCTTAATAGTTACCAATACTATTTTGGGGGTTCCTTGTTATCAGTATAGTATAATGGGCCCCGAAACCTTAAATTCTAATTATTAAGGCCCCTGTGTTACCAGCACCTGCAGTGAGACACGGTCGGTCTGACTCCCGCAGCCTACTGAACTCAGTAGAACCTAAACCCTAAACCTGTGAATCAGGCCATCAGGAAAGCTCTCAGTCCGGGTGCGCTAGCTTCCTTGGAGCATGTGCATGCCACCTGGCAAGTTTGAGCTGGAGGGTGTGGGCTTGAAGGTTTTGTTTGTTTCAGATGTGCCTTAGTTGTGTCAGAAATGCTATCCTAAACTTTAGTTTGTTTCAGATGTGCCTTAGTTTTGTCAAAGGTACTATCCTAAACCCCAAACCCCAAACCCTACATCTTAAACCCCCAATTCCCTGAGCCCCTCGCCCAGGAAACCACGCAGTGGTACAGCGCTCTGCTTCAGCAGGGCGAGGCGCCCCCGGCTCTTCCAGGCACCAAAGTCGCGGTTCTGCGAGCCCCGGTGGCCGGGGGCTCGGAGTTTCGGAAGAGAAAGTGGATACTGACGACGGAACTCCCCATAGCAAGTACCCTTTGTAGGGGGTCCTGACATTAAGGATCCTGTTTGGGGTTCATATCATAGTTTTAAAGTCAGGCACGATCGTCGCAATACGACGAACAAGAGGAGCAGTGATGGCACGGCCATGGGGCTAGTGCTCATTACTGCAGCAGTTCAAGTGCTGATACAAGCACAGGTGCGAATGGTGGCATCGAGACTCATGCCGATACACGTGCTATATACCCGTAGGAACTAATGAGAAGGAACAACAACGGGAGAAGTACCGGTCAGAGCGGCAGCGCCAGAGTTATGACTAGAACCATCGCAGGAATTCGACGTGCACTCTCCTCACACTAGTACTCGAAGTTGTGATACTAGCAGCGCAAGCAGTTCGAACGCTTACTAAGATCAAGAGCAAGTGTGTTTGACGATTTTGATTCTGACGGTGTTACCATTCATCACGTATCCTCATTTTGTCACCGTCATGATTCTGATAACGGCTGCGATCGCCTTGCTGCATCTCAGGCTTGGAAGTCGGCAAAGGCAAATGAGACGACTGCAGAGAGGATTGTGCGTTGCTCGGTGTAAGAGAGGAAGACAGTTGGGCCAGGCCCCTAAGCCCTGAACCCCCAAAGCTCTACATCCTAAACCGAGGCCCTACGCCCGTCGACCCTAAGCCCCTAGGCCCTAAGCCCCCCTACGCCCCTAAACCAAGGTGAGTTCCAAGCTCTCACCTTCCAAGATGACAAGGAGGTTGCGAGCCAGCTTTCTTCCCTTTCTCAGGCTCCTGACGTACTCAAGGCCGGGAGCCCTACTCGGAGGTTCATGGGGAGTTTACAGGGGTCTATAGGGATTCTATAAAGATATAGGGTTTAGGGCCTACTTGGAGTTTCTTGGGTAGTTATAAGTGGGTTATAAGTAGGGTAGCTATCATTATAACCCCTTATGAGGGGACATATAACCCCAGTTGTAACTACCCATGAACCTCCAAGTAGGTTCTTAGCGACGAAGGGGTTACCCTAAACAGACCCTAAACTCTTAGGGTTTAGAGCTTCGGGGTTTCGAGATTAGGGTTAGGGCTTAGGTTACATTGGTTTTAGGGTTAACCTTAATTCCAAATAACCTACCTTTGAATGACTTGTTAAAAAAGTCACAGTCGGGAACACTGAAGGGGTAGATGATTTCCCGTCCATTTAGGGTTTAGGGCCACGGTGTAGGTAGGGTTTCAGACCCTGAGCCCGAAACTGTAAACCCTTAAACCGTTTAGGGGAGCCGTGAAGATCCTGGCAGGTGCCGGGCACGCACTTTAGCACCTCGGCTGGATCAGAGGGGCTTAGGGTTCAGGGATCAGGGTTCAGGGTTTGCCGTGTTTGCGTCTTGTTTCTGTTGTACGTCATCTGCGCATGTCTCTGTCACATGCGAACAAAAGAATAACCGCTTGATTATAGGATCTTTCAGCGGGAGGGTGCTGGGGATCCTTCAGGAACCTTGGCGAACCTAAGGGAGTGCTAGGTGCAACTAGAGATTACTACTTGATATACCCCTGGGACACCCCTCCGACAAGGATTCCAAGAAAGCTGAAGAATGACTTGTACAGATATGCAGCTGTTGATATACATATCTGCACATACATACACAGTATACATATGCACTACCAAAGTGTATGTATATGTGTATATGTATGTGTATATATATATATATATATATATATATAATATGTATGCAACGTACATTAATGTACATATGCATGCATATAGAAGCTTGCCCACCTCTGAGTGCGCCACCAGGCATGCTCCACGAGCCGAACGTCGCAAGCCAAGTGCACGAGTGGAGTGGTAGAGTCTCTTTCGAGTTCGCGCCTCTAAGGATTCTAAGGCGCAAACTGTCCATGAGCGTATGCTGTGTGCATCTGTGTGCTTTGCTCTCAGGTGATTAAAGTGGCGTTCAAGGTCATTTCAGCTTTGAACAGCATGGAGGAGGAAGATGAGGAGTAGGCCACCCTTGTGCGGCAATGGAAGCATCAGGGTTGTGGAGAATTGACGTTGCTGTGCAAGTGACCGTGGCTGGAAGACAAGCTCAAACCATGGCAGTAGACACGTGAGTTTGCAGTGAGCTTGATCCGCTTGCGGGGGCTGCTGATGCATTTGGGAGCTTGCGTCTGACTGTTTCGCTCTTTTAACGGTCAGTGAGGTGCTCCGTGTGCCCGGGGGTCTCAGCGCCTGCGGGCACGAACGACACAAAGGTTTTCACGTCGTAGCACTAGACCGCGGACGTTCCCGGACGTGGCTCCCATGTCGCTAGAAACGGTGGCTTCCTTGACCTCCTTGTTCCGGGCATGATACGCAGATTCCGGGGAGGCGGTTCTATCATGATCACAAGGCTACTTTGCCGCGACTTTGCCTGTAATGTTGTATTTGGCCCGTGTATGTGGGAGTCTCCGAAAACAGAGGGAGCCTCCCAAATAAGATCAACATAGCAGGACCCTCGTTTCGACGTCCCCGAAAAGCTGCATTCCCGAAATCGAGTCCACCGCTGGCTTGCCGGAGGCGTCCCACTGCGCTGCCGCGTGGTGAGAGACGAAGATCGTCAGTTAGCACAGCAGCTCTAGGGTCAGCCTGTCAGCCAGCGGTGTCTAGTCGTAGTTCTATAATATTGTCACGGTGGTGCTAGAATTGCTAGACCTGAGGAGCATACAAATCCCTGTTGTTGAACTTCTGAACCTGTTGTTCTGGGCTGGCAGTCGCAACTGTAGAGATGCCGGGTGAGGACCCCAGGCGTTGTGCCAGAGCGCAGCAGAGCGCAGCAGAGCGCCTCACGCAGCACAGCTCCACGCTTTGAAGCCAAAACCCTGAACTCCAGGTCCGGGTCCTCACCCCTGGAGCTTTAGCTCACCCCGGGGCACAAAGCGCCGCGAAGGAATCCGTGCATCCCCAAAGATGGAAGCACCTGCGAATGGCAGAACTGAGTGCCTTGAGTCTCTCACACCGAAACAAAAAACTATCACTACAATGTATGCAATATGTTATATGTATGTGCTATATGCGTGTGTATATACATACATATGTAAGACGAGAGCAGCACAAATCGAGACGTCCACAAAGCTCTTCGGATTTGCGCTCAAAAGGACGGTAGCAAAGGAATTCGGAAAACTCGGCATCGCAAAAGCCTGAAATCGGAGACTGAAGGGCTCAGCAAGGAAGTTCAGTGCACATGCGATTTGAAGCCTGTGCAGATTTTCGCTTAGATACCGTGACAACTTGTGACAGCGGTTCTCGGAACTCCTCCGCCTTTGAGGCGACTTTAAATGATTTCAATATCCCCATCGCAAAAAGGATGTCTCGCAGCTGCCGGGAACAAGAAATCCTTCCGACAGACTCGAGCTGAACTGATTGAGGGTTGCGACCTGTGAGGATGTAGCTTTTGGCCCAGGTCGGCAGTAGACCGGTAGACCCTAAACCTCCATTCCAGTGGTATGCACACGCGGAGAAACATTGAAGAGCACTTCTACTTCTAAGGACAGTTACATCAAACCATCAAGTACACCTTTTCAGACAGCTTCGTTTGAGCGGCTTCGCTGCAGAAACTGCAGCCTGAAGCCTAGTTTCACTGCCTGCTGCAAAAACTGCGCGGGCATAGCTAACTGCCCAAAGCAGTGACCTACTCTATTTAGCCGGTCGCATTGCGCAGATAGCCTTAAACCCTGAACCCCAACCATAATTACCATAGGGGCCTAGATAATTACCAACATTACTTTGGGCGTTCCTTACTGTAATGATAGTATAACGGGCCCCAAAACCATGTTTTTAATTATTGAGGCCTTATATGACACCCCAACAGCAGACTCAAGCCCGACTTCCGGAGGTGCAAGGCCTATCGAGGTGCCCTAAGCGAAACACCCATCCAAAACACAACGCAGCGGCTTGAACGCCTAAAGCCCTAGGAATCCTGAAAAGCCCCATTGCCCTAAGCCCTGAGGTTTAGGGTTTAGGGTTAAGCCCCAAAAGCCCTGAAGCCCCGTTTGTGAGGGCCCAGGTGCAAGGCCAAGACCTGCGATGCCTCGCGATGGCAGGGCGACTGCCAAAGCTAAGCTGCCGAAGCTGCAGCCCAACGTCAACAGGCCCCGCGCGGCTTTAAGGGTTCCTAGCAGGGTGGCTTTAAGGGTTACAGTAGGGCTTGCTAGAGGTGTTCCCATGAGGCCTTATGTTGGGACTTGGGCGGTCAGGGTTTAAGAGATACTTTGGGCTTCGGTCCTTCACGGTGAACGATAGTATAGGCTGTAGGACAGTATGGGTTTAGGACCGTTCAGGTGTAGGATAGTTTGGCTTTACGACCTGCATCCTTCTTCTACAACATAGTTAGCAGAGGTAAGACCCAAACTGTTTCAGGTCCTGCTGTCTCGTGCCCCTATCACCTCTTCAGGGGGTCTTGATGAAGACAAACTGAAGCCGAAGTTCAGCTAGGTGGTTGTCAAAGTTATGGCCCCTTTTTGTGTACCCTAGATATTAGGTGCCGCATTATAAGAAGGACCCAAAAAGGGACCCTAATTTTGACAACCACCCAGCTGTTGTGCGAATGCTGCCTCTCGGAAGTTCCTGCGGAGTTTGGAGCTTCGCAACAGAGAGTGGTCAAAGCCCCTGCTTGCTATTCGTCTCGAACTTGAAGTGCAAATATTATCATTATTATCTTTACTGATCATTATTACTCTTGTTGTTGTCGCCATTGCTACTATCGCTTTGAGTTTTTTCCATGTCGAAAGTAAGTAGTCGTGAGCAGGGCTTGATTGCTGTTGTCGTTATGATTATCGCCGTTATTCCGATTATGGCCGCCACTGCCGGTAGTGTTTTTCTTGAAGTTTTGAGGCCTCCGTGGGTACCCGGAGCAGTTCGTTCCGGGCGCCTGAAGCCCTCCAGCCACAAGCTCTAAAGCGTAACAGTAATTGTAGCAATAAGAGTAATAATAGTAAGCAAGTAGTCATGGTAATAGTAGTAATAATCGTAATAATAGTAGTAATCGCACTATCCAAAGATTTGGTCTTTGCTTGCAAGGCGTGCGCAGCAGATCATCACTGCACACATGCAGCTCGAGGACCTTGTGGGATTGAGGGTGTTTGATATTGAAACTATCGAGGCGAGGCAAGGCCAATGCCGTCAGGATTAGAGTTGAGCACCCGACATGTCAATGTAATGCTAGCTTCGGGATGTGCTGTATCTTTGCATCGTCAAGCATCAGTGCGACCCTACCGTGCAGCCCTACACGGATGTCCACAGACTACTCATCTGCAAGTCCTGAAGTCCTGTCCCTTGTCCGCCCAGTCAGATCTCCTGTCTTGTCAGGAGCGAGGAGAGGTGGGAACTGTGTCCATGAACAGTGTGCCCATCCTCTCGAAGCTGGAGCGAAGCTGGGCATTCCTTGGCGCATTCCCACATACATGTGGCGGAGAATAAGAATGAGGGTCCTCTTACTGAGAATGCAGAGCACAAGACAAATTCAATACTGCGTCTTGGAGCTGGTACATGCGGGCAAGAAATCATTCGCAGACGGACAAACACTTCATGAGAGCATGACATGGATGATTGCATGACTGACTGACTGACTGACTGACTGACTGACTGACTGACTGACTGACTGGTTGGCTGACTGACTGACTTACTGAACGAATGAATGAATGAATGACTGACTGACTGACTGACTGGTTGGCTGACTGACTGACTTAATGAATGAACGAATGAATGAATGAATGACTGACTGACTGGTTGGATGACTGACTGACTTACTGAATGAATGAATGAATGAATGAATGAAATGAAATGAAATGAATGAATGAATGAATGACTGGCTGACTGACTGACTGACTTGCTGAATGAATGAATGACTGACTGACTGACTGGCTGACTGGCTGACTGACTGACTGACTGACTGGTTGGCTGGCTGACACTGAATGAATGACTGACTGACTGACTGACTGACTGACTTACTGAATGAATGAATGAATGAATGAATGAATGAATGAAATGAATGAAAGGAATGAAAGGAATGAAGGAATGAAGGAATGAAGGAATGAAGGAATGAAGGAATGAATGAATGAATGAAACGAATGAAATGCATGAAATGAATGAAATGAATGAAATGAATGAAATGAATGAAATGAATGAAATGAAATGAATGAATGAATGACTGACTGCCTGACTGACTGACTGACTGACTGACTGGTTGGCTGACTGACTGACTTACTGAATGAATGACTGACTGACTGACTGACTTACTGAATGAATGAATGAATGAATGATTGAATGAATGAATGAATGACTGACTTACTGAATGAATGAATGAATGAATGAACGAACGAATGAATGAATGACTGACTGAATGACTGACTGGTTGGCTGACTGACTGACTGACTGACTGAATGAATGAATGAATGAATGAATGGATGGATGAATGAATGTTGTTTGGATAATGAATGAATGCATGAATGAATGAACGAACGGAAGAATGAATGAACAAGTGCATAATGACCGCATGGACGATCTATTGAATATATGAATGATTGTATGAATTCGTGCGTGGACTGGCATGGAATGAATTGAAATCACATGGCGTGCCATGAAACTGAGATGAAATGAAGTAGCTCAATGACTGAAAAGCGAATGGATGCATGAATGAGGGCATGAGTTTCTGCAAGAATTGTCAGTGAGTGAATGAATCAACGGCTGAAAAGTAGGTAGGTAGATAGAAAGGTAGAGGGATAGATAGATGGAGAGATTTATGGATACTGGTACAGGCACATTCCGTATCCTTTTGCAGGCAGGGCGACACTTGCATATGCATACACACGCACATATTTACATATAGTAAAATATATACATAGATGTATGTATACACACTCGTACATAAGGACACATACAGACACAGACACGCACATACGCATACACACAAGCTTGCACATAGCTCCATTTCAAGTTCGTGCTTGTACATGAATACACGAGCACAGTACTGTGGAGCATAAAATCCATTCCGTGCATCCGTGCACACGTAATCCGGCCAATTACGAGATGCCTAACAATATGCCGTGCCACATTTCGCTGTTGTAGACCATACTAGACCTGATCCTGATGAACACTGTCGCATAGTACTCGAAGTACTTCTGGTAGGACTTACATATTATGTTAATGGCAGTATTGCCGGGCAGAAGTTCTATGGTGCTGCCACTGTCTAGCAGCATCCGACTTAGACATCCGAGGAACTGCGCCGAAGACGGCACGTTCTCACGATGTTTCGCACCTTTGTGACCAGCCGATGCACCTCACACCCAGTCTTCCAATATCGCTGATCGAGGAGAAGGACCATGCCTTTTGGCTGACACGCAGGCTTTGGTTTCAGCCTGCCAGCGGCGATAAGTTGGTTCTTTAAGGCTAGGTGTACGTGTATTGTTAGCGAAGTTGCATGTCCAGGCGGTCTGCCATCACTTCAGTGCTGCGCAACACCACATAACTTACTCTCGTGCACAATCGCAAATATGCATAGCAACCAGAACACATGACAAGACAGGCATCTAAGAAACAAAGAACTTTAATGACTGTTTTCCGAGGTATACGAGAGTAGCTTCCTTCCGGTAGATGCTTCAAGCACCTACCGTGAAGAGGATGGCCTCTGGCATACAAAGGCCAGGGCTGCGTTCCGGGCGTCAGTGCTGAGGGCCTTACGGTTCAGGGTAGTAAAGGGAACTCCAGAAAGTTGGAATATGGTTTCAGGGTAGGATACCCTATAATTTACCATAAAGGGCTTAGGATAATCATATTCCAACTTTCTGGCTTTTACTATAGGCCAGTGTAGGTTTAGTTTAGACGTTACCTTGCAACCAGGTCTTCCCTTCCGACAACCCTTCGAGCCGAACAGACGCAGTGATGCTGGACAACTGGATCAGCAAATCGCTGGAGGAAGTGGAAGACAACCTTACCGCAACGCGGCTGAACTTACGGTAAGTACCCTCCTGAAGAAATAACTCAATTGCACTAATGAATACCTTTGGTTAGTAGGGAATGGAGGAATGGGGTACAATCATAACTACTATTACTACCATTCTTCCTACCTAAACCCTACACTACTATTACTACCATTCTTCCAAAACCCTAAACCCTAAACTACTATTACTACATTCTTCCATTCCCTACTAACCAAAGGTAAACCCTAAACCCCTAAACCCTAAACCCTATAGATCCCTTAAAGGATCCCTTTAAAGGACCATTCTTCCATTCCCTACTAACCAAAACTTGGCTGAACTTACCTTTGGATAGTAGGGAATGGAAGAATGGCCGTAATACTAGTTACAATTGTACCCCATTCCTCCATTCCCTACTAACCAAGTGTAAGTGAAAGGAGCGGCCGAGCGAGCTTTAACGTCTCTGCAGTGCTCAGGAAGCCCAGCGGAGTCGAGATGACTTTGCAGACACGGTGTCCTGGTTGAGAACCATTGCAGTTCTTTTTATTCTAGTAGATTTTTTATTTTCATTTACTATTGATATATGTATATATATATATATATATTACTTAACATTTAAGAGCAATATACCGTTTAGTGCTATAATCACCCGACGCCTTTGGGGCAAAGCTCTGAGAGGTCCAGGAGCTGGTCCCCGTCCTCTCGGTGGCGCTGCACGAGATTGTCCGGCAGGTGATGCACCACTGTCCCGAACGAGGCTTCGGGGGTTTTAGGCTTTTAGGGATTCGGGTTTAGGGTTCAGGGTTTAGGGTTCAGGGTTTAGGGAATTTCAGGGTTTCAGGGTTCAGGGTTTTAGGGTTAGGGTTGACAAGGTGAGTTATGAGGGCTCGTTGGTACATTGCAATATGTTGCAGGGTATGCAAGCAAGAAAGACAACACGCGACATCCGCTGTTGAAAGCTTCTCAGCACCATCGTCTTGCCTGAACCTTTTGCTTGGGAGTTGTTCTCAATTTTGCTGCCCTTGAGCCTTGAACTTAACATGCTTCGTTAAGGAGTGGCGCTTCAACCTAAGGGCCCCAGCTGAACGGACCATGATTTGGAACAACGCCCACGCTGGCAGGTGCGGCCTTGCAGAAGATATGGCGGACCTATGTGGAGCGTCTCGGGGTTCAGGGCTGGGGGTTAGGTTTACTCCAGGAGGTTCATGGGTAGTTATTTAGGGGCTGCGCCCAGGTGCGGGCAGCGCGAGCTGTTGTCAGAAACCCGCGGTATATAGATAAGTGCAACGTAGGCCCGAAGTGCGCAACTTGTGGGTGATCGTAGGCTCTCAGCCCCCGTCGGCCCTGCATGTAGCCCGCACCCCCCGTCCGCCGGACCCCGCTGATGCTCATGATGCGCGCCCTTTGGCGGCTTCCGCAACCCACTCAAAAACTTGGGAGTTATGACTTCGCGCCCACGTCGCGCCGCCGGCGCCGGTTGCGGGCGCCCGAGGGCTCATGATGCTCGCCGGCTCGCCTCCTGGGGTCGTCCCCGGCGGCCCCGAAACCCGCCACACCGCGGGGAATGGCTGCAAAACGCGTGCGCGTTCCGAGACGCCTTCGGGCCAGGCCCCGCGCGGCCCGAGGGAGAAACGAGGGTCCGATGATGCGGGGTCCGGGGCGGCGGCACTGTCGGTCGTGGCTTCTGCTTCGCAGACGAAGCTCATTCGTCTGAGCCATAGCTCAGTCCATACAGGGCAGCGAAGCGCTGCCCGATTTATGGGCTGCCGCCACTGCCGCCGACCCCAAAAGAAGAGAGGTGACTATCCAAGGAACGCAGCAGGTGTTGAAAGCAGCCAACTGCAAGTCTTGTAACTGGCACGAGTAGCATGAGCACATGACTGATGCGGCGAAGTATTCGGACTGACGCAGTGCTCAGCTCTCGGACATTGTGTGCGCATGTTTCAGCAACCTTGTGACTCAGAGGCAAAAGGCATCCGCACAAAACCGAGTTTAGCAGGAAGGCTGTATTCGATATGCTTAAGATACGGAACCAGTGCAGTTGTGGCCATGGGATGGTACGACAAAAAAGTCGCGCGCGCGGCGGCGCATCACAAAGCCGGGGCGGGCAGTGAGGACAATAAAGGTATAGTGAGGGCGGTGTGGGCGGTGGGGGCGCGGGGGGGTCCGGGCACACATTGGCAGCCTTTAAATACTCTTTACTCTTTAAACACCTACAAATACAGCGGGAACGGTGAAGGCGGTGGAGGGGGATGAAGGTGGTGGGGGTGGTGAGGGCGGTGAGGGCGGTGAGGGCGGTGAGGGCGGTGTGGGCGGTGGGGGTGGTGGGGGCGGTGTAGGCGGTGTGGCGGTGGGGGCGCAGGGGGGTCCGGGCACACATTGGCAGCCTTTAAATACTCTTTACTCTTTAAACACCTACAAATACAGCGGGCGGTGAGAGCGGTGGAGACGGTGGGAACGGTGAAAGCGGAGGAGGGGGATGAAGGTGGTGGGGGTGGTGAGGGCGGTGAGGGCGGTGTGGGCGGTGGGGGCGGTGTGGGCGGTGTGGGCGGTGGGGGCGCGGGGGGGTCCGGGCACACATTGGCAGCCTTTAAATACTCTTATACTCTTTAAACACCTACAAATACAGCGGGCGGTGAGAGCGGTGGAGACGGTGGGAACGGTGAAAGCGGTGGAGGCACAGTGCAGGCGTGGCAGTAATGGAGATGGTGGGGGTGGTGGCGGTGGATGAAGGTGGTGGGGGTGGTGAGGGCGGTGGGGGCGGTGTGGGCGGTGGGGGCGCGGGGGGTCCGGGCCTTCTTTAACACTGGAGACACAGTGCAAGGCGTGGAAGTAATGGAGATGGTGGGGGTGGTGGCGGTGGATGAAGGTGGTGGGGGTGGTGAGGGCGGTGAGGGCGGTGTTGGCGGTGTGGGCGGTGGGGGTGCGGGGGGGTCCGGGCACACATTGGCAGCCTTTAAATACTCTTTACTCTTTAAACACCTACAAACACAGCGGGCGGTCAGAGCGGTGGAGACGGTGGGAACGGTGAAAGCGGTGGAGGCACAGTGCAGGCGTGGCAGTAATGGAGATGGTGGGGGTGGTGGCGGTGGATGAAGGTGGTGGGGGTGGTGAGGGCCGGCGGTGGTGGCGGTGGGGGCGCGGGGGGGTCCGGGCACACATTGGCAGCCTTTAAATACTCTTTACTCTTTAAACACCTACAAATACAGCGGGCGGTGAGAGCGGTGGAGACGGTGGGAACGGTGAAAGCGGTGGAGGGGGATGAAGGTGGTGGGGGTGGTGAGGGCGGTGAGGGCGGTGTGGGCGGTGGGGGCGGTGTGGGCGGTGTGGGCGGTGTGGGCGCGGGGGGGTCCGGGCACACATTGGCAGCCTTTACATATTTTTTACTCTTTAAACACCTACAAATACAGCGGGCGGTGAGAGCGGTGGAGACGGTGGGAACGGTGAAAGCGGTGGAGGGGATGAAGGTGGTGGGGGTGGTGAGGGCGGTGATGGCGGTGAGGGCGGTGTGGGCGGTGGGGGCGGTGGGGGCGGTGGGGGCGGTGTGCGGCGGTGGGGGCGCGGGGGGGTCCGGGCACACATTGGCAGCCTTTTAATACTCTTCACTCTTTAAACACCTACAAATACAGCGGGAACGGTGAAGGCGGTGGAGGGGGATGAAGGTGGTGGGGGTGGTGAGGGCGGTGAGGGCGGTGTGGGCGGTGGGGGCGGTGTGGGCGGTGGGGGCGCGGGGGGGTCCGGGCACACATTGGCAGCCTTTAAATACTCTTTACTCTTAAAACAACACCTACAAAATCAGCGGCGGGAACGGTGAAAGCGGTGGAGGGGGATGAAGGTGGGTGGTGAGGGCGGTGAGGGCGGTGTGGGCGGTGGGGGCGGTGTGGGCGGTGGGGGCGCGGGGGGGGCACACATTGGCAGCCTTTAAAGACTCTTTACTCTTCAAACACCTACAAATACAGCGGGCGGTGAGAGCGGTGGAGACGGTGGGAACGGTGAAAGCGGCGGAGGGGGATGAAGGTGGTGGGGGTGGTGAGGGCGGTGAGGGCGGTGAGGGCGGTGTGGGCGGTGGGAGCGGTGTGGGCGGTGGGGGCGCGGGGGGGTCCGGGCACACATTGGCAGCCTTTAAATACTCTTCACTTTTTAAACACCTACAAATAATACAAATACAGCGGGCGGTGAGAGCGCTGGAGACGGTGGGAACGGTGAAAGCGGTGGAGGGGGATGAAGGTGGTGGGGGTGGTGAGGGCGGTGAGGGCGGTGAGGGCGGTGTGGGCGGTGCGGGCGGTGGGGGCGGTGTGGGCGGTGTGGGCGGTGTGGGCGGTGGGGGCGGTGGGGGCGCGGGGGGGTCCGGGCACACATTGGCAGCCTTTAAATATTCTTTAACTCTTTAAACACCTACAAAATCAGCGGGCGGTGAGAGCTCTTTAAACACCTACAAATACAGCGGGCGGTGAGAGCGGTGGAGACGGTGGGAACGGTGAAAGCAATGGAGGGGGGTGGTGGGGGCGGTGGGGGCGGTGAGGGCGGTGTGGGCGGTGGGGGCGGTAAGGGCGGTGGGGGCGCGGCGGGGTCCGGGCACACATTGGCAGCCTCTTTTCTCTTTCTCCCATTCCACACCTACAAATACAGCGGGCGGTGAGAGCGGTGGAGACGGTGGGAACAGTGAAAGCGGTGGAGGGGGATGAAGGTGGCGGGGGTGGTGAGGGCGGTGCCTTTAAATACTCTTTAACACCTACAAACACAGCGGTTATAACTCCCCTGACAGAACACTGGGGGTGGTGGCAGTGGTGGAGGTGGTGGGGGTGGTGAGGGCGGTGAGAGCTGTGAGGGCGGCGGAAGCGGTGGGGGCAATGAGAGCGGTCCGGGCACAGTGGAGGAATATTCAAAAAAACACCTACAAATACAGCGGTGAAAACTCTTTCAACAGAGCGGTGGTGGAGGTGGTGAGGGCGGTGGGGGGCAGTGGGGGTGGCGCTACAAAGGCAGGTGAGGGCAGTGAGGGCGGTGGGGGTGGTGAGGGCGGCGGGGCGGTGGGGGCGGTGGGGGTGGTGCTACAAAGGCAGGTTAGGGGCAGTGAGGGCGGTGGGGGTGGTGAGGGCGGCGGTGGCGGTAGGGGCGGTGTGGGCGCGGAGGGGTCCGGGCACACATTGGTTTAAATACTCTTATATACTCTTTAAACACTTACAAATACAGCGGTGAAGGAATCTTTAAACAGAGCGGTGGTGGAGGTTGTGAGGGGCCTTTACATACTCTTTAAACACCTACAAATACAGCGGTGAAAGACTCTTTGAACAGAGCGGTGGAGGCGGTGGAAGCGGTGTGGGTGCGGACACCTCTCGGGATATCACGGGCGCCGCCCGCAGGGGTCGGCGGATAAGTGGGGTGATAAGTAGGGTAGCTATAGTTATAACTTATAACTCCTATTAAACGGAGCTTATAAGCCCACTTACAACTACCCATGAACCTCCAAGTAGGGTTTAAGCTTTGGGGTTTAGGGCTTCGGGGTCGTACCTTCTGAACTCGGCAAGGGGCAGGGGACGGGCAAGAGGGAGAGTCCGATGCTAGCTGAGGGGGGCAGCGTCCGTATGCCCCTTAATAGCTCATATAGGGTTTAGGGTTTAGGGTGAACGGGGAAACTTTAAACTTTCTGGCCTTATATATGAGCTCGATCTTAGAAAGTTTGAACTTTTTGGGGCCCGGTTGTTGAAGAAGAGAGGTATCGTAAGGATGAACCGTAAACATAAACAAAGTCGTAGACCCCCAAACTCGTGCCTACACCCTCAACTCATCGTTCCATAACCAAAAGGCATAGTCTCCCTGGGGTGGCCCTGATCCCCGAGCCTTAAATCCCTGAACCTGGGGGTTCCTTATTATACCTATAGTGTAATGGGCCCCAAAACCCTATTCTATTTATCAAGGCCCTTGAATTAAGCCCTCAACCCTAAACCCTAAAGCCCTGAAGCCCTAAACCCTAAACCCCAACGCCCTAAACCCGAGAGCCCTAAACCCCCAAAGCCCTAAAGCCCTAAACCCCAAACCCGAAACCTTTACAGCCCTGAAGCCCTAAAGCCCTAAACCCAAACCCTAACCCCCCGAAAGCCCTAAACCCCTGAAGCCTTTCAAAAGGAGCTTTTCGAGCGGGTCTTGGAGCAGATGCGACAGTCCCTGAAGGTTCACAAGGCCTCCGGAGAGACCTGGGGCTCCCCAAAGAACAGCCTTAAGGCCCAATTAAGAGAAAGTGTATGGCTTGGAGCTTAAGGGTTGGCGATCACGGATTTTTAGGGTTTAGGGTTTGGGGCTCAGGGTGTAGAGGTTCAGGCTTGGGGTTTAGGGTAGAAGACTTACGGACAGGATTGACAATTGCAGGTTTCATGCTGAAGTGCAGTTGCACGCTTCTCTCCATTGCCGCTTCGTACATAACTAGTTGCTTTCGTCGACGAATTGCTCAACCCATGGTAACACTAGACCCCAAAAGCCCTAACCGCAAAAGCAACCGTAAGCTGCCGCTCTGCCTCACAATCCATGAGTAGTTTCGACTCCGTCTCCCGGGCTCTTCCGTGCCAAGTCTGATCCTTTCGCGAGGGGAAAAAGGTCCGGAAAAAAACTTTACCCTAAACCCCTACACCCCTCTACCCTGAACTGCCTTGAGCCAGGAACGCACTGGCGAGATCCAGCAAGAGCTGAAGCAAGCAAACCAGGCAAGTGGGGCGGTGAAGTGCATGGGAAGCTGGATTTGGGGTTTAGGGTTCAGGGTTTCGAGCTTAGGGTTTGCAGTTTAGGGCCTGGGGGGTTTAGGGTTTAAAAGCCAGCAGATCCGTGAACGAAGCACGGTTCCCCCCTTGAAAACCGCTACGCCTTCCCCAAACGCGACATCCTAATGCCAAGATTCTCGGCCCTAGCTCAAGGAATCTCTCTCCACCGTGTCGGCCAGGAAGTGAAGGATCTCAAGCGGGAGCATCCCGAGCAAATGCACACCATCATCTCTGAGCTTGAGGCAGTCCTTTCGGGTTGCGGAAGTTCCGGGCTTCACTTTTGGGGGTACCTTTACAGGGATCTCTATACGGGTTCCTTAAAGGGATCTATGAGGGTTCTATGAAGGGTTTAGGGTTTAGGGAGATTCCGAAAATCAGGGTACCTGACTTGGGGGTCCCTGTAATAGGGATCCTATTATTAGGGTCCCCTATAATCGGAAACCCCCACTTAAGATCTGAAGTCCATAACCCAGAAGCCGCGGCATTTTGGGACATCCTCCAGGCTTCCTGTGACCAGCCCGTGTCGTCTCATTCTTCTGTCCTAGGTTTCTAGGTGGACGTTTCGGTCCTTGTTACGGCTCTTTCAGGCTACAGCGGCTACGGTTTTCCTAGCGCTTAGCTTGGTTTGTGAAGAGACTTGCCTCAGTATCACTCCTCTGCTGTTAGGTAGTGCTTTGCTTTGCCCTCGAACAAGCCCAGGATGAACTAGCAGAAGCCAGCACGAAAGAAGGAGAGCAAGTCACCAAGCACATTTGCGTCCGGTAGCGGCTCAGAACCTCGAAGTGCCAGAAGACTAAAGCTCTGAAGTTACTCACCCATTCTGCGGTTATATGATTTAGGGCAGGGTTCTGTTTCAGCTCCTCCAGTGGCCGGAAGCGTCATTGGCTCACATGCAGTGTCCCATCCAAGATTATGCAGTCAGCTTTGCAACTAGTTCTAGTTCTGGCAACTGCGTATCGCCTACGTCGTATATTTTTCCATTCTCTAATTCTCAGTAGTGAGGAGTATATACAAGATTTTCTTGCATGGGCTGTTAGCAATACCGCGTGCGCAACAAACTGCAGGCTTCCTGCGCAAACTGCAGGCTTCCTCGTGCCCCAAAACCCAAAATGTCAATTATCTGCACAGCATCTCAGCCCGAAGCACACCTTGTGATAGCACAAGTGAGCCTCATTTGGAGAACTAGCGTAGACTCTCAGCCCGCAAGCCCTGAATTCCCACCCGGAATCATCAGAAGCTATCCTCTAACCCGAAACCCCAAAAATCCGAATAGAGGGACCCTATCTTAGAGAACTTCCCCTCTCAATGGGTTCTGATTTAACATCAAAGCCAGAGAAATGAATCATGAATAGAATCGAGCCAATACTAGCAATATTGATATTCGTATTCATATCTTAATATTATTTCTTAATACTAATGATATCAACATAATAATAATAGTAATAATAATAATAGCCAGCTTGAGAGAGCCACTCTTCTGAAGAAGATTTTGCAGAGGCCAAGTTCATGCAGCGTCAGCGCAACTACGAACAAGACCTGCAGGAGGCCAAACACTGGGGGCTTTGGGGTTTTGGGGCTTAGGTTAGAAGCTGCGCCCACCCTGTAATAGTGGTATAATAGGAATATAATAGGGCCCTAATATAATCCTATATAATCCTTATGGTCACTATTACAGGGTGGGGGCCCCTTCTAAGGCTTAGGGTAAAAGGATTTTAGTTTTTGGGTTGCAGGGTTAGGGCTTTGGGGTTTTGGGGGTTGGTTTTTAGGGTGTAGGGTTAGGGCTTTTGGCGTGGGGTTAGGGCTTCTAGGTTTTTGGGGTGTGGGGTTAGGGCTTTTGGGTTTTTGGGATGTAGGGCAAGGGCTTTTGGGTTATTTGGGGTGTGGGATTAGGGCTTTTTGGTAGGGTTTAGGCTTTTGGGTTTTGGGGGTGTAGGGTTATGGCTTTTGGGTTTTTGGGGTGTAGGGTAAGCGGTTGCGGGGTGTTTCGGGTTCTGGGTTTGTTTGGGGGTTTCACGTTCTGGCTTTTAGGGTTTAGTGTTTCGTGTTTCAGGGCTTCGGGATTTGGGTCTGTGGGTTGTTAAGGGTTTGGGGTTTGCTTCGGGTTTGGGGTGTTGTGCCTGTGCGTCTTATCTTGCAGTGTCGGTGCTTTGAAAGTTCTTAAGCATGCTGGCTGCATCCAAGCTGGCAGTAGTGAAAGCCGGCCAGCTACCATTCTCAGACGCAAAACAGTGTCCGACTCAAAGTGGTACAGATGTCCAATTCGACGCAGGATTTCTCTACGAGATGAAAGACAAGTCTGTCTCCTCTAAGTACTCCTGGGGCGCACGGCGATCAGCGCAGATGTTTGTGAATCATTCATTGACACTCATGTTCCTCAAACGAAGATTATGCTGGGAAGCGCTCCTGCCGCGAGCGCCGTTTATTGCTCCTGTAATTTATTTTTGTATCTAGTACCGAAAGCACAAGAACGAAGGATGCACACCCCCAACCCCATGACACCTGGAAGCCGAAACTACAGCGCAAAGAATCCGAAGCCACGTAAGCAAGGCAGAGGAGGAGAACCTTGCGGCAAAGACGGCCATCCGCACCCAGCACCGCGAGATGGAGAACTGGTATCCAGGCCCGTTGAAAAGAGGTTTCATACACGAGGGTTCAGTGTTTAGGGTTTAGGGGGGTTGAGCTGAGGGTCGTGAGGGTTTGCGGGTTCAGAGAAAAGGAGAGTTCTTCGCCCGCGATGCCGAAACTCGCCCAAGTTGAAAAAAGGCATCCTGAACCCCTCGACCCTTAGATCCTAAACCCTAAACCCGTGGCTTGGCAGGCTTTGCTCACTACCAGGACTCCTTCGTCAAAAACCTGCTTCCTCAGATGGAGAACGGCCTTTGCCCGAGATGAACAGTTCAGGGTTTGGGGCCGTCTCATCATAGGTTCATCCATCGAGCCAGATAGCAGTACGATTTGTGCTGTCTGTCGCGACTTCCCGTGTAAGTCGAGAATCAACTGCATGAAGAAGCATTAGATTGGTAGGTTCGCTGACCTGGCTGATCAAAACGTTGAGCTTTGAAGCCCGTCTCGTGTACAATAGTTTCAGCAAGCACTCGGGTTTTGCACACAAGAGGCTGTAGAGCTAGACAACCATCCTTCAACCCCAAGCCCTCAACCATAAGGCCCAAACTCCTATCATGTCAAAATTTATTATGTTAACACATTACTCATTATACTATGTCATAATTCCTAACACTACATGATATTATGCAGCATTAGATATCCATATAGTACAAGCAGTGCATAACGTTATATGGTGATTACTCTTTATGTTATATGTAAGATATCACGTTTAAACCCCAAGCCTTTCTGGTCTTTCCTGGTTCAGATGGCGCCTCAGCGAAAATGTTCAAGGAGAGCAGCAGGGCAAATCGGAGAAGCGGTTTCGGTTTAGGCCCAGTTGAGGGTTTATAGAAAGTGTTCAGGGTTCATGTCCTGAGTTTTGTGCGGTTTTGGGCGGGTTTTGCTTTTGGCTTCTGCTCGGTTGCTTGTGCGGTTTTGTGCGGGTGTTGTGCGATGGAAATTGTTTAGGGTTCAAGTCATGAGTTGTGTGCTGCTTTCGTGCGTTTTTTTTGCTTTTTGCTTTTGGTCGGTTGATTGTGTGGTTTCGGGCGAGTTTTGGACGGGTTTTGCTTTTAGCTTGTGCTCGGTTGATTAAGAACAAACAGTTTCTATTTATCCTGGGCTTGCGGGTCTAGGGCTGGCGGTTTAGGGTTCAGGGCCCCATCAAGGCCAAAAGCCCTAAACGTTCGGGTTTTGAATTCATAGGGTCAAAAAGCATATAAGGGTTTAGGTTTGACGGAGGCATGTGGGTTTGCGTTTACGGATGGAGCGGGGTTTAGGACTAGAGTCTCTCACCAAACCGTTGTGATGGGAATTATCTAGGGCGTCCAAGCCACATGAGCGATAGTTCAAGACATGACGGTTGGCGGTAGAGCAATACCCAAACCGAAAACACTGAGCATTCGCTAGAACTTCCCCATCTACTTGTAGTAACGATAGCTCTAAGAGGGAGAGGAGAGCCCTTCCCTCTCAGGATTTAGGAAGCTTTAACCACTTCATATAGAAGCTTGAATGCTATTCCCTAGGATACAGCATTATATGCACAGTATAATTTCTGCCAAACCTTTTTCTAGCTATTGAGGCCCCTATAGTAGCCGAAGCATTTAAATCTCGAGGCCGTTGCTGACGGCAGCCCTAATCCTGCTTATAATATAGTAGAAGCCCAAAAGTTGGAAACCCATAAGCCTCCATCCTTAAGAGTAATGTATAGGGACTCCCAGCTCTATTTGTCCTTAATCCGGTTTCCAACTTTACGGAGTTTACTGCAGCCCTTATTAGTAATCCGTATAGACCCCTTTATAATGAACCCGTAAAAGGAGCCTTATTCTAATCATTCAGGCCCATATAGTAGGGAGCGAAGCCCGAAATCCTGCAGGAGTCGGCTACGACGGAAGATGCAGTTCCTGAGGTGGCGATGGCGGAGGCCCATCGACCCCCAACGAGGCTTAGGATTTGGGTTAGGGAGTTTAGGGTTTAGGCAGTCTAGAATTTAGGAAGTTTAGGTTTAAGGGTTTAGGATTTGGAAGTTTAGGGTTGAGGCAGTTCAGGATTTAGGAAGTTTAGGGTTTAGGATTTAGGAAATTTAGGGATTAGTCAGTTTAGGGTTCAGGATGTGGGAAGTTTAGGGAGTTCAGGGTTTAGGCAGTTTAGGATTTAGGAAGTTTAGGGTTTAGGATTTGGGAAGTTTACGTGTTAAGCAGTTTAGGGACTTAGGACTTAGGGTTCATGGCTGCTACAGGCACGCCTTGGATGTTTGAGTAGCCGCTGTAGTTTGAGACGTTGAGTAGCGTTTCTGAAAGGAGCGACATGTTGTTCTTGTCAGCTTGACCTTGAGAAGGCTGGGGTGTAGAGTCGAAGCGCACAGCTGCCTGCCTCATATGTTTAGGATCGGGATCCTGCCGATGTTCCAAACACTGTTCCCCTCCATCCTGCAAGAGCAGGAGAGCAGCAAAATCAGAAGAGCAGCAGCAAGCAAACCCAAAGAAAAGAAACCAGCAAAGCAAAAGCTTTCAGATAGCAGTAATGCAGCAAACCAGAAGCAGGCATGCAAGAGCCACGTCAACGCAAAAGCAGACCCACATCTTCTGGGGTGCCCCCATCGTGGTTTCTCGCGGCGCCAAGACGGCATTACGGCCTTGCACCGTGAAGATTGAGCTTCGCTCATTGAGGGTTTCTCCGCGTCAGCTTTTTTTGTTTTTCGTTGGCTGTGCTGCTGTCCAGGCTATGAAAGTGTGCTAGGCCATCATGGCCCAAACCTAAATCCTAAACCCTCGACGAGCTGTTGCGCGAAGTCGCGGGGAGGACTTCAAGAGGCTGCTGGCTGCGCTGCCACCCGAGAAGCGCAAGATCATAGGCCTAAAGCCGCTGCCTTCGGTGTTGGGCTTCGGTGTTACTTACCTTTGGTTAGTATGGAATGTAATTACTATTACTGCCATTCTTCCATTCCCTACTAGCCAAAGGTAAGGTTAAGTATGCATGGTATCATGGCACAGTGTCATTATATAGTATCCGCTGCTATCGTATTGTACTGCATGTCACAGTTTGTCAATGCATACCATGACTTCATACGTTGTGGTATATCATCGCATTCTAAGTATGGCAGAGAGTGAGATCGCACGACATGATGCTTAGCATGAGCCAGTGTGCATCACATGATGTCGTGTTACAGCATGGAGCATGATACAATACCATGTGACATAGTCCCGTGCTATACAGCAGAGACCTGGTCTGACCTGCCTTATGTATTGATGTGGCTTTAGCTCTTCGTACCATTGCCGAAAGGATGTATAGAGCAACGTATGCCACTGCACCGCATTATGTAGGATTCCGTAAAATCACTCAGTATCACGTTGTGTAGCAATATAAAGCGCTATATCCCAAACTCTGGAGATTTTGTGTCGAGCTCATGCTCAAGGATGTACAAGGGGTTTGACCTTTAGGACATTAGCTCAGGAGGTTTAATGGTACCCGCTGTACAAGCGATAGAACTTGCGTTCACACCTCAGGGTTCATTGTCAACAGCAAGGTTTGCGTGTGTTTCTGGTACTTTGCGAACTCCAAGGCCGAAGCAGGTGTTTCCATGAGTTGGGGTTCATGGATTCCAAGAGGCTCCCACGAAGAATCACACAGGAATCGTAGATTAGATGGTGCCATTGGAAACTTCTTCAACAATTACAGCTTTAGGTTGCTCCTCAGGTTTGCTGAGGGTTTTGAAGTTTGGGATGAAGCGTCCTTGCGTTGCGGTTCAGTGTGGCGTGCGGCCCTGGCTTTGGTGAGCAGTGCAAGTGGCATGAGCACAAATCATTAAAGTTCAGAGCCTTGCGATGTTTTCAAAGATTGTCAGAATGAGTACAACCCTGTTGTGATGTCATGAACAAATCACATACACTTGACATGTGGGCTGCAAGGGAGTTTTGGCCACCTGTCGCATGATTTCAGTGGCAATCCCACATACGCACCGTATGTATGAACAACCAAGACTATGTACTAATTTCTTACTTTATTTCCTTCTCTCTCTGCGAAGGGGACAGTGACAAAATCATGAGTCATGTTTCAATTTCAGCAGTAGTGCAGATACTCAGCTTCTTAGCAAGGAGGAACATCTACATAAACCAGTAAGCACACATACATATTATATCTCCCCATGCATATACGAAGACGCCGTTTCCCTCGGCCTGAAATCCGAAGCCCGAAATCCCAGCAGCCTCGAGGGAAGGATCTGATGGGTTTGATCGACGGCGACGAAGTACAGCGGATGCAAGACGATGTCCCACAAAGCTTGGAGGCCACATATGTGAGGGCCTATCAGGGAGATAAGTAGAGTGTAGAACAGCCCCGGCCGGCCACAGAAATTCTTTCCTGCGGTGGTTGAGGGCCGTCTGAGCGTGCCACTTACTGTGCCATGCGATGGGGAGAAGTGGTGCCATGGAGTTCGCAAAGTCGCACGCCGCACTCACTAATGCCCAAAGTATGAAGACCGTGATAATGATATGGATGGAGACGCCAGACTTCGCGTACAGGACCAGCAGCAGGAGATCGAGGAGATCGAACGTTTGCAAGGTGAGCTACAGAAGCAGGAGGCGCGGCGTTTCCTCTTCTGTTCCTGGATTTTCGAAACATGGAGACATCCACCTGCCTGACAACTTCGGGCCCTGGGCCCAACTACACAACCGCGCCCACACACATGCCCACTCGAACACATACTTGTCTGCTTGCTGTTTGCTTGCTCACACTCTTCGCGCCTGAGCCTACTGGAAGGAGCACATCAAAAAGCTGAAGCTGGAAATTGCCCAGTGGCCTGGCTTTGTCTAAGTTGTTCGGGTTGCTTTGTGGCTGGTCGGAACCATGCTGACAACCTCAACAGCAAGTGGCAGGATCGAGACGGCCAATCTTCCCAATGATCTGGAACCCCCAGCGGAGGATGAGGACGATAGCCTTTGCAGAAGGTTCTTTTGTGCCAGAGCCTGAAACGTGTCCAGGAGCAGTCGCCCTATGTGCCAGGCGCGGAGCACAGACATGCGCACAGATTCATAGCCTTCACGGTCTACTGCATGCAGTCGCAGGTGTGATGCTCGTTGGTGCGTTGTCCTTAACAGCTTTTCTCAATGTGGATGAAGTGCATTCAACACATTGATACTTAATTATCTCCGTTGCTGAGGATACAACTTCACATGATCGCGCCGAAAGCAGTGGGAGCGGCAATACCGAATGACAATGAGTCATGCATCTCCAAGTACACTAGCAATATTTCCTATTTTCAATGGCTGAGCGAGTTATATATATATATATATATACGTTGCTGAGGATACAACTTCACATGATCGCGCCCAAAGCAGTGGGAGCGGCAATACCGAATGACAATGAGTCATGCATCTCCAAGTACACTAGCAATATTTCCTATTTCCAATGGCTGAACGAATTATATATATATATATATATATATATACATATATAGATAT